GTCGCCTTCTTGAGCCGTTTATCCTCTCTTTTTACCCTGTCTCTTCTGAATTCTGGTGAGCCCACTCATTTGGACTCTCGGACTCGCACCCTTTCCTCTCTTGATCTTTCTCTCTGCTCTTCTTCTCTTTCCTTAGATTTCATGTGGCAGGTTCTTGATGACCTCCATGGCAGTGACCATTTCCCCATGTTTCCTTTTTCTCTTTTCGCCCGTCCCTCTCCTTCCCTAGGTGGCAGTTTGCTGAGGCGGACTGGAACCTATTTACCCTCAGTGCTGCTCTCTCTAACCTAGCTCTCCCTTCTGCCTCTCCCTCGTGCTCTCCTCCTTTTTCATGACACTGTTTTCGACGCTGCCCTCCGCTTTATTCCTCGTTCTTCCTCTCGTGGTCCGCGGAAGTACGTTCCCTGGTGGAATGCGGACTGTGCTCGGGCTGTCCGCTGTAAGCGTGCAGCCTGGAAGAGGCACCGCCGTCGGCAGACGGCCGATTCTTTTCTATTCTTACGGAAAGCGAGTGCGGTGGCCCGTAAGGCCATCCGTACAGCTAAGCGTGAATGTTGGGCATCTTATGTCTCAACAATTACGTCCGAAACTCCTCTGTCACAGATCTGGAAGCATATCCGCAAGATAGCGGGTAAGTTCGTTCCCGACATGGCAGGATGTGCAGAATACCCCCGTTGAAAAACAGAGGTGCAACTGGTACTCTGAGAGAGAACTCTATCAACATCAGAGGTCCGAGACTGTTCAACATGCTTCCACTACACATAAGGGGCATAACTGGCCGACCCCTCACAGTGTTCAAGAGAGAACTGGATAAGCACCTCCAAAGGATACCTGATCAACCAGGCTGTGACTCGTACGTCAGGCTGCGAGCAGCCGCGTCCAACAGCCTGGTTGATCAGCCCGGCAACCAGGAGGCCTGGTCGACGACCGGGCCGCGGGGACGCTAAGCCCCGGAAGCACCTCAAGGTAACCGATGTTTCACCGGCCCTTCACCTCCATGGTACTCTTGTGGCGGACCCGTTGCAGGTCGCTTCCGAACTGGGTTCCCACTTTTCTTCTGTTAGCTCTGGTCTTCATCTTCCCCAATCTTTCCTTCTTCATAAACCTGTCCTTGAGTCTCGTCCTTTAGATTTCTGCACTAGTCTTCAGCTTCCCTATAATGATCCCTTTCTCTCTCTCTCTCTGAACTTCGTTCTGCCCTGGCCCTCTGCGGTTCTACAGCAGCGGGCTCCGATGGTATTCATTATGAGATGCTTCGCCATCTACCTCCGTGCACGTCTCAGTATTTACCGAGTCTGTATAATCGGATCTGGGAGTCGAGTCAGTCCCTTGATGCCGTTGTCCTCCCTGTTCGCAAACCGGGGTCTCTGGGTACTTCCCCTAAGGACTTTCGCCCTATTGCCCTCACAAGTTGTATCTGCAAACTCTTTGAACGTATGGTTAACGTTCGTCTGATGTGGTTCCTGGAACACCATCACCTCCTCTGCCCTTCTCAATTTGGTTTCCGCAAGTGCCGCAGCACGACAGATGTCCTGGTGAACTTGGAGGTCTATATTCGTACTGCTTTTGCTGCGAAGACTTCCGTTGTTGCCGTCCTTTTTGACCTGGAAAAGGCTTACGACACCATTTGGCGATATCATATTCTATCTCAATTTCATTGTTTTGGCCTTCGTGGTCATCTCCCTCTCTTTCTCCACAGCTTCCTCTCTCGTCGTTCCTTTCGGGTACGACTTGGTTCCGCTCTCTCTGCCTCTTTTCAGCAATACGAAGGTGTGCCCCAGGGTAGTGTTCTGAGCACTACTCTTTTTCTGGTTGCCCTCAATGGTCTTCTTTCCTCTCTTCCTTCAGGTGTCTTCTCCGCTCTCTATGTCGATGATCTTACCCTTTGCTGTCAGGGTGATGATTCGCCTCTCCTTCAGCGCCGGCTTCAACTTGCAATTGATGCCGTGTCGTCTTGGGCCACCGATCATGGCTTCAAGTTGTCTCCTTCTAAGACTTGTGCCCTGACTTTTACTCGGAAACGGGTCGTTCTTTGTCCCTCTTTATCACTTTATGGTCATCCCCTTGAGTACAAAGATTCCGTGAAGCTTTTGGGGTTATTCCTTGACACTCGTTTGTCTTGGTCTCCCCATATCTCTTGCCTCTGTGTTGAGTGCTCTAAGGCCCTTACCCTCCTTCGGGTATTATCCCATACTTCTTGGGGGGCAGATAGGCGCACTCTCCTTGCTTTACATTCCTCTCTCGTCCTGTCTAAGCTCGATTATGGTTGCCCTGCTTACTCGTCTGCTTCTCCTTCTACTCTTTGCCGTCTTGATGCTTTGCACCATACTGGGTTGCGCCTCAGTTCTGGTGCCTTTAGTTCGACTCCTGTCCTTAGCTTGTATGTTGACACTGGCTTCCTGTCTCTCCAGGACCGCCGTTATCGCTACTGTCTTCGCTATCTTGCGCGGTCCTTACAACATCCTTCCTTTCGCCTCTGTCGTACTTTAACTTTTACCCCTCCTACGGTGCCTGTTCCTCTTCACCACCTCCCTCTTTCTATCCGGTTATCTCGCCTACAGGATTCTCTTTCCGTTCGTATTTCTAATGTTTCTTTTCGTGTTGTTCCCTCTTTGCCCGCGTGGAGAGTCCCCCTTCCACGGTTTTGTACATCCTTGACCTGCATCACTGAAGCTGAAGCATCCCCTCCTACGGTTCTAAAATGCCTTTTCCTTGAGCACTTTTCTTCTCACTCCCACTCCGTTTCCGTCTTTACCGATGGGTCTATTCCTGCAGACGGTGTTTGCTACTCTGTCGTTTTTCCTGATCACACTTATATGTGTCGCTTACCTTTGGAGACTAGCATCTTCACAGCGGAGCTTTATGCTATTCTCTATGCTCTTCGTCTCCTGCTCTCTTGTTGTCAATCTTCCTTTGTAGTTGTTGTTGACTCTCGTAGTGCCCTCATGGCTCTCAGGTCCTTTAATCCGGTTCATCCAGTGGTTGTCGAGATCCAGCATTGGCTGTTTCTTGTTCACAGTAAATTTAAGTCGATTGAGTTTTGAGTTCCCAGCCATATTGGTGTCTCTTTAAATGAGCGTGCGGATGCTGCCGCCAGGGAAGCTGTCCACTCTTGTCCCATCTCTCGTAAAGGTTTTCCTTATTCCGACTTTTACCCGGTTATCCATTCCTCCATCCTTGCCCGTTGGCAGGCTTTTGGTCGTCTGTTACTGGTAACAAACTACGTTCTCTTAAAAGTTGTGTGTCCTCGTGGCCGTCCTCCAACCACCGTAACCGGCGATGGGAAACGGCTCTGGCGAGGTTGCATATTGGCCGTACTCGCTTTACTCATGGTCACTTGATGGAGCGTCTCCCTGCTCCTTATTGTCCCTCTTACAGACGTGCATATCCTTGTTGAATGTCCCGACTTCCGGGACGAGCGTGTCTTGTTTTCCGACCGTCCCCCGCGGTTGCTTCTCTCTCGATAGTATTCTTAGGGATTCGGATACTTTTGATATCGTTCGCCTCGTGCGTTTCCTGTTCTCATATTGGCATCCTTGGTGCTATTTAGCGCCCCTCTGATTATCCCGCACATTTGATGGTGCTACATAGTCTTCCCGGTTTGGTGCCTTCTTTTGATAGTTACTTACTATATTTCAAGACTCCATGCCTAAATTTCCAACACCTATTACCAATAATGGGAGGGTCCACCAAATAAGTTACCTTGACCATCTTGTATGATAACAATTACAAGAGGGGCCAAGTGAATGTGTCAATCTGGAGGACAGGATAACCCTGGGCCTCAAGGATATACATGTACTTAATATCCTCATGGCAGTCCTTGACTTCTATCCCCCTGTCTCAATATGGGGTGGCAGAAGGATTGTGCCAACGCTAGCATTCAATATGTTCTCTTTGAGACCTGAACTAAGGTCTAATCAATTTGAGATAGGACATTCGCCTATAGGGCAACTATAGGCGAATGTTTGCTTCTGCAAAGGGGAACCCTAATGATGCAGGTCACTGAGGTTACTCCAGGCAGGAGTAAACTGAATACGAGCATCCACCTAGTTGATAAGGTGTCATTGTGTGCGCAAATTACCAGTGTGGGTATGGTCATCACAATAGGCAAAATTATTTGGGCCACCACATCGCAAAACACGACTTCGAACGTAGCAGGATGTAAGAAATCTGCACACTCGATGGCTGTGATGGTGTCTCGAACCTCCCAGGAGGAGGCGGAGGTCAATGGTGCTATAGGAGCAAAGGGTGCTCCTGCTTCTTGATTGTGCCAATTTTCTTGATCTGCTAGAAGCTACAGGAAAGGAACCATCAATGTTTGAGTCACTCCAGATGTAGTCACCACTGGGGACTCAAGAGGTCGACTCTGCTAAAGATTTAGCGGTTTAGTTTAACTTCACTTCACTAAACCTAGAGGTTTAGTGAAGGGAGATCTAAAGACCAAGCCTGTTCAGGGCCCACCACAGCCGGAGATATGGAGCCCAATCTATCTTTCCTAATGCGCCTTGATACAATCTTTAGTGAATTCGATACCTTCAATATTGCTTGCTTATGTGATATCCTCAGTGATATTTAGTGCCTTTAGAATATCCTGTAGCATTGCTGGCGCTACATAATTTCACCATCTTGGTGCCTTTTTTTGATATTCACCTCTTGATTTTCTCCATTACCTTTCTTCTTTTACTAATCTCTATTTTGTCTGATGGGGGTTCTGGGAGTTCTACTCCCCAAGCCCAGCCTGAGGCCATGCTTGACTTGCGAGAGTTTGGTCCACTAGGCTGTTGCTTAGAGCGACCCACAGGAATTTACATGTCTGAAGAAACTTTTAAAGCTTGTATTGGTGCAGGCAGCACAAATACCCCGGCTGATGTCCACTTCCTTTCAACATGGGGGTGAAGCTCAGGCCCCCCCATACATCAAACTCCATCCATGCAACTCTCAACCAGGCCTTGTTGAGGCATGATAGTTCAATCTCATATACGGTATTCAATGACACTCAGTTTTATATAAATATTTTAATGTAAAATCTATTTACAATGCAATTCTTGGCCAATGTATACTGTACACACAAACACTAAATCAAATGTTAAAATAAGTACAGTACCAATAGTTACCAAAAGTGACTTGTAAATTTAAAACCAAAACCACTTTCCAAAAGTGTATGGGTATTACTGTATTTTGAAACAATTTACTTTGATAATTCTTTAAGTAAAAGAAACTTTCTTTCAAAGAGAAAGCAAATCTAGCATTGTGCTTTGAATGCTAAATAATGTATAGTATAATACATCTGCAGAGAATATCACAATAATATGGCTGAAAATAAGTAACCGAAAAAGTTAATCTGAATCAGAGCCTGAAGAATCCGAGTCAGATCTTGAGTCAGATCCAGAAGCATTGCCCGAAGCCTTGCTATGTGCAGGGGATCCAGAGTGGCCCACGGAACCATTGAGAGCTGGAGAGCCGCTCCTGCTCCTGCGACTTGATCGTGACGATTTTGCCGATCTGCTAGAAGCTCCAGATTTAGCGGATCTATTAAGAGAAATTTGCAGGTCATTTTTTATTTTTTATATATCATAGAGACAAACTATAACAAATATATAACATTAACTTGCCTCCTACAGTAAGTGGTATTACAATTTGGGACCAATTTAATTGCTCACATATAGCCAAGTTATATATACTTGCACACATATATGCAAGTTACTAGTCAAACTAGAATGTATGAGATATATATATATAAACAATGTCCTGTTACAATTTGATGACTCCATGTAGTAGTTAAATTGAGGATTGAAAACTCAAAGGAACACTCTCATGAAGTATGTAAGACTATTAAAACGCTTTGAACCAGTGGTACATGAATATGGAACAAATGACAGTAAATAAGAATAACTAGATGGATGTGGATATAAAATAACATGGAAGGTAAAAAAAATATCTCAACCCATACATGTGAAAGTGGATAATTTAATTAGGATGGGGGGCTGGACTGAAACATTGTCACTCATTTAATTTCATGTGTGGTTTGGGATATTTGCTTCAGCCTATTTTCTACCGTGAATTCTTCTATACATAGACGTGCTTGTGGGAAGGAGACTCATTGGAATAATTACACATTCACTTATGCTGTATACAGGTAAAAGTACTTGGTGGTCAATAGACAACTTTGATACTTTATCATACAGTAGTCAAAATTACAGTATTGAAAACACATTAAACTCAAAAGTCAAACCTTTCTGATCTAGCTGGGGAACTACTTCGAGATCTGCTTCTTGAAGAACGAGAGGCAGATCTTGATTTGATGGGCGAGCGAGAACGTGACCGTGAAGCCCGGGAACCAGATGCAGAGCGAGAACGAGACCTGGTAAAAGTTAAAAAATGATATTTATGGATGGTAATGATGGGAGTAGAAAGGTATTGGTGATTGTGGGGTGAATGTTGGTACCTGGAGATTTACCCGAGAAGGCTCTGGGAAGTCTACTGGCCAAGCTTGGCCAGGGTCAGACCTGGGGTGATGTGTACTTGTCTATCAGTGATTAAAGGGAAGCAATGCCTAGTAATTTATGCCTCGCCCACTGGACTCAAATTGTTTACGTAATCTGGTCTTAAAGTTATGATAGCAACTTCCACAACGTCCTTCTGTGCATCCTACTTACTGACAAGGCTGGGTGACGTAAATGTTGAACTATTTCTTGCCTACTTAATATGAAAAGCTGTATCTAGCCCCACCTCATAATTACTGCATTAATAATAATAATAATAATGCATTCCTGTTGTCAGGGACAGAAAGCCTGTGTTGGCCACATGTATTTATTCTTGTATCGATTCCCCCCATAAGTGGAACTACCGACCCTCCTCAAGAAGCAACCCTACAACAGTTCCCTAACTCCCGACTACCTATTTACTGCTTGGTGAAAAAGGCATCAGATGAAAGGAAATGTGGTCAACCACCTCAGGAACTACATACCTCCGGTACTGATCTTGTGGTAAGGATTCAGTGGTGGGGGTAGATGGTGCTTACCTTTCAGTGACTACGGGGGTAAAGATCTAGTTTTATGCCCCGCTTCCTAGCCATTTATACCAGGCACGGAGTGGTGGTGGTGGTGGTGATAGGCAAGTGGATAGGTGTAAGTGGAAGGTAACTGTTGTGGGAGGTGGTGGTTGTACTTATCTATCAGTACTCAACCATCCTCTTTATGTTTAAACATCCTCTTCAAAAATACAAAATTGAAATGCCAGCAAAACATAAGGTTTTTCAAGATTCAAGATGAAATGATTACATACCTTGACTTGGACTTGCTGCGGGACCTACTATGAGACCTGCTCCGTGAGCCACTGTGAGAACGACTCCTTGAGCGAGAGCCTGATGGGCGGCGTGAACGAGAACCTGACCTGCTGCGGGCAGGTTCCTTACTTCCTGATCTTGAGCGAGATCGAGATCTCTCACTGCCTTCATCATCGGATCCTTTTGCACTGCCTAAAAAAATAATACACAATTTCAATTACCAAACAAAAATCAATAAACATAAGAATTAAAAAAGATATGCATTGATTGCAGGCATTCAAAAAAGTCATCCCTGGCAATTCTCACCATACACATTAAGAAATATTCGTCAGTCATTTGAGAAACTTGAGAAACATTTGAGAAACTATTATAACAAGGGGTCTTGAATGATTGACTGCATAGGGTGAGTATGACAGTGTATGAGGAAGTGGAGCCAGAGAGGACTCCGAGTATAGACATGTTGACAGGAAATTCCTAAATTTGCCAACGTTGTGACGAGTCAAAATTAATGGGTATTTGAACCTGGACAAATCCTGCAAGACAAGGTTGCTATATGTGGCTGGCTTGAACCAAGAAGCCACTTCTTAAGTCTGGAAGGGTTGAAATGGTTTGAGATTCGTGAACATTTGAGGTTCACACTTTGTATATAAAGTCTGTAGACTTGAAACAAAGGGATTTGTTATCAAGATTTGGGAGTGCAAGTTACCAGTCAGTGGTGGCGGCAAGACTGGCCTCTGCAAACCAGACAGGGGACTGTCTCCATCTCTATATACCCTGATCTTTGGTATATGGAGATGGCCATTGTATGGACTCCATCCATACAATTACAAGGCCAGGATGCAATGTACCTGGATAGGGTTCTGAGAGTTCTACTCCCCAAGCTTGGTCCAACAGGCTGTTCAGCCATATTTCTTATACTTGCTGGAAGGATATTGAACAACCACGAACCTATGATGTTCATATAGTGTTCTCTGTCTATCCTACATTTCCTTCCATATAGTTCACTCCACTGTGTTATTTTATTGTGCAAATTTGGGACCTGGCCCTCTGGTATCTGGAGATGGAGATGCGTAAGAGCAATAAAATGTGTACACTCTCTTCACTTTGGACATCTCAATTCTCGTCCTAGATCTTTCATTTTTGTGTCATTGTGTTTGCAATAGAATTCCCTACAGGAGTATATACAAATATAAAGTCCAAAAGCCCGGCGTCCCACCCACAGCAGCAAACAGAGAAAGTGACGGTGCATTACCGCAGTGAGCGCTAATAAAGAGCAATAAAATGAGTATACTCTTTTCAACTTTGTTACCTCAATTCTGGTCCTAGGTCTTTCATTTTGGTATCATTGTATTCGCAATGAAATTCCCTAAAGGTGTGTATGCATACAATGTCCAAAACCGCGGCGCACCCCTACCGAAACCGTCACCAATTTGCCGCCAGAAATCACGCAATGTTGCGTCATTACCGGACTTCCGCCAAGTAAAAAAGTCACGCAATGCTGCATCATTACCGGACCAAAGTGTTAACTACCCACAGAGGAAAAACATATGGACTTACCCAGGAGGAGGTTGCTGCTCACTCCTCAACTCCATTACAAGTCGAGACAACTGATTGCAACCGCCGACCCAAAGCGACACAGGCCCAATGAGGCCCAGGGACGTTCACTAGGTAACGAGCAGCCAGGACCCTGTCCGATCGCCAAAAGCACCGTGCCTGAATGTCAGCTCAGGACATGTTGCCAAAGACGGCAGCAAGGGCAGCGAACTTACGAACGTCATGGGCACAGGAATAGACCACAGGCTGGCTAGCCTTACTAACTCTGCGGACGACCTGGTAGACCCTCACCCTCGAACAGGGAAGAAGGTTTGAGATTTGGGAAGGGAAACCGGTTCAACCCAAAGCGCATCCCCCGGAAACAGAAGCCGTGGCGTGCAAATAATGGCGAAGAGCCGCGACTGGACACAAAACATGATGTACCCCCGGCCTGACCAACCAAGCATCAACAACCCAGGGACCCCTCCGGAAAGCAGCAGACTCATTCTTTGCCAGAAAGGAGGAGATGGCTGCAAATGAACAAAACCATCATGAAGACCAAAAGAGCAGAAACCCCTGCGGCGGAGGAGAGCATGAAGCTCCCCAACCTGACCCCAAGAGGCCAATGCCAACAGAACAAGAGCCTTGGAGAAACAATCCTGAACCGAAGGGGCCGCAGCAAACCGAGGAGAAGAAAGAAAAGAGAGCACTCTGTCCAAAGACCAGGATGGCTCAGGTAGCGCATGAGCAGGCCGGAGGTGAAACAATGCACGAGACAACTTGCGAAACTGAGCAGAAGTAAAATCAATACTGAAAGCAAGATGAAGCGGCTCCGCCAGCGCCACACGATACGAGGCGACAGTGTTAGGCATAAGATGACAGTCCTGGAACAACCTAGAGAGAAAGGACGACAACACCCGAACAGAAAGCGAAGTACAACAACGAAGATATAAAAAGACCCGGAAGGACCGCCAGGAGATGGTCCTGGCAGAGCTCATACTGCCGCCAAGACGAAGCCTGCAGGTGGGACACCAACAAAGAAGCCACCTGATCACCATAGAGATGATGATAAACCCGAGTCAAAAACACCATATGTGAAGACTCAAAGATTGAACCAGCCAGGTGATGCACTGGGCAAATCTGTTGGAAGAGGCGGAGCCGCGGGAAAACCTCTGGGTTTGGACACCGGGCAAGCAGCGCCTGAAACCACAGCTGGACCAGCCACTACTGGGCCAAGAGGACTACTCTTTCCTTGTAGGTCTCCAAGGAAGTCAGGACCTGGAGCAATAGCTGAACCGGGAGAAAGAGGTAGAGGAACCCCCACCTCAACCAGTCCTGCTGAAAGGCATCGACCCCAACAACCTCACAATCGGGGAAAGACGCCACTTACTTGGCAACACGCCACGACCACGCCGACGCGAAGAGGTCCACCTCGGGGCGCCCGAATGCCTAGCAGAGCCAAAGGAAGGAGTTGGCATCAACCGTCCATTCAGTGGAAAGGGGAACGAAACGAGACAGGCCGTCGGCCAAGACGTTGGACACTCCCCGCACATTGAACAGCCAGGAGAGCCAAACCCCGAAAACTCAGCAGGTGAGTCACCCGAAGTGACCTGCACCATAGAGCCAAGGACCGCATCGAACCCCCCCCCCCCTTGACCCCCCACAACAAAACCGAGCCAGCCCCTGGACCCCGGATGAATCGGGACGTGCCAATAAGTGCCACAGAGGTCCACGGACACCATCCAAGAGCCCAGCTCTAATAGGAGCCGAACTTCAGACAGCATAGTCATCTGAAAGGAGGGGCAATGAACCAAGGGATTCAGACGGGACAAGTCCAGAATGAACCTCAGGTCCGCACAGTCCCATTTCAGCACTGGAAACAAATGGGAAACCCGTATGAGAGACGTCGTTGTTACGAACCCACTCCAAGACAACTCAACGGAGCGCAGAAGAGGCCTGCCCCGTCAGCCCCGAACTCCCCTGAAGGAGGAGGGGCCACCTAATGCCACCGCAGGCCAAAGGAAACAACCCGAAACGCCCACAAATCATGGGACCAGGCGTGAGAGAACAGCGCAAGCATCCCCCCCTCCCATCAACGGGGTGAACCGCAAAAGGGCCAGCGCCCCTTACGAGACCCAGAACCTCACACAGAGCGAGCACCGCGCCGACCAGATGAAGGCGGGTTCGAAGGCAAAGCCGAACCCGAAACTGGCCTTAGTGGCCTACCACGACAAGCGGAACCCCTAAGTCCCGGCACGACCTCTCTGGGATGGGCCCTCCCGGGTCCCTTGGAGAACCAACAAGTCTGATATAGGATGGCAACTGGACAAAGCAGCCTGAATATACTGCGCCTCGGCCGAAGAAGCAAAAAGCAAAGGACAAAAAGGAGAAGACAACCTAAGAGCCAGAGCCCAGGCCGATTCCAAGGAGACAAGCACCGCCTACTGACACGCGAGTCGGGAAGCATAGAACAGAGAAACCGCTTCCCGCAAGATCGGAGCAAACAGCTTCAACAAGGCAGACGACGCGCGCGCCGCCAAGCCTAAGGCACTGGACGCTAGAACAGTCCCGAGTGCCCCCACATCCTTCCCAAGCCAGTCCGAAGACAGCTCCAGGAGGGAAAAGAAACGCAAGGCCGAAGCCAAAAGACCCCGGGCACGCAAGTCCTTGGCCACCTGCGCCGCTGACAAGGAGGGAAGCTGCACATGGAGCTGCAGAATGCCAACATCCTGGGAAAGGGCAGGGGCAAACAAGCACTCATTGAGGTGCTCAAGTTCACCCCCAAGGAAAACCTGAACCACCGTCGAGACCTCGCGCCACTCAAGCGTGCCGTAATGACAAAGCCTCCAAAGCAAAAATAGGACAATCCACCAGCCAGAACGACTCCGAAACCTCGTAACGGACCCAGAAAGAGAACGAATTCCCAAACCTGAAAGACGATGGATCCATCACCGAGGCGTAATCAGGTCACGCAGGCGCTAAGAGGCCAGGACTGCCCACACGGCAGACAGTTGGATGCGGGAAGCCGAAAACCTCCGGAAAGACAGGACCGACGCACCCAAGGGAACACAGAACCGAACTAGGGGCAGACACCAAATCCAACTCGTACCCAGAGGGGGGAAAAGAGAAACCCACTCCTTGTAACAATAAGCCCCGCTCTGAGGGTAGAAAAACCCAGGTGGGATCCAGCAGGGGCCCAAGGCCCCCAAGTCAGCCCCTCACCAGCCCCAAGATCCCCCTCCTCGGGACCCGGGGCCGAGTCATCCCCCAGAGCATCAGCCCCTACAGAAAAAGCCGGTGCAGCTGAGCAAGCCAAACAGAAGGGGACCCACTGGCCAGACCCAGAGGCTTCGGCACGGAGATCGGACTCGAATGCCTCCGTCACCACACCGGAAAGGGCATCCCCCGAGACCGCCCGAAACTCAAGAACCTGCCCCGACTCCGAAACCCTCAGACGTTTCGGGGCCAGAAGCAGGGGGAGGGGGGAAGACCAGGACGAACCACAGCAGGGGAAGGACAAGGGAGTGCAGACTGAACCAAAGTCGAAGCAACCCTCACCCCCAAGTCCAGGTCCCTATAAGCAAAACGGGGCAGCCTCGGGGCATCTGGATGATCAACCAACCTAGCGCATTGCAGCAACCTATCTTGAGGTTATTTTGAGATGATTTCGGGGCTTTAGTATCCCCGCGGCCCATTCCTCGACCAGGCCTCCACCCCCAGGAAGCAGCCCGTGACAGCTGGCTAACACCCAGGTACCTATTTTACTGCTAGGTAACAGGGGCATAGGATGAAAGAAACTCTGCCCATTGTTTCTCGCCGGCGCCCGGGATCAAACCTGGGACCACAGGATCACAAGTCCAGTGTGCTGTCCGCTCGGCCGACCGGCTCCCGACCTACCTAAAACGAGATGCCTGTAACCGAAGAACATCTTCTTGAGACTGGGTAAACTGAGTCACTAGCAAGCAACAGAACTCGCATGACTCTGGGTCGAAGGTGACACCGACCCAACAAGAAGCATGACAGAGGCAAACACCGTGAGGGTCACCCCGAGTCAAGGGGACTGAGCAACTTTTGAACTTGCACGAAGCGAGTGGGGACTCCAGGGACACATCCATCGAACCCATGCGCCCCCCCTTCCCCTAGGGAATTCCCAGGGTCCTGAGCATTTAACGGAAACTCTCGCCCAGGTAATCCTAGACAGTGTACTGCTAACCGGTGCCCAAAACTACCAAACAACTGTTTAAAGCTGAACCCCAGGGATGTGTACACTCACGGGTACCTAGCAGGGGGCACCACCAGAATAGAACCATGTACAGGTCAGACACAAAAAAGGGGGAAGCAAGGCAGACCCCCCTCCAAGGCAAAAAGAAAAAAAAAAACACACACAAGAGGACAATATACCCCAAGGAACAGAGCCGGCCGCTCTAAGTGGTGAAAACAAGCTGCGCAATACCCTGTGCCCCACCAGTGTAAACTGCCTCTTACCCCTAAGGTAAACCAGGAAGACAAAACCCCTAAGCACCCAAAAGGCAGCCAAAAACCGAGCAGTAATACGGCCTAGCAGAGGCAGACCCCGAGGAACTTGTGGAAGGTAACCCCAAGCTCCAAGAGCAGTACTTACAGGGCACCTACGGACAATAGCTCTGCACGGCAACGTGTGATGTCATGCTCGTTTGCTCGTTTCTTATAGGGGCTGTTCTATCCACTTGTTCGGTTCTTGGTAGCAATATTTTCACTAGAATAGGGGTTTGTTTTGGGATGCTTACCTTTCTGGGTGCCTCACCCGGTCGATGGCAGACATAGAATGTTTCCAACCACACAGGGGGTTTCTATAGGCCATTATTCCCCTTGCGTCTATGAGGAGGCCAGGTTCTGGCTCGTGGTCCCCGGTAGGCCCACTGAACTCCATACACATGACTGATGCCAAAGTCTGACATTAGCATATCAGCCTAGTAAGCTCCAGGGAGCCGAAGGGGCTCCCCCCCCTTCCAGAAAAAATTCTATGTGGGCTACATTACTCAATTTCAATAGTAATCTTATGTTTTTGGTCAATCTTAAGCACTCTCTTTCCAAATTTCAACTCAAAACCATGAGGTATTATCAAGATATCAAAAAGACTCCTTTGCAAGGGGCAAACAAAATGCCATAAGACCCAGATTACAAAACTAAAATATTTCTACTGTGGATACTTAATAAATTGATGAACAGTACCTTTTTCTCCATCTCCTCCATTCTCCATCTCCTCCTCTTCCTCTTCTTCCTCCTCTTCCTCCTCCTCCTCTTCACCTGGAGGCTCAAGCATTTTTTCTCGGAAGCGTTGACTTTTGTGCTCCTGTGCAATAAGGGGCCGGTGACGGACAACCAATCGAGAGTTATTAGGCTGCTGACCTTGCTTGAGGCGACGTTTGCTTAAACGCACTCTGTTCAAAAAATGGATGAAAAAATTCAAAAATAAATATTTGAAGCTGTATAATAACCAAATCCCTCAACACCTCTGGCACAATATTCATTACGTTCACTCTACAGCATATTTAATTTCACCTTGGTTGTTCAATACATGATAAGAATATTAGAAAAAGAGGCAAACCTAGGGTATGGGCCTAATATCAATAGGAATATGATACATTTTATACGAATTATGTGGACCGTCTTGTAGTGGTGTATCTCGTGATAACAATACTGTATATCTTGCAATATTCTTCAGGGGGAAAAAATCACTTTGAATATAAGATACTGCACCTCTATAAAAAGTAAAAATTACCAAGGTTGTCTTAACCTTTATTAATACTTTAGCATTCCGATGATGCCAAAGTAAATACTGATAACGCTCTTAGTGCCATTGGGATTTCAAGATGGATAATGGGATAATGCTAAAAGCATCAGGCAACTTGAAATTCTCGAAAATCACTTTACTTTTAGTTTGTTTTGTTTTTAGCATAATGAGAATAGCCCATCAGGGGATTATCCGAAGATCACCTCAACCAAACACCCATCACTGAAGATGGGTAAAAAATTGATTAAAAAAAAAAAATTGTAAGATACTTACCTTGTCTCTAACTCATTATAGAAAACTCCGTCATTACGTATAACCACAAAATAGTTCTCTTCATAGCCTTTGGAGGCTTTATTCTTCACATTCCAGTTGTACTCGCGAGCCATTACATAATCGTACTCATCGTCATCCATGTACTCGATTCCTTCGTCAACGTCGCGTTTCCTTTTCTTAAGTGTATCGTCTGTAGGCAAGAAGTAGGCCACAAACTGTTCCCCAGATTCATCCATCACACCCCTAGAAAGAAGCAAGTTCTTTGTATTAAATGTATAATGGGCAATGTGGAAATTTATATCTACTTTAACTATTCAATATACTGTACATGTCTTATCTGTCCAAAGTTTGACTCGCTCAACTTTCCAAGATGAAACACAGGGGTATGCGAGTGCTGTAATACAGTCAGGGTCAGCCACAGTGCCACCCTTTAAGAAAGATTGGTATCTATAGTAACCCCCTGAAATCAGGGATATGAGAGAATGAGAGAGGGTGGTGGGGAAATGAAAGGTGGAAAAGTTGCACAAGGGGGAGAGAGGGGAAGAGGCGAGAAAGGGAGGAGAGGGGGAGAGGCAAGAGAGGAAGGAAAGGGAGGAGAGGGGGAGGAGAGGGAGAGAGGCCAGAGAGGGAGGAGAGTGGGGAGAGGCAAGAGAAGGAGGAATGGGGAGAGGCAAGAGGGAGGAATGAGGAGAGGCAAGAGAGGATGGAGAGAGGGGAGGATGCATGTTTGGGAGAGAGAGGAGGGAAATGTTTGGGAGAGGGAGGGGAGAAAGGTGGAGAATGGAAGACAGAGGGGATGAAGGAGAGAAACCCAGGTACAGCTGGGAACCCCATCTATTAAAGTTTTATAACATCAGAAAGGGATGAGGGCAGGAAACGGCAATATATTGGAAGCCCAACCACTGGACCATAGATGATCAAATTCTGACTCTGCAAGAAGTGAGACCACTGATGTACCAACAGGTCTGTGGATGGCCAAACTGTTAATCAAATTACAGTATAGTGATATTTACCTAATCATAGCCTGAGACATTTCTTCAAGCTGAGCCGGCATGGGTCTTCCCACTGGTGCGGGATCCGAGTCAAAGATGACCTGAGCGCATGGATATTTCCAGATATCAAAGTCTGGGTATATTGGTAGTTCTTCAACTGCAGTCACTCCAGGCTTGCTGTAGTGATTCTCAAGAGTAACTTTAACATCTTGGAAGGTTTTTTCAATGGCCTCAAGTTGGCTATCACGATCAGTGTAAACATCCTCCTCCTGGAATAGAGTTGGAACTATTACTTATAACTACACAAAGTATTGCCTTTGAAAATGTAAAATGCTTTAAAGGACTAGACTTTGGATCATTAACGTTTAAGAAATATGTATATTAGAGTTTCTTAATTACTGTATTTAAACATGTACAATTACTGAAATACTGTTTGTATTTGTAAACATATTAATGGCAGTTTACTTTAACACGTAAAATACTTATTCATTTAGCTTTGAAATAAAAAATCCAGCATTGAATGTAACAAACCCAGGAATGACATGGTAGTTACCCACTTACCCACCCTGACCTGGGCTGGTAAGTGGGAAGCTTTTTAGTTTAAAAAAGCTGAGCAGTTTTAAATAATTTTTCTCTAATACAGTCCAATTTATCTATTTCTATTTCAATTTAAGTTTGAATGTTGTTTATCAATTAATCAAGTAGATAAAACTCAATCCACACACTACACACAGAGATCACACTAACGTGATGCATTAAATGAACAAATCCACAAGGGCCGTGACGAGGATTCGAACCTGCGTCCGGGAGCATCCCAGACACTGCCTTAATCGACTGAGCTACGACAGGGTAGTTGAAACCGAAGTTTGTTCGATTTGTTCAATCCACACACACACACCGCATACCAAAATACTCACCGAAGCATTTTTCCTACGTGTGGCAAAGCCAACAGTGGCCTCAATTTTCTCATTAGTCTGAGGCTGGAAGCGTGTGGGCTCAGTTGAAATGTATTCAGTTCGACGTAGCCACGAAACATTGACATGATGATGCCTGGAACGTTTTGCATCCTGTAAAATCAAACATTCGTTAAACCTTTTATAGACTCGTCCTATTACTGCATTCTTACTTAATAATGCATTTATATAATATAAATGCATTATTTTTAATACCATTTACAAATAAAATAGGAATACTATGACTTTATGTGATGATCTGATAATCTGGATTTTCACATCAATCCCAAGTGGCATACAAATATTGTTGTTTAAAATACAAATTTCAAAGTGGAAATCTGGTGGGTGGGTATGATTTATTATTTAGAAGTCCATTATATAGAAGTCCAGATTTTCAATGATGCAACATTTGTAAATGTTACATAAGTAATATTTACTACATCATAGTGCAAGATGACCAAACCACACACTAGAAAATGAAGAGACAACGATGTTTCGGTCCATCCTGGACCATAATCAAATTTGCAATCGACTTAATAATGGACACAAACGGACCGAAATGGCGTCACCTCTTCATCTTCTGGTGTGTGGTTTGGTGACCATATCTTCAGCCACGTTATTGTGACTCATCATCTGAATACAACATAATTATGTTGTACTATTTACTTAACAAACTAACTACATGAATTATCGTATTGTGCCAAACCTGTGGAGTGAGAATGTCATCTTCAAGCAATCTTTCATCTGTTGGATGCAGTTGTGCGCCTGGTACAGGTGTGTACGCCTCGGGATTAATAAGGTCAATGGTTACGCCCAAATCATGTTCTGTCAAAACCTCATATCGGTAGTTTTTCTCAAGAGAAGTCTGTTTGTAACGTACATACCTGAAAGTCAAACTGGCCTTAGTATACAGAAGTACAATATTGTATGAGAAAATAGCAAGGTTATATGATGGGATTACACCTGCGTTCCTCGACTTTCCAGGCCCGCCTGCACACGCACGCACACACACTCGCACACACACGCGCGCACACACACGCGCGCACACACACACGCGCACACACACACGCGCACACACACGCGCGCGTGCGCACGCACACACACACACACACACACACACACACACACACACACACACACACACAATAAATACTTGAAAGAATAATTAGGCTAAGACTTGTTGAGCACCTGGAGAGCATTGGGTTTGTAAACAAGCACCAACATGGGTTCTGGACAGGGAAATCATGCCTAACAAACCTTTTAGAATTCTATGATAAAGTAACAAGGATAAGGCAGGACAGAGAAGGCTGGGCAGACTGCATATTTCTTGACTGCCAAAAGGCCTTTGATACAGTACCGCACATGAGACTGCTATACAAACTTGAGAGGCAGGCAGGAGTTAGCGGAAAGGCCCTAGTATGGGTGAAGAACTACCTAACAGGAAGGAGCCAGAGGGTAATGGTAAGGGGCGAGAAGTCGGACTGGCGAACAGTAACAAGTGGAGTACCTCAAGGATCGGTGCTGGGACCAATCCTCTTTCTAATTTACGTAAATTATATGTTTACAGGAGTGGAAACATACATGTCAATGTTTGCGGATGACGCAAAATTAATGAGAAGAGTTGTGACAGACGAGGATTGTAGGATCCTCCAAGAGGACTTAAAACAGGTTGCAGAGATGGTCAGGGAAATGGCTACTGGAGTTTAACACCAGTAAATGTAAGGTCATGGAAATGGGATCAGGTGATAGGAGACCAAAGGGACAGTACACAATGAAGGGGAACAGCCTACCTGTAACGATTCGAGAATGAGACCTGGGAGTGGATGTGACACCTAATCTAACTCCTGAGGCACATATAAATAGGATAACGACAGCAGTGTACTCTACACTGGCGAAAATTAGAACTTCATTCAGAAACCTAAATGAGGAGGCTTTTAGGGCGCTTTACACTGCCTACGTGAGACCCGTCTTAGAGTATGCTGCGCCATCATGGCGCCCCCACCTGAAGAAACACAAAGAAACTGGAGAAGGTTCAGAGGTTTGCGACGAGGCTTGTCCCAGAGTTACGAGGGATGGGATATGAAGAGCGTCTGCAGGAACTGAACCTTATGACACTAGAGAAAAGAAGGGAGAGAGGAGATATGATAGGGACATATAAAATACTCAGGGGAATTGACAAAGTGGAAATAGATGAAATGTTCACACGTAATAATAACAGAACGAGGGGACATGGGTGGAAACTGGAAACTCAGATGAGTCACAGAGATGTTAGGAAGTTTTCTTTTAGCGTGAGAGTAGTGGAAAAATGGAATGCACTTGGGGAACAAGTTGTGGAAGCAAATACTATTCATACTTTTAAAACTAGGTATGATAGGGAAATGGGACAGGAGTCATTGCTGTAAACAACCGATAGCTGGAAAGGCGGGATCCAAGAGTCAATGCTCGATCCTGCAAGCACAAATAGGTGAGTACAAATAGGTGAGTACACACACACACACACACCAGGCACACAACTGCATCCAACAGATGAAAGATTGCTTGTAAGACATTCTTACAAGGCCAGTGGCTGTGTGGACAGCACGATTGACACATAGTCATGTGGACCGGGATTCGATTCCCGGGGACGGCAGAAACAAATGGGCAGCATTTCTTTCACCCTGATGTCCCTGTTACCTTGCAGTAAATGGGTACCTGGGAGTTAGACAGCTATTACGGGCTGCTTCCAGGGGTGTGTAGGAAAAAACAAAAACAGAAACATAGTTAGTAACAGTTGTTTGATTGACAGTAGTGTGTGTGTGAATACACACACACTACCTACTGGACCATGATGAGCTCATTAAGGTTCTGGTGGTAGTATGAGCCTGGAGTGTCCAGGCTCATACTACCTGGGTGATACTACCCAGGTATGAGCCTGGAGTGTCGAGGCTCATACTACCTGGGTGATACTACCCAGGTATGAGCCTGGAGTGTCCAGGCTCATACTACCTGGGTGATACTACCCAGGTATGAGCCTGGGTGTGATACCATTGTTGAACAGAGTACATTATCTAATCAAAAGCTACAAACAAAAGTTTGTAAATTAAAACTTTTACAAGATTAATATAAACTTATACACAATGAAATCACAACAATGGAATGTGATATACTAGTATATCCATGAGAATCTTTGACTTTCAAGTGTAAAAAGCAAGCACTTACCTATTGGCATCAAAGGGATAGTTAATGAACTTGGGATCAAATGGAATATCTGGCAGCGTGTTGCAATACTTCACTCGGCTCACTAGGTCAGACCTATCATGCAAAAAAAAATCAACGTTAATGTATATAAACATAAATACATAACATGTATTTTACGAAGAATCCCGTCATACCTTAAGTACAGTAGGCATTTACATTTAGAACATGGTAATACATGCACGGTACTGTAATACCCGATATTTTTATCAGTTCATATGGGAAAATAGGTTCTTCCCTATTTCCATGAATGCATTTTGGACATAAGAGTGATGCCAGTACTATGTCACAAATATCATAAAACCAATAAATCTAAATTCAAGGGAGAATGAAACAATACACAGTACCAGTACTGTGACTACTGATAGCCAGTTGAAAAAAATTTAAACATCTACCAGAGATTATTGTTTACAGTTTGGCTTTGACATATACACAAGGCCAGTTTTATTTTACTTGACCAATAAAAATAAGTTTGAGTAAGAAATGTGATAAGCTCCTTTGCTGTGTAATTCACTCAGTTGTTTCCCAAGGCAAGATCTGCTTTGCATGTAGGACAGAAAACCATTCAATGCCTGAGCCACCTCACATACTCCTTCATGCAAACCCTCAGCACAGAGAAACCTAAGGAACAAAGGATGGAGCAAAAGCAAATACCTGTACACTGATCTACTTAGATGCTTTTAATTTCCACCTAAATTTCCAAGCAGCCCTACATAAAGTACAAGATTTTCTTAACAATGTCATATCAGAAGTGTGGCAATGGGGCTTCTGAACAAGATTCACACTTGATAAAACACACTTCACTCATTCCGCAACCCGTTCTCACACTTGCTTATAGTCAATATTGGCTTATTTAATAAGTGTATATGTGACATACTAATTGATTGTGAATATTTTAGTTTACCTTGAAAAGCTTCATAGAAAACACCAACCTGCTTCATAGAAAACACCAACCTCACCTAACCTTCTTAGTATGTTAAGATAGGCATCTTATTGCTTCTTAATTACAATTATTACTTAACCTATACCGTTGATAGGTTAAGTAATAATTGTAAATAAGAAGCAATAAGATGCTTATCTTAACATACTAAGAAGGTTAGGCGAGGTTGATGTTTTCTATGAAGCTTTTCAAGGTAAACTAAAATATTCACAATCAATTAGTATGTCACATATGCACTTATTAAATAGGCCAATATTGACCGTAAGCAAGTGCGAGAACGGGTTGCAACCCCTTGCTTGGGCCTTCAATGTGGAGCCTCAGCAACCTGTATCCACCGTGCTTCTTCCATGGTGGGTTACGCTATGGCTGTTTCCTCCAAAGTGGCCCGAGCCAGTGGCCATAACTTCTCCTTGTATCATTCTTCAATGACCACTGTAGCACAGAGGAGTCTTTCCTAGTTTCTTTCATTTACCAGAATTTACCTGAATTTTACAGAGGTTAGGCCTTTTTTTCTATTTGAATGATTCCAGCTAATGAAGCTGGTACTGTACATTCCAAACAATGAACCATTTAAAAGCTGTACCATAGGCTCAGCTTGTGATAATTACATGAATTACTGCCAACATACATAACAGTTTCATTATTTTGTAATGCAAAACTAAAGCTCTCAGTCATGGCTTGAATTAGCAATATCTGATGAAACAAATTTGCCCAAAGCATAAAATGTTAAGAATATTAGTACAGTAAATACTTGCCTTCGTATATGTATTTGTTCCTGAAGTGGAAGACTTGTAATAAAAAAAATAAAAAAGATTATCATTAATCAATAATCTTTCACTGATTTAGAGTGAAACTAAATCTGTGCAAACCCTCCATGCGAATAAAAGGACCCAGTCCATGGAACTCACTCCCTAATGAATTAAAAATTTGTCCAACCTATGCCAACCAATTCAAAAATAAACCCAAAAAGTACCTAATTTCATCCTCATAGTATCATACCATGCGCTTCAATCTCACACGGTATCTTGTGCTACCCACTTCCCCAGCATTAGTTCTTACGACATACATCTTCACTAGTGTAATCACCTCTGTCAATATATATTATGGTTATATGTTGATATAAAATTTTGCTACAATGTACCTTTTGATCTTACCTGATCTCTTAGATTAATTTCAGGGAGCAGGTGGCTGAGCGGACAGAACACTGGACACATGATCCTGTGGTCCCGGGTTCGATCCCGGGCGCTGGTGAGAAACAATGGGCAGTTTCTTTCACCCTGATGCCCCTGTTACCTAGCAGTAAATAGGTACCTGGGAGTTAGTCAGCTGTCACAGGCTGCTTCCTGGAGGTGGAGGCCTGGTCGAGAACTGGGCCGCGGGGACACTAAGCCCAGAAATCATCTCAAGATGACCTCAAGATTAAGAACCTGCCTGAAATGCTATGCATGTTATTCGCTTTGCAAGAATGTAAAGATACCAATATTATTAAATCTCACAAACCACTGGACCTTCTAGTAAGTAAATAACTAAATAAATAAATAAATAAAAATAAATAAATAAATTGAACTAAAGACCCATCCTGCAACAAAACTAATCATTATTATTATTAGAGTGGTGCCAACCTCAACAAATTATATAACTGCTAAAATTTAATCTCTAATAATTGTCACAATTTGAATCAAATAACCATAAAAGAAGACAATATAATATTATAATAATAATATTGTAATAATAATTCATTTTGTCAGGAGACAGACAGCCACTGTATATACTGTATACATGTTATATACAGTACATACATGGTACATGTATGTACATGTTATATACATACATGGTACAGATAACACTCTCTAAGGATGGCCTTACACTGTCATCTGACTTAGAAATGGTGAATGAATTTAATAGCTTCTTTTCATCGATTGGTGCTAACCTTGCAAGTAAAATCCCACAGACTCAGACACATATCAACACATATCTCTCAGGCAGCTATCCAAACTCTCTTCTCCTCTCACCAGTCAGCCCGTCAGATGTTGTGTCCATCATACACTCACTAAAAACCAAAGCTGGGAACATCAGTGAAATCCCATCCATTGTATACAAGAGCGCCTCCCATGCCCTTGCGCCACCTATAGCTCTGCTGTTCAACAAATCCCTTGAGTGTCATACCTTCCCTGATATCCTTAAAAAAGCAAGAGTAACGCCAGTTCATAAAGGAGGTAATCCGTCAGACATAAACAACTATAGACCAATATCGAACCTACCCATACTATCAAAATTATTTGAAAAAATTATCTACACACAGCTCTACTCCTATCTCGTAAAATTCGACATTCTTAGCCCCTGTCGTTTGGATTCCGCTCTCAAAAGAGTACCAACGATGCAATTATAAGTCTCCTTGATATAATTTACTCAGCTCTTGACAAAAATGAGTTTCCAATTGGACTCTTCATTGACCTGAGAAAGGCCTTTGATACTGTTAATCACGATTACCTCTTAAGTAAACTCCATCATTATGGAATCCGAGGCCATGCACTGGACTATATCCAATCCTATCTTAGTGATAGACACCAATGTGTAGCCATCAATAATATAATCTCTCCCATTCAACCAATAACTGTTGGAGTGCCACAGGGCAGCATCTTGGGACCTCTTCTTTTTCTTATATACATTAATGATCTGCCTAATGTCTCTAACATTCTGAAACCTATTTTGTTTGCTGATGATACTACCCTCATCTACTCCAACCCCAACCCACATACACTAAATGGTGTTGTTAATAATGAACTAAAAAAAGTCCACTTATGGATGTCAACTAACAAGCTAACACTTAACATAGAAAAGACCTACTACATCCTATTCGGAAGCAAATCTACAAATGCAATTCAGCTTCAGATTGACAATGTAAACATTAGCAATAAAAATGATGGAAAGTTTCTTGGCATATTCCTAGACAAGAGACTCAACTTCAGTACCCACATACAACACATAACTAAGAAAGTCTCTTAAACAGTTGGTATACTCTCCAAAATCAGATATTATGTTCCTAACTCTGCTCTCATCTCTCTATATTATGCACTAATCTATCCCTATCTCAACTATGGTATCTGTGCATGGGGTTCAACCACTGCAAACCACCTCAAGTTCATCATCACCCAGCAAAAATCTGCTATCAGAATAATATCAAATTCTGCTTTCAGACAACACACAGCCCCCTTGTTTAACTCCCTAAACATGCTAAACATAATCTCACTCCACAAATTCTCTTGTGTCAACTACATTTACAAAACCCTGTTCTTAAATGCAAATCCTTGTCTGAAACTCTTCTTGGACAGATGTAATAGGACCCATTATCACCACACCAGAAATAAATATCTCTTTGATATCCCCAGAGTTAAACTTAATCTGTGTAAACACTCTATGCAAATAAAGGGACCCAGTTTATGGAACTCACTCCCTACTGAATTGAAAAGCTGTCCAACTTTTACATCATTCAAAACCAATACTAAAAAGTACCTAATTTCATCTTCATAGTTTTCACTTTTTGCCTTAAAATTGCACTGTATCAATTGCTACCCAATCTCCCAACCTTTATGTTCCCAATTTGAACATCTTTACCATTGTGATCATTGCTGTTTTCTTATATGTGCTGCCAATCTTTTTTTGTATGGTGTTTATAAATCTTGTTTATCAGTATCTTTTGCTACCCAGTCTCCCAATCTTATGTACCCAATCTGAACATCTTTACCATTGTGATCATTGGTGTCTTATATGTGCTGTCAATCTGCTGTATGGTGTCTATTAACCTTGTTTAAATTACTAATCAAGCTGTCAATGTAATCAGAGCTTTAATATAACAATGTGCTTTAATATACCTACTTATCTCTCTCATCTCATTTTTTCTCTTGTAATGTATCTTTATCATTTATCAATTCTGATTGAAATTACCTACTTAAAATTAGCTGCTAGACTAAGGACCTGCCCGAAACGCTGTGCGTACTAGTGACTTTACAAGAATGTAAATACTGTACTATCCAATGTATTCTCACAAACCCAATGTACCTTCTTGTATATATATAAATAAATAAATAAATAAATAAATAAATGTTAGGCTTGTACTGAGGTCCCCGCAAGATCGAACTACTGACCCTACCCAAGATGCAACCGCACAGCAAGCCAAGTAACTCCTGTGTACCTATTTACTGCTGGGTGAACAGAGACATTAGTTAGCAGGAAGTGGGCCCAACCACTTCTGTCTCGCCTGGGATTCGAAATCAGAATACCTATACAGTATATAAAACACCAATGTGAGATATACTTCATTAGGAAAGGTTAAGACCCTCTAGACCAGGATAGGTTACAATAGGATAAGTTTGTTTCAAGATGATGTAGCATGAACACTCCTAGACCCATATTTAGAACCCTAATCAAGAAAATCAGAAATAGAACGTGTGGTTGAGTTAGGATTGTTTACAGGGTGCAGATGATATACCACGACTATTCTTGGGGCCGTGTTTTGAGCAGTGATGATGACCAATACAAGTACTGTACCAACAACAGAAGATACTGACCTCCTCTCACCGGTACGAGGCCGCTTGTCTCGGTCTACAGTGTGGGGCTGGTTCACGGTGGGCGGCATCTTGCCCGCTCCTTACTGCCTCCTACACCTCCTTCCTCGCCTCTTGTACACCTTCCACACAGTGTTTAGTGGGTTTTGATATTTATTTAGTAGTTTTGGTTACAGCAGTCGTAGACATTGAGACGGAGCTTGGAGCAGAGAGCCGAGTGCGGCCGGAGTCGCGGAGCTTGATGCTGGCGGCTCGATGGGGAATGGTGAATGTCTAAACTTGATGAGGCTGAGAGCATTGGAGCTCGATGGGGAAAGAGAGCGTCAGAGCTCGATGCGGTTGGAGTCTACTGTCTGCTCTGTGTCAAAGCAGTAGCGTCTTGGGGTTGGTTCTGTACACGCCGAGAGCTACATTCACATTCTTGAGGTTGAAGAGATGTAGTAACTTCCAAGCATCTGTACTGAAGTTAACTGAATCACTGTGGAAATTATACTGGCAGTTACTCGCTAATAGATTACTTATATGATTGGAATACACCTCATCATACTCCAATAGGTTGGAAGGATGGAAGGAATCTTAACTGTAATTAGGGAAAAGATTTGAGTTCAATAGTGCTAATGAGAAATTGGAGCGAGTATATTGTTTACTCGCTAAACCTCCTTCCTGGGCTCTTGTACACCTTCTTCCTGGGCTCTTGTACACCTTCTTCCTGGGCTCTTGTACACCTTCTTCCTGGGCTCTTGTACACCTTCTTCCTGGGCTCTTGTACACCTTCTTCCTGGGCTCTTGTACACCTTCTTCCTGGGCTCTTGTACACCTTCCTGGGCTCTTGTACACCTTCTTCCTGGGCTCTTGTACACCTTCCTGGGCTCTTGTACACCTTCTTCCTGGGCTCTTGTACACCTTCTTCCTGGGCTCTTGTACACCTTCTTCCTGGGCTCTTGTACACCTTCTTCCTGGCCTCGTGTACACCTTCTTCCTGGCCTCGTGTACACCTTCTTCCTGGCCTCGTGTACACTACCTTCCTGGCCTCGTGTACACTACCTTCCTGGCCTCGTGTACACTACCTTCCTGGCCTCGTGTACACCACTTTCCTGGCCTCGTGTACACCTCATACAGTCCGGGCCACACCGCCTCCTACACTACACCTGGCCCACTACACTCGTCAACAATAACAAATGTTGTTGTGTTGATTTAGGGGCGACGACGATCGTGGGATCGGGTGCGCCCCGGCTGCCCGATACCGGGAAATAGCGGAGGGATGGGGTCCCTATAGTCTCTTCAGGCCATAGACCCTACAATCTCCTCAGGCCACGAATTTTACAGTCTCTTCAGGCCGCGGAGATGACGGATGAAGCGGAAGGTATGGCGAAGGATGTCATGACGGACGTCTTCGTCTCTCGCACCTGCCCCGTCAAGGAGAACGGGAACTGTGAGGCGGGGAATATATACGGAGGCTCGTAGGTCTGCAAAAATTAAAGGGGCCAAACCCTCTAAATCTCTCTTCCGACGAGGAGGCTTGGAAAAGTCGACAGAAACCCGAATGACCTCTTCTGCCCACGGAAGCACCGGTGAGATACAATACAATACAATTTTATTTAGGTAAGGTACATACATACAATAAATATTTACAAGGATTGTTTGACTTATAGGTATAGCTAGTACATACAATGCCTAAAGCCACTATTACGCAAAAGCGTTTCGGGCATGATAAACTTAAATGACAAGCTTAATACTAATTGAGCATAATGAGTAGAATGAAAACATAGATGAAAAAGCAGCACAAATACAATTATGTCGACAAACAGCGCTCTTTAAAGAAAAAAAACAGACATTGGTTGACAATAGAAGGGTAAGGTAGGTTACAGGGAATTTATTAGGTATAGCTTCGCTTTTAACTTAAACTGGTTGAGAGAGGTACAGTCTTTAACATGGTTGGGAAGGTCATTCCACATTTGCTCTGTACCTAGTGTTACCCAATCTCCTAATTTTTATGTAATTTCAAACAACCTTATCATTGTGTTCATTGCTGTCTTCTTTTATGTGCTAGCCATATGCTGTATTGTGACTACCAATTTTTGTCAACTACCATTCAAGCTGTCATTGCAACCAATCTTATATTGTTTCTGCTGTATTATGCCTACCAATTTTTTTGTCAACTACCATTCAAGCTGTCATTGCAATCAATCTTAGCTACCTATGTGCTTTAATATACTGTACCTACAATTTTCTCTCATCTTTTTTTTCATTTCATGTAATCTGTTATCATTTTTGTCTATAATTTTGCAAGTATTTACCTCCTTAAAATTTTCTTAGATTAAGGACCTGCCCGAAACGCTGCGCATGCTAGTGGCTTTACAAGACTGTAATTACCATATTTGTATCCTCACATTCCTTATGTACATTCTTGTATATGCATAAATAAAATAAAAATAAATAATAAAATAAAATTCTGGGCCCCTTGATTTGTAGAGCATTTCTAGTTTGATTAAGTCGTACTCTAGGAATATCAAAACTGTATTTATTTCTGGTGTGATGCTCATGGGTTCTGATACAACCTTCTATGAAGCTTTTGAGATCAGGATTGGCATTATAGTTTAGCGTTTTACATATGTATAATACACATGAGAGAATGTGCAGTGACTTAATGTCTAACATATTCAGAGATTTAAGTAGGGGTACCGAGTGATGTCTGGGGCCAGAATTGGATATTGTCCTAATAGCAGCTTTGTGTTGAGTAATTAGAGGATGTAAGTGATTTTGGGTAGTAGAGCCCCAAGCACAAATACCATAGTTGAGATATGGATAGATAAGGGAGTAATAGAGAGTCACCAGGGCAGGGCGTGGTACATAATATCTGATCTTAGAAAGAATGCCCACAATTTTTGAAACTTTTTTTTATATGTTTAGAATGTGTCCCTGGAAATTAAGCTTGTGGTCAATGAGAATGCCAAGGAATTTGCCTTCTAATTTGTTACAAATTTGGGTATTTATTTTGAGATTTATTTGATTAGAGGATTTATTGCCAAACAGAATATAAAAGGTTTTGTCAATGTTAAGGGTGAGTTTGTTGGCAGTTAGCCACAGATGGACTTTATTTAGCTCAGTATTTACTGTGGCATTTAGAGCAAGGGGATCAGGACTGGAGTAAATGAAGGTTGTGTCGTCAGCAAATAGAATTGGTTTGAGATGTTGGGAGGCATTTGGAAGGTCATTAATGTAGATGAGAAAGAGGAGAGGGCCAAGTATGCTGCCCTGGGGAACACCAATGTTGATGGGTAGGGTGGGAGAAATTGTATTATTCACAGAAACATATTGGAGCCTGTCAGTAAGGTAGGATTTGAGGTATTGTAGGGAGTGTCCTCTGACTCCATAATGATGTAATTTAAGAAGAAGGTTTTGGTGGTTGACAGTGTCAAAAGCTTTACGCAGGTCCACAAACAACCCAACAGAGAACTCATTTTTATCAAGAGCTGTATGAATCGAGTTAAGCATACTAATAAGTGCATCGTTAGTGCTTTTTTTGGGTCTGAAGCCATATTGGCAAGGGCTAAGTATATTGAGTTTGGCTAGATATGAGTAAAGCTGCTTATAGATTAGTTTTTCAAAAATTTTTGACAAGTTTGGCAGGATAGATATAGGTCTGTAGTTGTTAACATCTGTGAGATTACCACATTTGTGGACAGGCGTTACTCTCGCTTTTTTTAGAATATCTGGGAAGGTTTGGAGTTCAAGTGACTTGTTGAAGAGCAAAGCAATAGCAGGGGCTAAAGATCTGGAGGCTTTTTTGTAAATTAAAGTAGGTATCTCCTCAAGGGCACCAGACTTGGTTTTAAGGGAAAGGATTATCTCATTGACGTCAGTGGAATTAATAGGCTTTAGGTACAGAGACTGTGGATCGGGTCAGGGGTGAGTACAAGGACGGGAAGGGAAAACTGTGAATATGCATCCAAGGCCCGGACGACGAAAGGCAACTGACGGCGTCTGGAATGTCCAGCCGGCACATTCCACCAGTTAGCCTCGAGCTGGAGGCGAGTAAGTGGATGGGTAGCAGGGAGACGCACTATCCGTTGAAGTTGGCGGCAGTGGGCGAGAAGACGTTGAAAGCTCAGGGGCCATAGCCCCGACTCGGCATGGAGAGAAAAAAACTGGCGAGGAGGGCATAGCTCCTAACGCTGAGCGAAGGACACCATTTTGAATGGGATCCAGCCTTGCCAAGACAGATGCTGCTGCTGAGCCATAGACTTCACTCGCATACATGATCTTGCTACGAATGAAGGCCTTGTAGAGAGCTAGGAGCGACTCCCGTGAAGCCCCCATGCCGCACCAGAGACCCGTTTCATGATGTTCACGCGACGAAGGCATGAGGCCCGAAGGTAGTCGACATGATGCCTCCACGTCAGCCGAGGGCTATCTAGAACGACCCCCAGCCACCTGTGTTCGGTAGCGATCGGGAGACGACAGCCCCCGAGGGTCACCACTGGCTGGTCTGGTAAGCGGGTCCAGGTGAAGCTCATGACGCAACTTTTCACAGGGTTAATGGAGAGCCCCTTCCCCAGCACAATTGCTGAGAACACAGTCACGGCATTTTGCAGGGAGCCGTGTGCCTCTAGGAGAGTGGCAGCATCCACCACGAGGGTTACATCATCGGCATAGGCTAAAACCTGGACCCCCCGGAATACAGGGAGATCAGACAGAAGAATAGAGAATAGTAGTGGGCTCAGAATCGCTCCCTGAGGGACACCACGCGAGACAGGGCGGGACGTAGAGACGACTCCACCAACCGCCACTTTGAATGAGCGGCCCTGTAGATAGTTTTGGAACCACCTTAACGCCGGACCCGAGAGACCTAGTCGAGCCAGACTCTGAAGGACAGCAGAATGAGAAGCACAGTCAAATGCACTCTTGATGTCGAAGAATGCTGCAAGGAGCACTCTTCTCCGGCAATAAGTGTCCATTATTCGATGTTCCAAGGAGAGGAGGCAGTCCATCGTGCTTCTTCCCGGCCGAAATCCACTGATACCCTCAGGTAGGAGACCTGAGGTTTCCACCACCTATTGTAGCCGGGTGTGAACAAGACGTTCCATCAGTTTCCCGAGACATGGAAGCAAACTTATGGGCCGATATGAACTCGGGACAGACGGATCCTTCCCTGACTTGGCCAATGGTAGAAGAATGGCGTGTTTCCACGGGGCAGGGAAGACACCAGAGGACCAGCAGGCGTTGTAGAAGTAAAGGAGGTGGGACTGAAGGTTCTTGGGTGCCCTCCGAACAAATTCATATGGGACGTTGTCTATCCCTGGCATAGTGCCCGACCTAGAGAGTGACAGAGCGTCCTTCAGCTCAACAGATGTAAATGGGCGATCTAGGTCCTGAGCTAGTCCTATATCCTGTCGGGAGCCCCAACCTATGGAACTCACAGAGAGGAGCGGAGAACGGTAAACATCTTCAAAGTGGTCAGCCAAGAGTTCGGCTATTTGTACTTCCCCCAGGCCCCCATTACCACTGGGGTCTGAGTGGGATGGTAGGCCGGGAGTACCTACCTGTCATCTTACGAACAAAGGCCCAGGCTCCAGCAGAGGAGTCGAATCGGAGAGAGGCACAGTAATCAGCCCAGGCCTTGCGTTTGGCAAGGAGGACTGTTCGTCTACACCTGGCGTCCGCCCTGCGGAAGGTCTGCCGCTGCAGTGGAGTAGGGTGGCGCCGCCACGAATTCCACGTACGTCGCCGGTCCAGTACTGCCTGCCGACATTCAGGAGTCCACCACGGTGCCCCACGGCGGGAAGGATTGGTTGTCTGGCCACTAGTCCTCCTGAAATGCCGAGAGCCTACACTGAAGAGGGACTCGGAGAGAGCATCTGCTGACCCATGGAGATCTGCAGTAACTGGGGGAAGGGTCAACCAGTCATCCGCCTCATAGCCATGCCACCCCTCTTCCGAGAAGATCCATTTGGATCTACGGGAGGTCAGAGTAGGACGAACAGTGCCCCCGAAGGAGATGACGATGGGCAGGTGATCACTACCCAGGTACGGCCCGGTCCATATCTGCAGCATTTATGGTGCTACGTAATTTCCCCATCATGCTTTCTTTTGATATTCATAAGAAACATAAGAACATAAGAACAAAGGTAACTGCAGAAGGCCTATTGGCCCATACGAGGCAGCTCCTATTCTATAACCACCCAATCCCACTCATATACTTGTCCAACCCGTGCTTGAAACAATCGAGGGACCCCACCTCCACAATGTTACGCGGCAATTGGTTCCACAAATCAACAACCCTGTTACTGAACCAGTATTTACCCAAGTCTTTCCTAAATCTAAACTTATCCAATTTATATCCATTGTTTCGTGTTCTGTCCTGTGTTGATACTTTTAATACCCTATTAATATCCCCCCGGTTATGTCCATTCATCCACTTGTAAACCTCTATCATGTCACCCCTAACTCTTCGCCTTTCCAGTGAATGCAACTTAAGCTTTGTTAATCTTTCTTCATATGAAAGATTTCTAATTTGGGGAATTAACTTAGTCATCCTACGTTGGACACGTTCAAGTGAATTTATATCCATTCTATAATATGGCGACCAAAACTGAACTGCATAATCTAAATGGGGCCTAACTAGAGCAAGATATAGCTTGAGAACCACACCAGGTGTCTTGTTACTAACGCTGCGATTAATAAATCCAAGTGTCCGATTTGCCTTATTACGAACATTTATGCATTGATCCTTTTGTTTTAAATTCTTACTAATCATAACTCCCAGATCCCTTTCGCAATCACAACACCATCTAGCTCGTATCTTGTAACTCTATCATCATTACCTAACCTCAGAACTTTACATTTATCAGCATTAAACTGCATCTGCCAATCCTTTGACCATTTCAAAACCCTATCTAGATCAACTTGAAGTGATAGTGAGTCCTCCTCCGAATTAATTTCCCTACCGATTTTCGTATCATCGGCAAATTTGCAAATGTTGCTACTCAAACCTGAATCTAAATCATTTATATATATTATAAACAACAGAGGTCCCAGGACAGAGCCTTGAGGCACTCCACTTACAACATTTTCCCACTCTGACTTGATTCCATTTATACTAACTCTCTGTTTCCTTTGGTATAGCCATGCCCTAATCCAGCTTAATATAGCACCCCCAATACCATGAGACTCTATTTTTTAATCAGTCTTTCATGTGGCACTGTATCAAAAGCTTTGCTAAAGTCAAGGTATACAACATCGCAATCCTTACCACTATCAACTGCCTCAACAATGCTAGAATAAAAAGATAACAAATTGTTAAACATGAACGGCCATTTATAAAACCATGTTGCGACTCAATTATCAATTTATGTTTTTCAAGATGAAGACGAATTTTATTTGCTATTATAGATTCGAGTAACTTTCCCACAATAGACGTTAGGCTAATTGGTCGATAGTTAGACGCAAGTGATCTATCTCCTTTCTTAAAAACTGGTATCACATTAGCAACTTTCCAAAACTCTGGCACTCTGCCTGACTCTATTGATTTATTAAATATGGTTGACAGTGGGTCACAAAGCTCCTCTTTGCATTCTTTAAGCACCCTAGCAAACACTTCATCCGGCCCTGGGGATTTGTTTGGTTTGAGTTTTACTATTTGTTTAAGAACATCCTCCCTGGTAACTGCTAAACTCGTCAACCTGTCCTCGTCCCCACCCACATAGACTTGTTCGGCTGAAGGCATATTGTTAAGTTCCTCTTTAGTAAATACAGATACAAAATATTTATTAAAAATACTACTCATCTCTTCATCTCTATCTGTTATTTGACCTGTCTCAGTTTTTAATGGACCTATCCTTTCCCTAGTCTTAGTACGATATAACTGAAAAAACCCTTTAGGATTTGTCTTTGCTTGCCCTGCTATGCGAACTTCATAGTTTCTTTTTGCTTTCCTTATCTCTTTTTTAACACTTCTTGACTTTCTCCCATTGCCTATATATTACTCCTATTATAATATTATTAGCTTCTTGACTTTCTCCATTGCCTTTCTTTTTTACTTTTACTAATCTCTATTTTTTGTCTAATTTATATATCTTTGAAGAAACTTTTAATGTATAAATTGGTGAAGGCAGCACCAACACACCGGCTGATGCAAACACCTCTTCAACATGGGGGGTGAAGCTCAGGGTCCCCAATACATCAAACTCCATCCTTGCAACTCTCAACCAGGCCTTGTTGAGGCATGACAGTTCTCATTACGGTATTCAATAACACTCAGTTTTACATAAATATTTTAATGTATATTCTATCTACAATGCAATTCTTGGCCAATGTTTATTGTACATACAAACACTAAATCAAATGTTAAAATAAGTACAGTACCAATAGTTACCAAAAGTGACTTGTTAAACTTGATTTAAACAAAAGCTACTTTCCAAAAATTTATGGGTACTAATGTATTTTGAAACAATTTACTTTTATAATTCTTTAAGTAAAAGAAAGCTTTGATGAAGGTTCGATTGTAATCCGTATTATCAGTAGAGAAGAGTATAGTTTCATCTTAAAAACCATACAAATCATTAAGTATGGAAGTACAATACTGTTGACAAACATGTACAGTATTCTCAAAATATATTTATATACTATACTCTGTTCATACATTATAGTATTCAGTACTCAAAAAGCTAATCCGAGTCAGAGCCTGAACCTGAGTCCGAAGAATCCGAGTCAGATTCTGAGTCAGATCCAGAAGCATTGCCCGAATCTTTGCTATGTGCGGGGGATCCAGAGTGGCCCACGGAGCCATTGACAGCTGGAGAGCCCCTCCTGCTCCTGCGACTTGATTGTGCCGATCTGCTAGACGCTCCCGATTTAGCGGATCTATTAACAGAAAGTTACAGGTCATCATTATATATCAAAAAGACAGTATATAACATTAACTTGCCTCCTACAGTAAGTACAGCAGAGTGGTATTACAATTAGGGACCGATTTAATTGCTCACATAGCCAAGTTATATATATATGTTACTATAGTCAAACAAGAATGTACGAGATATATAAACAATGTCCTGTTACAGTTTAATGATTCCATGTAGAAGCTAAATTGGGGATTGAAAACTCACGAAGGAATAATATATAAAATAACATGGAAGGTAAAAATACCTCAACCCATACATGTGAAAGTGGCCATTGGTGGTGGTGATTGTGGGGTGAATGGTGGTACCTGGAGATTTACCCGAGAAGGCTCTGGGAAGTCTACTGGCCAAGCTTGGCCAGGGTCAGACCTGGGGTGATGTGTACTTGTCTATCAGTGATTAAAGGGAAGCAATGCCTAGTAATTTATGCCTCGCCCACTGGACTCAAATTGTTTACGTAATCTGGTCTTAAAGTTATGATAGCAACTTCCACAACGTCCTTCTGTGCATCCTACTTACTGACAATGCTGGGTGACGTAAATGTTGAACTATTTCTTGCCTACTTAATATGAAAAGCTGTATCTAGTCCCACCTCATAATTACTGCATTAATAATAATAATAATAATAATAATAAAAAATTCCTGTTGTCAGGGACAGAAAGCCTGTGTTGGCCACATGTATTTATTCTTGTATCGATTCCCCCCATAAGTGGAACTACCGACCCTCCTCAAGAAGCAACCCTACAACAGTTCCCTAACTCCCGACTACCTATTTACTGCTTGCTGAAAAAGGCATCAGATGAAAGGAAATGTGGTCAACCTCAGCTCAGGAACTACATACCTCCGGTACTGATCTTGTGGTAAGGATTAACTGGCTCTATGCATTCATTATGCCTTTATGCCCAGCTTCCTAGCCATTTATAGCAGGCATGTAGTGATGATAGGCAAGTGGATAGATGTAAGTGGAAGGTAACTATTGTGGGAGGTGGTGGTTGTACTTATCTATCAGTACTCAAACATCCTCTTTATAAATACAAAATTATAATGCCAGCAAAACATAAGATTTTTCAAGATGAAGTGATTACATACCTTGACTTGCCGCGGGACCTACTATGAGACCTGCTCCGTGAGCCATTGTGAGAACGACTCCTTGAGCGAGAGCCTGATGGGCGGCGTGAACGAGAACCCGACCTGCTGCGGGCAGGTTCCTTACTTCCTGATCTTGAGCGAGATCTCTCACTGCCTTCACTATCGGATCCTTTGGCACTGTCTAAAAAAATAATAAAATTTTACCAAACAGGGATCAATAAACATAAGAATTAAAAAAGATATGCATTGACGATTGCAGTTTCTTATTTGAGAAACTTGTAACGAGGGGTCTTGATTGGTTGACTGCATGGGGCCAGTATGACAGTGGGGGACTGTCTCTATGCACCCTGACCTTGTAAGTGTATGGACGCCATCTATACATACATGGTACCATGTATGACGACCAAATCACACATCAGAAAGTAAAGAAACCACGACTTGATAATGGTCCGGACTGAAACTTTGTCGTTTCTTCATTTTCTGATGTGGGGTTTGGTCATCATATCTTCAAGCTTCATATCTGTTAATGTGTTAACATGTTTACACATGTTTATATCAATTGATGTTTCTCTCATTTCCTTTCCAGAGTACATTTTGAGAGCTGTAAGACAATCCCAATAATTTAGATGCTTTATGCTTTAGATGCTTTAGATGCTTTTAGATGTACGTCTGCGTGCCGTACACGCAGACGTACGGCACGCAGTACGTCTAAATATTCCTACTGTGGCTACTTTATATATTGATGAACAGTACCTTTTTCATTCTCCATCTCCTCTTCACCCGGAGGCTCAAGCATTTTTTCTCGGAAGCGTTGACTTTTGTGCTCCTGTGCAATAAGGGGCCGGTGACGGACAACCAGTCGAGAGTTATTAGGCTGCTGACCTTGTTTGAGACGAGGCTTGCTTAAACACACTCTGTTCAAAAAATGGAGTTCATGAATAAGTCCCTCAACACCTCAGGCACAATATTCATTACGTTCATTGTACAGTGTATTTAATGTCTCCTTGGTGCAATACATGATAAGAATATTAGAGAAAGATGCAAACCTAGGGTATGGGTCTAATATCAATAGGAATATGATACATTTGATATCAAGTATGCGGACCGCCTTGTAGTGGTGGTCGTGATAACAATATTGTTATCACGACTACCACTAACATAATGATGTTATGATAACAATATATATAATCTTATAATATTTTTAAGGGAAAAAATACCTTTGAATATAAGATACTGCACCATTTTAAAAAGTAGAAATTACCAAGGTAATCTTAACCTTTATTAAAACTTTAGCATTACAATGCCAAAGTAAATGCTGATGATGCTCTTGGTGCCATTGGGATTTCAAGATGGATAATGCTAAAAGCAACATCCAACTTGAAATTCTCAAAAATCACTTTACTTTTAGTTTGTTTCGTTTTTTAGCATAATGTGAGAATAGCCCATCAGGGGACCATCCGGAGATCACCTCAACCAAACACCCATCGGATAAGTTTAGATTTAGGAAAGACTTGGGTAAATACTGGTTCAGTAACAGGGTTGTTGATTTGTGGAACTGGTAATTTACTATTTGTGTCTGCCGAACTGAGCTATTAGCTCTTAGACCCCACCTTTCTAACCTATCTATTTTCCTATTATATCTACTATATATATATAGTTCTCTCTAACACAGATCCTCAGGAAGCAGCCCGTAGCAGCTGTCTAGCTCCCAGGTATCTATTTACTGCTAGGTGAACGAGTACATCAGGGATAAAAGAAACTTTGCCCATTTGTTTCTGCCTTTCCCGGGAACCGAACCGGGCCATTGGGAAAACTAAGACCATCAAGAGTAAGCGGAGTGGTTAGACAGTTTAAAACATTAAAGTGTTTCATATAATAGTTTCCATATTAAAATATGTAAATACTAATATTCCATATTAAATACTTGCAGTATTTACTTTCAAAAATTCGTATTTTAAAAAATTTGAAAGACACTCACCTCGTCTCTAACTCATTATAGAAAACGCCATCATTACGTATAACCACAAAGTAGTTCTCTTCATAGCCTTTGGAGGCTTTATTCTTCACATTCCAGTTGTACTCGCGAGCCATTACATAATCGTACTCATCACCATCCATGTACTCGACTCCTTCGCCAACGTCGCGCTTCCTCTTCTTAAGTGTGTCGTCCGTGGGCAAGAAGTAGGCCGCAAACTGTTCCCCAGATTTATCCGCCACACCCCTAGAAAGACACAAGTTGTTTGTATTAAATGTATAACGATAAGCAATGTGGATACGGGCTCACCATAGCCTGTGCTACATGGACACTTCGTTCTGAGTAGCTAAATCTAGAACAACAACAACAACAGCAATGTGGAAATTTATCTCTACTTTAACTAAACTTACTAACTTACTTTAACTAAGTTACTGTACGTCTCTTGTCTGTTTGTTTGACTTGCTGTTTGATTTTCCAAGATGAAACACGGGGTATGTGAGTGCCATAATGCAGGCAGGGTCGGCTATAGTGCCACCCTTTAAGAAAGATTGGACTCTGTGGTGACCTCCTGAAATCTGGGATGTGAGAGATGGAGAAAGGGAGGTGGGGAAACGAAAGGTGGGAGAGAGGAAGGAGAGGCAAGAGAGGGAGGAATGGGGAGAGGCAAGAGAGGGTGGAGAGAGGGGAGAATGCATGTTTGGGAGAGGGAGGGAAGAAAGGTGGAGAATGGAAGACAGAGGGTAGAGAAACCCAGATACAACTGGGAACTGGGATCTCCCATCTAATATAGTTTTATAACATTAGAAAGGGATGAGGGCAGGAAACGACGACATACTGGATGCCCAACCACTGAACCATAGGGGATCAAATACTGACCCTGCAAGAACTGAGACACCAGCGGTATCACTTCTTGTACCAACTGGTCTAAGTGGACGGCCAAATAGTTAATCAAATTACAGTTCGGTGATATTTACCTAATCATAGCCTGAGACATTTCTTCAAGCTGAGCCGGCATGGGTCTTCCCACTGGTGCGGGATCCGAGTCAAAGATGACCTGAGCGCATGGATACTTCCAAAGATCAAAGTCTGGGTATATTGGTAGTTCTTCAACTGCAGTCACTCCAGGCTTGATGTAGTGATTCTTAAGAGTAACCTTAACATCTTGGAAGGTTTTTTCAATGGCCTCAAGTTGGCTATCACGATCAGTGTAAACATTCTCCTCCTGGAATAGAGTTGGAACTATTAGTTATAACTACACAAAGTATTGCCTTTGAAAATGTAAAATGCTTTAAAGGATTAGACTTTGGATCGATCATTAACGTTTAAGAAATATGTATATTAGAGTTTCTTAATTACTGTATTTAAACATGTACAATTACTGAAATACTGTTTGTATTTGTAAACATATTAATGGCAGTTTACTTTAACACGTAAACTACTTATTCATTTAGCTTGGAAATAAAAATCCAGCATTGAATGTAACGAACCCAGGAATGACATGGTAGTTACCTACCCTGACTTGGGCTGGTAAGTGGGTAGCTTTTTAGTTTAAAAAAACTGAGCAGTTTTTCATACCTTTTCTCTCATACAGGCCAATTTAGTTACAATATTTCTATATAAATTTAAGTATGAATGCTGTTTATCAGTTAATCAACTAGATAAAATTCAACCCACGTAATTACGTACGTAGGTACGAACACACATACCAAAATACTCACCAAAGCCTTTTTCCTACGTGTGGCAAAGCCAATAGTGGCCTCCATTTTATTATTATTCTGAGGCTGGAAGCGTGTGGGCTCATTTGAAATGTATTCAGTTCGACGTAGCCACGAAGCATTGATATGTTGATGCCTGGAACGTTTGCCATCCTGTAAAATCAAACATTCGTTAAACCTTTTATAGACTCGTCCCATTACAGCATTCTTACTTAATGATATATTTATGTAATATAAGATATTTATATAATATAAATGCCTTATTATTAATAACTTTTATAAATAAAATAGAATAGTATGACTTTATGTGATGATCTGATAATCTGGATTTTTACATCAATTGCAAGTGACATATAAATATTGCTTTTTAAAAATCCAAATTTCAGAGTAGTGGGTAAGTACGATTTATTATTCAGATAATAATAATGATACATTATTATTTATATACAATGTCCAGATTTTCATGGATTTCATCTTGCATGATTTTAAACATGTAAGATGACCAAAACCACACATTGAATCGCACCTAAGCATCTTCTTAGGGCGCACTTAGGAACCTTCGTAGCAAACCCACTTACGAAGAAATACACAGAGCTTCCTGAATCTAGGTCCAGAAGATGGAGAGACGACAACGTCTCGGTCCATCCTGGACCATTATTAAATTGACAATAGACTTGATAATGGACACAGACGGACCGAAATGTCGTCACCTCTTCATCTTGTGGTGTGAGGTTTGGTCATCATATCTTCAGCCACGTTAATGTGACTTGTTAAATCAAAGGGTTTGTTAATGTTATGAACTATGAACTACACATAATTCATTAATGTGTTATGAACTTATAACCATAAGTTCATAACTTATTACTTATGAACTATGTTCATAAGTTCTTATAAGTAATAAGTATCTTATTCTTATAAGTAATAAGTTCTGTGTGTAATGTTCATAACCTAAGACCACTTAGTAACGTTCTGATGTTCTCACGCTAACTACATGAATTATCGTAATGTGCCAAACCTGTAGAGTGAGAATGTCATCTTCAAGCAATCTTTCATCTGTTGGATGCAGCTGTGCGCCTGGGACAGGTGTGTACGCCTCTGGATTAATAAGATCAATGGTTACGCCTAAATCATGTTCTGTCAAAACCTCATATCGGTAATTTTTCTCAAGAGAAGTCTGCTTGTAGCGTACATACCTGAAAGTCAAACTGGCCTTAGTATACAGAAGTACAATATTGTATGAGAAAATAACGAGGTTATGCGATGGGATCACACATGCGTTCCTTGACTTTCCAGGCACGCGCACACACACTACCTACTGGACCATGATGAGTGCAGGTGGTAGTGTGTGACTGGAGTCCAGGGATAAGGGTGTGATACCATTGAAAATGAAATAAGTTTATTGTGGTAAAATACACACAAAGGGATGAGGTAGCTCAAGCTATTCTCACCCCATTCAGTATAACGTGTTAATATATACATAGACACACATCACAAACAATAAACATATTACCAAACATTCTGAGAGGTAAACATATACATTTCCTCCTTCACAAGTAGTATGGTATCAGACGTACACACAAATACTTTTATGACCTAGGTATACTGTATAGACAATTTGCAAGACCATTGTTGAACAGAGTACATTATTTAATAAAAAATTTAAACTTAAAACTTTTTCAAGATTAATATAAACTTATACACAATGATACCACAACAATGGAATGTGATATACTAGTATATCCATGAGAATATTTGTCTTTCAAGTGAAAAAAGCAAGGACTTACCTCTTGGCATCAAAAGGATAGTTAATGAACTTAGGATCAAATGGAATATCTGGCAGCGTGTTGCAATATTTCACTCGGCTCACCAGGCCAGACCTATCATGCAAAAAATCAATATTAATATATAAAAACGTAAATACATAACATGTATTTTACGCACAATCCCGTCATACCTTAAGTAAATGAGTAAGCATTTACATATAGATCATGGTAATACATACACGGTACTGTAATAGCCGAGTTTCATCAGTTCATATGGGAAAACAAGTTCTTCCCTTTTTCTATGAATGTATTTTGGACATAAGAGTGATGCCAGTACCATGGCGCAAATATAATAAAACCAATAAATCTAAATTATAAGTTGATTGTATGGCTTAATTTTCAGACAATATATATGAAAGATGTAATTAATGATTTGGTGTACGAGCCATAGTTTGACGAGACACTACTAACATCATGAACTAACTCAGCAATTCTTTCCTTTGTTGACCAGACCACACACTAGAAGTTGAAGGGACGACGACGTTTCGTCCTTTCTTTCTTTCAATTCAATTCTTTCCTTTATTTTTTTCAGAAGCTTAAGAGAATATGTTGTAATAATGGTGACGCTGACCATTAGCGTCAGCGTCACCATTACGCTGGTGACGCTGACGGTGTAATAATGATGTAAGTAGGGTAACGGTGAGAGGTGTAGGGTAGGGTAACTAAAATATTACGTTATATTTTAACGTCTAAAATAAGACGTTAAGAACATTAGAATGAAGGTAACTGCAGAAGGCCTATTGGCCTTCTCGAGGCAGCTCCTATATATATCCATATATATAGGAGCTATATCCATATATATAGGAGGCAGCTCCTATATATATATCCATATATATATATGGATATATATATATATCCATATATATATATATATATCCATATATATAGGAGCTATATCCATATATATAGGAGGCAGCTCCTATATATATCCACCTCAAAAGGCCCACATCAGAAAGAATATCATCAGCGGCATATGCTAGACTGGCCAACATAAGAACTGCCTTCAGAAACTTGTGTAAGGAATCTTTCAGAACCCTGTATACCACTTATGTAAGACCAATCCTGGAGTATGCAGCTCCAGCCTGGAGTCCATACCTAGTTAAACACAAGACAAAGTTAGAGAAGATTCAGCGGTATGCCACCAGGCTCGTCCCGGAACTGAGAGGATTGAGCTACGAGGAAAGGCTAAAGGAGCTGAACCTCACATCCCTGGAAAACAGAAGAGTAAGGGGAGACATGATAACCACCTACAAAATTCTCAGGGGAATTGACAGGGTGGACAAAGACAAACTCTTCAGCACGGGTGGGACACGAACAAGGGGACACAGGTGGAAACTTAGTACCCAGATGAGCCACAGAGACGTTAGAAAGAATTTTTTCAGTGTCAGAGTAGTTAATAAATGGAATGCACTAGGAAGTGATGTGGTGGAGGCTGACTCCATACACAGTTTCAAATGTAGGTATGATAGAGCCCAGTAGGCTCAGGAATCTGTACACCAGTTGATTGACAGTTGAGAGGCGGGACCAAAGAGCCAAAGCTCAACCCCCGCAAGCACAATTAGGTGAACAATTAGGTGAGTACCTAAACTCATTCCTACACATGTCTAACCAACGCTTGAAGTAATCAAGGTATCCAACTTCTATTGTTACTCGTTAAAGGGTTCCACAAATCAACAACTATTATTTAACCAGTATTTACCCTAGGTCTTTCCTATATCTAAACTTGTCCAAATTATACCCATTGTTTGTGTTGATCCTTTTATTACCCCTATTAATATCCTATTTTTTATGTCCATTCAATCACTTGTAAACCTCTATCCTGTAACTTCTAATTCTTTGCCTTTCTAGAGATTGTAAATTAAGCTTTGTCAATCTTTCTTCATATGAAAGGTTTCTAATTTGCAGGATTAACTATCTACAGGATTGCTATCCTACACTAGACGCGTTCTAGTGAATTTATATCCATTCCATAGTGTGGCGACCAAAACTTAACTGCATAATCTAAATGGGGCCTAACAAGAGCAAGATAAAAGAAATATCAGGCGAAGTAGACCCGGTGATCACCAGTGACCACTATGCTACTGTCGCAACACTAAACATAGAACGACCTCCTACACCACCTAGCTGGAATTTAAGATAGACCAATTGGAATATATACCAAGAGGAACTTGAAAAATGGTATGCAACATACACGCCACCTGAGGATTTGAACACAGACCAATCTGCAGGAAGCCATTGCAGCTGCTGCAAACAAAGCTATTCCAATCATTATCACAGGAAACACAAAACGAAAGAACTATTGGTTTTATAGTAATGAGGTTAAAGAACAGAACCACAGAGTCAACATCTTCAGAAAACATCTAAAGAGAAACCTCACACCAGAAGGAAGAACTCTGCTACGAGCGGTGATATCTGAAGCAAGACGAGTTTCTAGAGAAGTAAAGGAGGCAAGATGGTTTGAGTGGTGTCAAACTCTAAATGAACATAGTAGTCTTGGAAAGATATGGGGTCAGATTAAAACTATCAGGTCGACCAGCCCGGCCACAGGCATGTATTCAACCATTGCAGGAGGCTGAGAGACTTGCTCTCCAATTTGCATAAAAAAACAGCTTCATATCAGCTTCCTGCAAAGGTCCGAAGGAAGCAAGAACAATCGAAACAAGAAAGGTTGAAAGTCATTTATGAGAGCATAGCTACAAATGACGAATGTGACTATCCCTATCCCACATTTTATGTCCATTCAAACAAGAACTAATCAGAGCCCAAAAAAAGGTGTTAAGGACACTGCACCAGGTGCTGATAACATTACATACTCAATGATCGCACGCATATGCAGGTCCTGCTGGAGAACAAGGAATATTGGACGTCATCAATGCATCTTGGCAGCAAGGCAAACTGCCGACCTCTTGGAAGAAAGCAGACATCATACCGATTCCTAAGCCGAAAGAACCTGGCAATTATAGACCCATTTCATTAACATCATGCATTAGTAAAACTGCAGAACGGATGGTCTTAAATAGCCAACTGTGGAAGACTGGAGACCTTCATAAACACATATTTGGCTTCATTAGAGGAGTAAGTACTGCCAACTGTATAGCAACATTACTAGGAACAGTTAACTCAGGTCCAGCTATAGTGATCTTCCTTGATCTAGAAAAAGCATTCGAACTTGCAAGCCCGCAAGCAATTTTACACACCTTAGTTAAAAAGGTGTAAAGGGAAATATGCTAGTAAGGATTCAAGATTACCTAAGTCACAGGTATGCCGGAGTAAAGTTGCAAGGACAAGTGTCGGACTACCACCTGCATGAGAATGGGACTCCACAAGGAGGAGTCCTCAGTCCTAGTCTTTTTTAACATCCTTATGGAAAACCTCGTTACCATGGCATTTGCAGAAGGGGTTACATTGCAAAGGTATGCTGATGATATAGCATTAGTAATTACAGGTCCGTCACTTCTAAATAAAGCACAAGGTGCATTAGATAAAGTAACATCTGAATGCAGCGTTTTAAGGCTAAAAATATCTGCACAGAAGTCTAAGGCAATGAGACTAGGCGGCAACACTCCAAACAGGCACCTACACATTCAAGACATTAACCTTCAGTGGGTTACACAATATCAATATCTCGGAATGTGGATAAATTCTAAAAATTGCATTCAACAAGCAAATTTAATATCTGAAGGAGAAAGCAAAATCACGATTAAATATAATGAGAGCAGTCACAGGGCCCCGTCTAGGAGCGGGACACAAAGTGTTAAGAATGTTTTACATACACGCCGTTCGTTCCCTAGTTGATTATGCAGCGCCTGCCTTACTCACTCTTTCTCCTGGTCAGTGGGCAAACGTTGAGGTTATTCAAAACGATGCATTGCGAATCATAACAGGAGCTCCCAGGTGGACTAAAATACTGAACCTAAGGCTAGAAACTAAGGTAACGTCGATTGTGCATGCTGACCAAGATATTGACTTGGTCAGTTCACTTAAAGATATAATCACTGGAGCACTAACTCACGACAGAAGAGCCTCCAATAGCAACAGGTGGACCCATTGTGCGATAAACACCATCAATACATTCGATATAACAAACACAGTCACTGACAAGGGTGTCGACGCAGACTTAGACTACAGAATACATGCAGACTTCGTTATGCAAGCCCCTTGGGAATCTCCGCCAGCAGACTTTATGATTATGGTTATTGAAGGAAAAAAAAGAGACAAATCCTCATCTGCTACGTAATATTGCACAGATGCATATAGAAGCAAACATGGCATCCGACAGCTTCACATACTTCACAGATGGATCAGTAAACCAACAAGGACAAGAAACCGAAGCTGCAGTTAAAGCAGGAAACTGTAAATAGTTGGAGTCAAATGGGTGTTCGACTTTACAAACAGAGATGCTAGCGAGATTCAAAAGGCTTTGGAACATGCTCTTGTTCAACACATACATACAGATTCGAGAACCGCCATTGAAACATTGCAACAAGAACACATATGTGATATAAAATACATCTGATCACAAATGTCATATCATTAATGCAAACACTCAAACGACAAGGCCGACGGATACTTATCAACTGGGTGCCAAGTCATGTGGGAATAATAGGAAGTGACATTGCAGACGAAGCTGCAAAACTTGCAACTAAGAGAAATGTAGACATTTACATACCACAGAGTCTATCACAGATTAAGAAAGTCATTAGAAACAGAGCAATGCAAAAGATGTACAGTGACCACAACACAGCAGTTGCAACATCAGGATCTGCGGGTTGGTACAAGAATTCAACCAACTACGAACCACTAGGTTTGATGAAAGGGAACAGTAGAGTAACAGAAGTACAGGCTTGGATACCCATGTGCATGGGAAATAGGCTTACAGGTTCCGGAAGATGAGAGGAATTGTCAGCACTGTGGAGAAATGCTCGACAGACCACTGGAACATTATCTAACACAGTGCAGAGTCACAGCCAAAACAGATCACTGGAACATCTAACACAGTGTACAGTTACAAACCCAATAAGATTTCAACTTCAAACACGTGGGACAAAATCTTACTGAAGCGACCATACGAGTCATAAATACTCCGCAAAGGTAAAACAGAAACAAGCAACAATTAGTGGGCCAGCCAGAGGCTTAGGGCCCGCATAGGAATATCGCTGCAAAAAAAATATAAGAACACAAGAATAAAGATAACTGCATAAGAACATGAAAATGAACGTAATTGCAGAAGGCTTATTAGCACAACTCCTATTTATATCAACCTAAATGTAAAAAATCATTGTTAAAACCTTCACTTTCTGACCTACTCAGGTCAGAAATGGACCATGGACCTCTGACGCTGGTTCGAGTCAGTATATGCTGTACTGACTTTCATGACACGATGCTACATGCAAGTCTGTATCAGTAATGAAGCACCACCTTCTTCACTATTAGTAATGAAACACCATCCTCGTCATACGCTCTGAATACACAGTTACCCAACATGACCACCAAGAGGTGACATCACACAAACCTGTCCCAGAATGAAGCCGCGTTCAACCCTACTGGTAGAGCCAGTAATGACCATATGCAGGCGATGAGTCACAATAACGTGGCTAAAGTAAGTTGACCAGACCACACACAATCGACTTGAGAATGGTCCAGGACGGACCGAAACGTCGTTGTCCCTTCATCTTCTAATGTGTGGTCTGGTCAACAGTTGATCACCTTAGGCTGGGGTGGGTCTAACTCAGGGAAAGCTTCGATCATCTCCACAATTACCAAATCATCCAAGTTCTGCGAAATAAATATGCCGTGTACTGAGTTTTCTAAGCCTCTTTGTCGAGTTACACACGTTGGAGTCAATAGAAAAATTAGCTCGGGGACGGGATCAAACGGGACACAAATGGGTTGAGGTGTTAACTAACCTATTGGGCTGCGAAAAAGAAGGTCTCCAAACAGGCTTTGGGATGTCCTTGATGACGTCAGTCTGTATACTGGTTGGGGGGTTGACCACATCTTGTTCACTCTCTACTCTGCTCCTGAACGCCTTCATAAGAGACGTCTTCATCCAATTATATTGTGGAACAGCTTCAGCTTTTTTCAACATTTTTGTTCAACAATGGTAATAGTTACTGATTGCTTGTGTTCGCGTGAATGAAGTGGGAAGGTGGATCAGCCTGAGTCAAATATATATGCAGAGGTCAGGTGGAAGGAACGCCTCCCACCTGATGTGATTATTTACTAATGGAATTGGTAAGGTGGAAACTCATAGAAACATGAAACAAGAAAACTGTAGAAGGACTTTTGGCCTATACGAGGCAACTCAGATTTATATCTACCAACTAGCGAGAAACATAATAGAAGCAGGATCTTTGTCAATATCTCTTCATATGAAAGATTTCTAATTTGCGGATTAACTGTCATCCTTTGCTGGGCGCGTTCTAGTAAATTTATGTCCATTCTACAGTGTGGCGACCAAAACTGAGCTGTAAAATCTAAATGGGGGCTAACAAGAGCAAGATATAGCTGAAGAATAACACCAGGTGTTTTATAACTAACGATTTGAAAAATAAATCCCGGTGTTCAATTTGCTTTATTACGAAAATTTATGCATAGATTTTTGGGTTTTAAATTCTTACTAATCATAACTCCCAAATCCCTTTCGCAATCTCATAAGAACATTAGAATGAAGGTTACTGCAGAAGGCCATACGAGGCAGTTCCTATTTATAACTACCCAATCCCACTCATACACATGTCCAACCCACGTTTGAAACAATCGAGGGACCCCACCTCCACCACGTTACGCGGCAATTGGTTCCACAAATCAACAACCCTGTTACCGAACCAGTATTTACCCAAGTCTTTCCTAAATCTAAACTTATCCAATTTATACCCATTGTATCGTGTTCTGTCTTGTGTTGATACTTTTAATACCCTATTAATATCCCCTTTGTTATGTCCATTCATCCACTTGTAAACCTTTATCATGTCACCCCTAACTCTTCGCCTTTCCAGTGAATGCAACTTAAGCTTTGTTAATCTTTCCTCATATGAAAGATTTCTAATTTGTTGAATTAACTTAGTCATCCTACGCTGGACACGTTCAAGTGAATTTATATCCATTCTATAGTACGGCGACCAAAACTGAACTGCATAATCTAAATGGGGCCTAACCAGAGCAAGATATAGCTGAAGAACAACACCAAGTGTCTTGTTACTAACACTTCGATTAATAAATCACAGTGTCCTATTTCCCTTATTACGAACATTCATACATTGATCTTTTGGTTTTAAATGGATTAGGGCATGGCTATACCAAAGGAAACAGAGTTAGTATAAATGGAGTCAAGTCAGAGTGGGAAAATGTTGTAAGTGGAGTGCCTCAAGGCTCTGTCCTGGGACCTCTGTTGTTTATAATATATATAAATGATTTAGATTCAGGTTTGAGTAGCAACATTTGCAAATTTGCCGATGATACGAAAATCGGTAGGGAAATTAATTCGGAGGAGGACTCACTATCACTTCAAGTTGATTTAGATAGGGTTTTGAAATGGTCAAAGGATTGGCAGATGCAGTTTAATGCTGATAAATGTAAAGTTCTGAGGTTAGGTAATGATGATAGAGTTACAAGATACGAGCTAGATGGTGTTGAGATTGCGAAGTCGGATTGCGAAAGGGATCTGGGAGTTATGATTAGTAAGAATTTAAAACAAAAGGATCAATGCATAAATGTTCGTAATAAGGCAAATCAGACACATAAGAACATAAGAACATAAGAACAAAGGTAACTGCAGAAGGCCTATTGGCCCATACGAGGCAGCTCCTATTCTATAACCACCCAATCCCACTCATATACTTGTCCAACCCGTGCTTGAAACAATCGAGGGACCCCACCTCCACAATGTTACGCGGCAATTGGTTCCACAAATCAACAACCCTGTTACTGAACCAGTATTTACCCAAGTCTTTCCTAAATCTAAACTTATCCAATTTATATCCATTGTTTCGTGTTCTGTCCTGTGTTGATACTTTTAATACCCTATTAATATCCCCCCGGTTATGTCCATTCATCCACTTGTAAACCTCTATCATGTCACCCCTAACTCTTCGCCTTTCCAGTGAATGCAACTTAAGCTTTGTTAATCTTTCTTCATATGAAAGATTTCTAATTTGGGGAATTAACTTAGTCATCCTACACTGGACACGTTCAAGTGAATTTATATCCATTCTATAATATGGCGACCAAAACTGAACTGCATAATCTAAATGGGGCCTAACTAGAGCAAGATATAGCTTGAGAACCACACCAGGTGTCTTGTTACTAACGCTGCGATTAATAAATCCAAGTGTCCGATTTGCCTTATTACGAACATTTATGCATTGATCCTTTTGTTTTAAATTCTTACTAATCATAACTCCCAGATCCCTTTCGCAATCCGACTTCGCAATCACAACACCATCTAGCTCGTATCTTGTAACTCTATCATCATTACCTAACCTCAGAACTTTACATTTATCAGCATTAAACTGCATCTGCCAATCCTTTGACCATTTCAAAACCCTATCTAGATCAACTTGAAGTGATAGTGAGTCCTCCTCCGAATTAATTTCCCTACCGATTTTCGTATCATCGGCAAATTTGCAAATGTTGCTACTCAAACCTGAATCTAAATCATTTATATATATTATAAACAACAGAGGTCCCAGGACAGAGCCTTGAGGCACTCCACTTACAACATTTTCCCACTCTGACTTGATTCCATTTATACTAACTCTCTGTTTCCTTTGGTATAGCCATGCCCTAATCCAGCTTAATATAGCACCCCCAATACCATGAGACTCTATTTTTTTAATCAGTCTTTCATGTGGCACTGTATCAAAAGCTTTGCTAAAGTCAAGGTATACAACATCGCAATCCTTACCACTATCAACTGCCTCAACAATACTAGAATAAAAAGATAACAAATTTGTTAAACATGAACGGCCATTTATAAAACCATGTTGCGACTCAATTATTAATTTATGTTTTTCAAGATGAAGACGAATTTTATTTGCTATTATAGATTCGAGTAACTTTCCCACAATAGACGTTAGGCTAATTGGTCTATAGTTAGACGCAAGTGATCTATCTCCTTTCTTAAAAACTGGTATCACATTAGCAACTTTCCAAAACTCTGGCACTCTGCCTGACTCTATTGATTTATTAAATATGGTTGACAGTGGGTCACAAAGCTCCTCTTTGCATTCTTTAAGCACCCTAGCAAACACTTCATCCGGCCCTGGGGATTTGTTTGGTTTGAGTTTTACTATTTGTTTAAGATCATCCTCCCTGGTAACTGCTAAACTCGTCAACCTGTCCTCGTCCCCACCCACATAGACTTGTTCGGCTGAAGGCATATTGTTAAGTTCCTCTTTAGTAAATACAGATACAAAATATTTATTATAAATACTACTCATCTCTTCATCACTATCTGTTATTTGACCTGTCTCAGTTTTTAATGGACCTATCCTTTCCCTAGTCTTAGTACGATATAACTGAAAAAACCCTTTAGGATTTGTCTTTGCTTGCCCTGCTATGCGAACTTCATAGTTTCTTTTTGCTTTCCTTATCTCTTTTTTAACATTTCTAACCAGTTGTACGAATTCCTGTTCTAAAGTGACCTCCCCATTTTTAATCCTTTTGTACCAAGCTCTCTTTTTACCTATAAGGTTCTTCAAATTCTTTGTTATCCACTTTGGGTCATTAGTATACGATCTATTCAATTTGTATGGTATACTACGTTCCTGTGCTTTGTTTAGAATATTCTTAAATAAGTTATATATTGAATCCACATCGAAATCCCCATTTAAGTCACCTATCGCTGGGTTCATGTCTCGCTCCAAGACCGGCCCACACCCCATACCCAAGCCTTTCCAATCAATTTGACCCAAAAAATTTCTTAGGCTATTAAAATCAGCTTTTCGAAAATCTGGCACTTTAACAGAATTTTCTCCTACTGGTCTATTCCATTCTATGCTAAATCTGATTTCTTTGTGATCACTGCTCCCTAGCTCACTCCCTATTTCGATGTCATTAATTTGCGTTTCCCTGTTAGTTAACACTAAATCTAAAATATTATTTTCCCGTGTTGGTTCCTTAATGTGTTGCGTATTTATTTACACTTGGACACTTGGATTTATTAATCGCAGCGTTAGTAACAAGACACCTGGTGTGGTTCTCAAGCTATATCTTGCTCTAGTTAGGCCCCATTTAGATTATGCAGTTCAGTTTTGGTCGCCATATTATAGAAAGGGTATAAATTCACTTGAACGTGTCCAGCGTAGGATGACTAAGTTAATTCCCAAAATTAGAAATCTTTCATATGAAGAAAGATTAACAAAACTTAAATTGCATTCACTGGAAAGGCGAAAAGTTAGGGGTGACATGATAGAGGTTTACAAGTGGGTGAATGGACATAACAAAGGGGATATTAATAGGGTATTAAAAGTATCAACACAAGACAGAACACGCAACAATGGGTATAAATTGGATAAGTTTAGATTTAGGAAAGACTTGGGTAAATACTGGTTCGGTAACAGTGTTGTTGATTTGTGGAACCAATTACAGCGTAACATTGTGGAGGTGGGGTCCCTCGATTGCTTCACGCGCGGGTTGGACAAGTATATGAGTGGGATTGGGTGGTTATAGATAGGAGCTGCCTCGTATGGGCCAATAGGCCTTCTGCAGTTACCTTTGTTCTTATGTTCTTATAACAAAGGGGATATTAATAGGGTATTAAAAGTATCAACACAAGACAGAACACGAAACAATGGGTATAAATTGGATAAGTTTAGATTTAGGAAAGACTTGGATAAATACTGGTTCAGTAACAGGGTTGTTGATTTGTGGAACCAATTGCCGCGTAACATGGTGGAGGTGGGGTCCCTCGCTTGTTTCAAGCGCGGGTTGGACATGTATATGAGTGGGATTGGGGGGTTATAGATAGGAGCTGCCTCGTATGGGCCAATATGCCTTCTGCAGTTTCCTTTGTTCTTATGTTCTTATGTAACTATAAGGTGTGAAGGATTTTATTTTATTTTATTTTATTTATTTTATTTATATATATACAAGAAGGTACATTGGGTTTGTGAGAATACATTGGATAGTACAGTAATTACATTCTTGTAAAGCCACTAGTACGCGCAGCGTTTCGGGCAGGTCCTTAATCTAGTAGATAATTTTAAGTAGGTAAGTTCAGTCAGAATTGATAAATGAAAGATACATTATAAGAGAAAAATGAGATGAGAGAGATAAGTAAGTATATTTTCTGACCATGGGGAGAAAGATACTGGCAGTATGGGGCGTTAAAGTTTATTGAAGATTAAATTCTGCAGAACATGTAAATATATAAAGTTCAAATATATAAAGTAAGTAATTATATAAAGTTTATATTAAACACGGTTTATATTATAGACTTATAACAAAGTTGATATTATATTAAACTTAATATTGAACATGTAAATATATAAAGTTTCAAATATATAAATTAAGTAAATATATAACGTTTATATTAAAATATATAAAGTAAATATATAAAGTAAGAATTAACAGTAACAATTCCAAGTCCGAGGACTAGATTTAACTTAAAAGGAACACCCGTAGTAAGTATGAGACCTTAGCCTATAGTGACATGGAAACTAATTCTGCAGAAACCTAAAGGTTAACTGGTACTAGAATTAAGGCCGAGTGCAAATGTGTAGTAATTATATAACACTAGGATATAACAGGCAGGACACAAAGAATAACTAATAAGTGAGAGACCACATAACACGTAATGTACCCGGCCAAGAGGCCGTAAAAGACCTAATGGATAAGGAGAAGGGGGTGTGACTACAAGTAGGGCTTACTAGCACCTAGTTTAGTTTAGTTCATTTATTATGCACCCCATACCCATCTTGTGGGCGGTAGTGGAAAGGGTTACAGAGGCACATAATGGGCTCAGGGACTGAACCCCACAATTCATTTAGCTAAGCAAGTTACAATCTTGATGAGCTAGTTACAAAATTCAATATAAGTCATCACATCAACAATGGGTTCGAGATCGACCTCAAGTACAGGTTCTAAATTAAGCAACTGACATATGTGGAGAGCTAGTGTCAAAATTTATATGTTTGTCCTGCACACCGCCCCCCATCCAGTGGGCAGCGGTGGATAGGTTACAATCACTTAGTTACTACCTACAGTTAGCAAACTGGGGATATTTGGCTAAAATTTCTGGTAGCAGATCATTTTGAATGAAATATTGACACATCGCTGGAACATTGGTTATAGAATTGTCTCTAAATTCACGTATCTTTTCGCACTCCATCACATAGTGACGGAGGGTGTGCGAATAATTTTGTTGACACAGTTTACATTTGGTCAGGTCTACATCAGCAGATAATGAGAATTCCCAGAGATACTTGTAACCGAGTCTAAGCCGAGCAGTAGTAACATCTAGAAGTCTGCTGAGACTGGGCAAAGTATTAGCTGCGGACAGCGGGACACTTGGGGACCGGCGCTGCACCCCCCTTCCCACATGCAGTGGGGAGACAATCGGGACAACTGTGCAAAGCATGACGGGGGTACAAAAGCAGCCGCTTGCAAAGGGGGGGAGGGTGGGGTTTTGCGAGGGCAGCGGCGAGGGCAGCGGAGTGAGGGCAGAGCCCCATTGCGCGCCCGTATTTATACGGCCCCAAACTGCCCGCGCAACGCCGCGGAACGCGCTGCGCAATTGTTTCTTTCTCCCCCGCCAGAAACATCCCCGCTTGCGATCAAGCAGTGACCATTACAGCACATTGTTATATTAAAGCTCTGATTGATTGCATTGACAGCTTGATTAGTAATTTAAACAAGATTAATAGACACCATACAGCAGATTGACAGCACATATAAGATGAGAGATGAAGAGATGAGTAGTATTTTTAGTAAATATTTTGGTATCTATATTTACTAAAGAGGAACTTAACAATATGCCTTCAGCCGAACAAGTCTATGTGGGTGGGGACGAGGACAGGTTGACGAGTTTAGCAGTTACCAGGGAGGATGTTCTTAAACAAATAGTAAAACTCAAACCAAACAAATCCCCAGGGCCGGATGAAGTGTTTGCTAGGGTGCTTAAAGAATGCAAAGAGGAGCTTTGTGACCCACTGTCAACCATATTTAATAAATCAATAGAGTCAGGCAGAGTGCCAGAGTTTTGGAAAGTTGCTAATGTGATACCAGTTTTTAAGAAAGGAGATAGATCACTTGCGTCTAACTATCGACCAATTAGCCTAACGTCTATTGTGGGAAAGTTACTCGAATCTATAATAGCAAATAAAATTCGTCTTCATCTTGAAAAACATAAATTAATAATTGAGTCGCAACATGGTTTTATAAATGGCCGTTCATGTTTAACAAATTTGTTATCTTTTTATTCTAGCATTGTTGAGGCAGTTGATAGTGGTAAGGATTGCGATGTTGTATACCTTGACTTTAGCAAAGCTTTTGATACAGTGCCACATGAAAGACTGATTAAAAAAATAGAGTCTCATGGTATTGGGGGTGCTATATTAAGCTGGATTAGGGCATGGCTATACCAAAGGAAACAGAGAGTTAGTATAAATGGAATCAAGTCAGAGTGGGAAAATGTTGTAAGTGGAGTGCCTCAAGGCTCTGTCCTGGGACCTCTGTTGTTTATAATATATATAAATGATTTAGATTCAGGTTTGAGTAGCAACATTTGCAAATTTGCCGATGATACGAAAATCGGTAGGGAAATTAATTCGGAGGAGGACTCACTATCACTTCAAGTTGATCTAGATAGGGTTTTGAAATGGTCAAAGGATTGGCAGATGCAGTTTAATGCTGATAAATGTAAAGTTCTGAGGTTAGGTAATGATGATAGAGTTACAAGATACGAGCTAGATGGTGTTGTGATTGCGAAGTCGGATTGCGAAAGGGATCTGGGAGTTATGATTAGTAAGAATTTAAAACAAAAGGATCAATGCATAAATGTTCGTAATAAGGCAAATCGGACACTTGGATTTATTAATCGCAGCGTTAGTAACAAGACACCTGGTGTGGTTCTCAAGCTATATCTTGCTCTAGTTAGGCCCCATTTAGATTATGCAGTTCAGTTTTGGTCGCCATATTATAGAATGGATATAAATTCACTTGAACGTGTCCAGCGTAGGATGACTAAGTTAATTCCCCAAATTAGAAATCTTTCATATGAAGAAAGATTAACAAAGCTTAAAGTTGCATTCACTGGAAAGGCGAAGAGTTAGGGGTGACATGATAGAGGTTTACAAGTGGATGAATGGACATAACCGGGGGGATATTAATAGGGTATTAAAAGTATCAACACAGGACAGAACACGAAACAATGGATATAAATTGGATAAGTTTAGATTTAGGAAAGACTTGGGTAAATACTGGTTCAGTAACAGGGTTGTTGATTTGTGGAACCAATTGCCGCGTAACATTGTGGAGGTGGGGTCCCTCGATTGTTTCAAGCACGGGTTGGACATGTATATGAGTGGGATTGGGTGGTTATAGAATAGGAGCTGCCTCGTATGGGCCAATAGGCCTTCTGCAGTTACCTTTGTTCTTATGTTCTTATGTTCTTATAAGACGGCAATGATCACAATGGTAAACATGTTCAGAATGGGTACATAAAGATTGGGAGACTGGGTAGCAAAAGACACAGATAAACAAGATTTATAAACACCATACATTTAGATGAAATTGTTTATGAAATAATCTGAGATGAGGTCTGATAAAGACCTTTTGTGCCCTCTGTAATGCTTTTGCGCTACCGCTCACAGGATGAGTATGGGTTATCTTGAGATGATTTCGGGGCTTTTAGTGTCCCCGCGGCCCGGTCCTCGACCAGGCCTCCACCCCCAGGAAGCAGCCTGTGACAGCTGACTAACATCCAGGTACCTATTTTACTGCTAGGTAACAGGGGCATAGGGTGAAAGAAACTCTGCCCATTGTTTCTCGCCGGCGCCCGGGATCGAACCCAGGACCACATGATCACAATTCCAGTGTGCTGTCCGCTCGGCCGACCGGCTCCCCTATGGGGTGCACAATAGATTTTCCTCTATTGTGTTGCCTTCTTCTATTTTCTTGCTGACTGTTGCTCTGATGTTGGATGCCTCGGTTCTGCTGTTGATACCTTTCCTGTGGTGGTCGTTACCTGTAAATAGGGATAGGATTATAGCTTGTGTAATTAATTATGCCATTAAGATGATGAGATAATGGAGCGAGTATAAGTTTACTCGCTACACACATGAGAGGATGTGCAGTGACTTAATATCTAACATATTCAGAGATTTGAGTAGGGGTACCAAGTGATGTCTGGGGCCAGAGTTGGATATTGTCCTAATAGCAGCTTTGTGTTGAGTAATTAGAGGATGTAAATGATTTTGGGTAGTAGAACCCCAAGCACAAATACCATAGTTGAGATATGGATAGATGAGGGAGTAATGGAGCGTCACCAGGGCATGGCGGGGTACATAATATCTGATCTTAGAAAGAATGCCAACAGTTTTTGAAACTTTTTTTGATATATTTAGAATGTGACCCTGGAAATTCAGCTTGTGGTCAATGAGAACGCCATGGAATTTGCCATCTAATTTGTTACAAATTTGGGTGTTGAGAGAGCCCAAGAGGCTTTGGAACCTGTACACCAGTTGATTGACGGTTGAGAGGCGGGACCAAAGAGCCAGAGCTTAACCCCCGCAAGCATAAATAGGTGAGTACATAAAATGGACTCTGTTACCATCTTTAATACTAATCCGTTTTTGTACTGCACGAAGTCACTAGTATCCGAACACGTCTTCTCTCAACAAGTGATACCAAACAAAGTTTCTTTTAAGCTTGTAACGTTTTTTATTTATGACATAAATAACAACTGATATATTACATTTGAACAAAAATAAATATTTTATTTTATTTATTTGCAATGTAAATTTAGTAATTAATGACCAAAAGCTTCTATATTAATTTAATTTATATAGGAAAATTTAGGCACAAGTAGGTGGCAATAGTGATTCAACATTTGTTTTTGTTGAGAGAGAAATACATTGACGAGTACAGTGGCTCAGGTGTAGTGTACTGTAGGTGGTGTAGGTGATGAGGCTCGGACTGTAGGAGGTGTACAAGAGGCCAGGAGATTGTACAAGAAGCCAGGAAGGTGTACAAGAGGCCAGGAAGAAGGTGTACAAGAGGCCAGGAAGAAGGTGTACAAGAGGCCAGGAAGACGGTATAGAAGAGGCCAGGAAGAAGGTGTACAAGAAGCCAGGAAGAAGGTGTACAAGAGCCCAGGAAGATGGTATAGAAGAGGCCAGGAAGGTGTACAAGAGGCCAGGAAGTAAGTGTACAAGAGACAAGGGAGAAGGTGTACAAGAGGCCAGGGAGAAGGTGTACAAGAGGCCAGGGAGAAGGTGTACAAGAGGCTAGGAAGAAGGTGTACAAGAGGCAAGGAAGGTGTAGAAGGTGGTAAGGAACGGGCAAGATGCCGCCCACGGTGAACCAGCCCCACACTGTAGACCGAGACAAGCGGCCTCGCACCGGTGAGAGGAGGTCAGTACCATCTGTTATAGGTACTTGTATTGGTCATCATCACTGCTCAAAACACGGCCCCAAGATTTGTCGTGGTATGTCATCTGCACCCTGTAAACAATCCTAACCCAACCACACTTTTTATTTCTAATTTTCATGATTAGGGTTCTAAAAATGGGTCTAGGAGTATTCATGCTACATCATCTTGAAACAAACCTCTCCTATTCTAACCTATCCTGGTCTAGTGTCCTGGTCTAGAGTGTCCTATCCTATCTTATTATAACCTGTCCTAATGTAATATATCCCACATTTGTGTTTTTATATACTGTATAAGTACGCAGGCAATGAGTCACAATAATGTGGCTAAAGTATGTTGACCAGACCACACACTAGAAGGTGAAGGGACGACGATGTTTCAGTCCGTCCTGGACCATTCTCAAGTCGATTGTGATAGACTTATTTAAGAATGGTCCGGGATGGACCGAAACGTCGTCGTCCCTTCACCTTCTAGTGTGTGGTCTGGTCAAAATCTGTATAAGTACTCTACGCTGTGAGGTGTGTGAGATATTGTGGATGTCTTCGCCGAGCATTCTGCGAGCGCTATGTCATGGGTTCGTATCCTGGCCGGGGAGGATTTACTGAGCTCAATTCCTTAACTGTAGCCTCTGTTTAACGCAACAGTAAAATGTGTACTTGGATGAAAAAACGATTCTTCGCGGCAGGGGATCGTATTCCAGGGACCTGCCTGAAACGCTACGCATACTAGTGGCTGTACAAGAATGTAACAACTCTTGTATATATCTCAAAAAAAAAAAAAAAAAAAAAAAAAAAAAAAAAAAAAAAAAAATCTAATTGGATGTGACTGATAATGACAATCTTTTCTCTTATTGTTTCTTAATTAAAATTTTGTGACACTTATCAGGCAGATCTAAATTTTAGCAGTTATATAATTAGTTGTGGTTGGTGCCATCTTATACCTGGGTATGATCAAATTGTATATAAGATATTTTGACAAAGGGACGTTTTCAAGTTATCAATCCAGTGGATATTGTTAGGATAAGATGTATTAGCAAATAAGTTAGGTTGGATAATGTTAGATAAGTATAGAAAGTGTTGATGACCAGTCTTATGAAATGTGACTTGTATAGCCTTATAATTGGCCCAGGATGCTCTTCATGTTAGCTTTGTGTAAATGTACTATCTACACAGCAAAATTTGGGAAAACAAATAACCTGTTCTTTCTTCTTATTATTTAAACATTGTTAATCAATTTAGTGTTGATTTGTAGTTTTGCCCAGATTTTCCTTGGCTTGATTTCAGTTTCCGCAGTGCGAGGGATTTTTTGTTTGAATGATTTTCCCTGAGACTAGCACTAAGTTAATTGCATTCCTTGAACAGGAGAAGTTTAGGAAAAGAAATTCTACTCTTGATGGACCATAGACTGTAAAAACAAGATCAAATATGAAGAGCGATGCTGGAAGTGAGGTTGGTCTTCCGCCCTCTCCATTTACCCTCTATTGTCTCGATTTTTCGACTGTCTACTTCTTTGTTCTTGGCTAAGAATGAGATGTCTTCTGAAGGGGTCTTTTAGTCATTAACATTTAGATTATCTAGCCAGGGTGCATCATATTCTTTGTCCTCTGGCTATGGTAATTACCTAAGTGTAGTTACAGGATTACAGGATGAGAGCTATGCTCGTGGTGTCGCGTCTTCCCAGTACTCTGTCATGTGATGCTGTGTAACAACTGACAGTTTTGGCCTCTACCACTTTCTCATTTAATTTGTTCGAAATGTCTACCACTCTGTTTTTAATAGTGATCTTTTTTATTTTTTGGCAGCTTTGTTTGCTTAGTTTGAACCAGTTTTCAGAAATTCTTTTATATTTATTTTGTCAATACCTGTTACTCTTTTGTAGGTAGTGATCATATCAGCTGTTGTTCTTCTGTCTTCAAGCTTTGGTACTGTATATTTATTGGCTTTAATCTCGCCTTATAACTTTTGTGTTTCAGTTCCGGGAGCTATTTGGTTTTATGTCTTTGCACCTTTTCCAGTTTATTGATATGCTTCTTGAGATATGGGCACCATACAACTACTACATATTTCAACTTTAGTCTCACAAAGGTTGTGAACAATTTCTTTAATATTTTGCCATCCATGTACTGTACTTACAACACGCTCCTCGCCGTGTTCTTTATATGGTCCTCAGATGACAGCTTTCTATCCAGAACCACCCCTAGACCTCTTTCTTTATCAGAAAGATAAATGTGAAAAAGCTTTAAAGAATTCTTTAAAGCTTTTTTGCATAAGTTGTAGGTTGTGTGGGGCTTATTTTCTCCTATTCTACATTCCATAACATGACATTTATTAACATTAAATTCCATTTGTCAAGTAGTGCAGCACTCTTTGTGTACTACACACTGTACTCTTCAAGTCAAGAGTACATGCTGAGTCAAGATGCTTTCCTTGCATCATGTTAATGAGTCAGGTTGTGGTCCTGGGTTTGGTAGGTGACGGTAGGGGTCTCGGAGACCTGGCGTGTTGAGTCAAGTTCTGGTGAATCCAGAATTATGCTTGGGAGAGCTACCAGGGGGCACAATGTTAAAGAGTATAATTTCATTACATTCAGTGAAAGATTATTGATTATTGATGATCTTTTTCTTTTTTTATTACAAGTCTTCCACTTCAGGAACAAATACATATACGAAGGCAAGTATTTACTGTACTAATATTCTTAACATTTTATGCTTTGACTGAATTTGTTTCATCAGAGATTGATAACTCCAGCCATGATTGAGAGCTATAGGTTTGCATCTCAAAATAATGAAATTGTTATGTATGTTGACAGTAATTTATGTATACCCGACAGTGTTTTCATGAGTGTGTGAAATACAGAATAATTTCATAGCTTGGCAAACTAATTTTTGAAGATTTGTTGTGTGACACTCTTATGGCAGTAATAATGTTCACTAGTGAAGATGATCTCCTAATTGTATTAAAAGCAGAAAATGTGCCCGCACTGCATGATACCAATATCTTGTCAATTTCATCTCGGCAATTCCAAGATGACAGGACAGTCTTTGTTAAAAGATTTAGTCTCTTGATGGAAGACAAAATCTTATAATGCCATTATTGAGAATATAAGCCAAGTAAACTCAACGCTAACTGCAATCTTTGCATACAAGATTGCCAATGGAAAGAACCAGTGTCCCACACTCAAACTTACATTTGAGACTCCAGAGAACCTCAGGAAACAGAAGAATCGAATCCCTTGTGTAATGACTCAGCCTTGCCCCATATAGGGTAGTTAATTCAAACAAGGACACACTGGCCTGTCTTCTAAACATAAATACATACTATACAGTACTTAAATTAGAATTTTAAGTGTGTAAATTACATCTGAGTTTTATATTTTATTCATTAATATTTATTTTTCTTAGGTCTGACCTGGTGAGCCGAGTGAAGTATTGCAACACACTGCCAGATATTCCATTTGATCCCAAGTTCATTAACTATCCTTTTGATTCCAATAGGTAAGTGTATGCTTTTTTCATTGCACATAATTTCATAATTATCTATGATCTCTCAATTGTTTATGTATATTTATGAGAAAATCATTGGAGCAAAAGAGCGGGATCAAATCTGTGTCGTGGGTCACCTCGGAGTCATACCATACCCATGGACCATGGTGTGCTTAAAAGTTACACAACTTGTTAGTGTGTTGTGGTCAATGGGTATGGCATGCATTTGCGGTGACCCAGGGCGCTGGTTCAGTCCCACCGTCCTGCCCCAAAGACTTTCTCATGAATATACAGTACAGTATATCACATTCCAGAATTGTGATTTCATTGTGTAAAAGTTTATATTACTCTTGTAAAAGTTTTAATGTAATTATGAGTAGCTTTTGATTAAATAGTTTATTGTGCTCTACGATGGTATCACACACCTTTGGAATTCAAAAGGTGACACCACTAGTGTCAACACTTGCATCAGAGGAGCTCCAGCATATTTCAACAATCCTAAGTATTGTAGTACAGGTTAATGATAGTGAGTGGTGTCCCAAGGAACATAAAGGTATAGTGCTTTTGAAAAATTGGTGAGATAACAGGAATGTGCTAAGGGAAGTGAAAAAATTGGATGAGAAAAAGTTGCCCTAGTGTTTCCAGTGCAGACAAGAACATTCAAGATGGCCGCCGGCAAGAAGAAAACAAAACAGCTTGATTTTGGGGGATTCAATGAAGATAGCATTGATATAACCAGTCTACACAACAAGTTGGCAACAACGGCAAAAGACACGTGGGACTGAACAATGTTAAATGAACACTAGCTCCATACACATTGTTCAACACCGCTGCCAACATTGTAACGTGGGGTGGGGAAATAGCTCTATCTTGTCCATTCTTCCAACCCCCAGTTAACTAACGAGGCCGGGGGAAACAGCTCTCTCTAGTCCGTTATCCCGTCCCCAGTCAGCTAACTATTCTAGAGCACTCCCAGAGTTCCTAAGGCAACCTCTCTCGTTCAACACCTTGTAACCTAGGTATTTGACTACCTAGGTGCTAAGACTACAAGGCGCAGTAACTGGATCAGCTACCCGAAACCCTAGAGAGAACTCTAGAACACATTTCACTGCCACAAACGTATAAGAGACACGAAAGGAAAGAGAAGACTAGTGATGTTGACTAGACCACACACTAGAAATTGAAGGGACGACGACGTTTCGACGAACTTGAGTCCTGGCTTTGTTGCTGTGGACTCTTCCCTTTCACAGTATATACTCAAATGCTCTAATCTTTCTAACAAACGTGACTTAACATAAGCTTTCCCCCTTCCATTTCTTTCTTTCTCTTTCCTTTTCTTTCTCTCTTCTCCCTTTTTCTGTTCATTGTCTTCTCCTATGCTCCCTTGCTATCCTCTTCTTTTTCCTATTACTATCTCCTTCGGTGGTTATAATAGGAGCTGCCTCGTATGGGCCAATAGGCCTGCTGTAGTTCTCATTACTACTATCCCCTACACCTGACTTTCCTCCTTAGCTCTCTCTTGCCTATTTATTGCCTGTCCCTACCTCCTCATCACAATCGACTTGAGAATGGTCCAGGACGGACCGAAACGTCGTCCCTTCAATTTCTAGTGTGTGGTCTGGTCAACATACTTCAGCCACGTTATTGTGACTCATCGCCTGCAAGAAGACTAGTGAAGTAATTAGTGAGGGTTTGGGGTGAGAGGTAGAGAGGTGGGAGGAGCGAGGAGGGTCATTAGTTGAAAGTGAGAGTTTAGAGAGGGGTGGAGGGAGAGGTGTAGATAGGTAGAAGTAGAAGAGTAGATAGTAGAAGTAGAAGAGTAGATAGTAGAAGACGAAATGCTGCCACCATCCATTCATGATCATTACATACAAGACAAGGAATGGAACTTGTCTGTATTACAATATTCTCAAAAGATGTTATTATCATGTATTAACTCCAAACATGTACTCATTAAATCATGAAACCGCAGAGGCTTTCTCATCTCAACTCAAAGCTCTAGGGAACAGAGTTAAACACAATTTAAATAATAAATTCATAATTATATTTCACATGAAGTATCATAATTTAGCAATTCAATTAAAATGTTCCAGTTTAATATGCAAAGTGAGTCATCATCCAAGAATTTGAGAACCCTACAACTTGACTGCCCCTGATCATCACACAACATATGTAAACACGACCAAGTCACCTTAATGTTCAACTCGCCAAGTGTCTGCCTATAGCTGGATTGAGAGGGGGGGGGTCTGTAGTTGATAGAGACTCTCCCGCCCTGCCGGCCGACAGCCTCCCTGCTAGGCCGTATTCTCTGCTCTGCTGGCTCGTCTGCTGTTCTTCCCTTAATGCTCTCGAATCGATCGCTCTCCGAGTATATATTGGGGAACCTAGTAACTAACTCCGCCCAAAAGTAGATAGCCTCAGGCATTCTACCTAGCCACTCCTTAAACGTCGGCATGTTTGAAGGCTACCAGGCTCCAATTATAAGATTAGCAGAAGCAAGGTGAAATTCGCATGATCTGACCTCAGGTCACTTGAGGTCATTAACGCTTAGAGGTGTGACTTTCCGGCCGACAAACTGGCGCCTTCTCAAATCCCGGTCTGTGACTCATGTATCTCTATGTATTTTAAATACAACTAAACCAAACACCTTACAGTGTTACATAAAGACGAAGTGGAAAAAATGCTCAAGGACCCAAATAAGAACAAAGCAGTTGGTCCAGATGGAGTTTCACCATGGGTTCTGAGAGAATGTGCACCTGAGCTCAGCATTCCACTTCAACTGATTTTTCAGGCATCCCTGTTTATAGGAGTTGTAGCTGATGTGTGGAAAAAGGCTAACATAGTTCCATTCTACAAAAGTGACAGCAGGGAAGACCCCCCTTAATTAGAGACCTGTACCATTGACAAGTGTAATAGTCAAAATATTGAAAAAATAATTAAAACTTAATGGGTAGAACACCTGGAGAAAAAGATACAATATCAGACAGGCAGTATGCTTTTCGATCTGGAAGATCCTGTGTAACGAACTTACTCAGTTTCTGTGATTGAGCTACAGAGATTTTACAGGAAAGAGATGGTTGGGTTGACTGCATCTATCTGGACCTAAAAAAGGCTTTCGACAGAGTTCCACATAAGAGGTTGTTCTGGAAACTGGAACATATTGGAGGGGTGACAGGTAAGCTTCTAACATGGATGAAAAATTTCCTAACTGACAGAAAAATGAGGGCTGTAATCAGAGGCAAGGTATCGGATTGGAGAAATGTCATGAGTGGAGTACCACAGGGTTCAGTTCTTGCACCGGTAAGCTTCTTTATGAATGACATTCAAGCTGCAGATAATATAACGGATATTACCACAAACTCGGAAGACTTTGAAAGAGAAATTGACAATACTGTATGCCTATGCACTCAGCTCCTGGGCCTGACTCATGGAATTCAATATTCATAAAGAAATGTAAAGTACCAGTAGCGAGAGCACTCGGCGTAATATGGAGAAAGAGCCTGGATACAGGGGAGATACCAGCAGCACTTAAATTTGCAGATATAGCTCTGTTGCACAAGGGGGGGAGTAAAGCCTTGGCAAAAAATTATAGGCCAGTTGCACTAACATCACACATAATAAAAGTGTTTGAAAGAGTGATTAGGAATCAAATTTCTAGTTTTATGGAAAACAATGAATTGCACAATCCAGGACAACATGGATTTAGAGCGGGAAGATCCTGTCTGTCACAGTTACTCAATCACTATGACACTATGACAAAATCACAGAAGCCCTAGAAGAAAAGCAAAATGCAGATGTTGTATACACAGACTTTGCAAAGGCGTTCGACAAATGTGACCATGGGGTGATAGCTCACAAAATGAGGTCAATGGGAATAACTGGAAAAGTAGGACGCTGGATACTCAATTTCCTGTCGAACAGAACACAAAGAGTAACAGTCAATCGGATAAAATCGAGTCCAAGCGATGTTAAAAGCTCTGTACCTCAAGGTACAGTCCTTGCACCGCTACTGTTCCTTATTCTCGTATCTGATATAGACAAAAATACACGTCACGGCTTCGTGTCGTCCTTTGCAGATGACACAAAAATCAGCATGAAAATTACCTCTGCTGAAGACATTGAAAAACTACAAGCAGATGTCAACAAAGTTTTCGATTGGGCACAGAAAATAACATGATGTTTAACAGTGATAAATTTCAGGTACTCAGGTACGGCAAAAATGAGGATCTGAAACATAATACAGGGTACAAAACACAATCGAATCTTCCCATAGTAGAAAAACAGCATGTCAAGGATTTGGGAATAATGATGTCCGACGATCTAACGTTTAGGGAGCATAACCAAGCAAATATTATGTCAGCCAGAAAAATGATCGGATGGATTACGAGAACTTTCAAATCCAGGGATCCCATCACAATGGTTGTACTCTTCAAGTCACTTGTGTTGTCCTGTCTCGAGTACTGCTCAGTACTCACTTCCACCTTCAGAGCAGGAGAGATTGCTGAAATAGAGGGAATACAGAGAACATATACGGCATGCATAGACGAGATAAAACACCTAAATTATTGGGATCGTCTCAAAGCTCTCCAAATGTACTCTCTATAAAGAAGACGAGAGAGATACCAAATAATATACACATGGAAAATACTGGAGGACCAGGTCCCTAATCTATACAGTAAAATAACAACGTACTGGAGTGAACGATATGGAAGAAAATGCAAGATTGAACCAGTAAAGAGCAGAGGTGCCATAGGCACAATCAGAGAGCACTGTATAAAAATCAGAGGTCCGTGGTTGTTCAACGTCCTCCCAGCGACTATAAGAAATATTGCCGGAACAACTGTGGACATCTTCAAGAGAAAACTGGACTGTTTTCTAAGAGAAGTTCTGGATCAGCCGGGCTGTGGTGGGTATGTGGCCCTGCGGGCCACTCCAAGCAACAGCCTGGTGGATCAAACTCTCACAAGTCGAGCCTGGCCTCGGGCCGGGCTTGGGGAGTAGAAGAACTCCCAGAACCCCATCAAGCAGGTAAAGTGGCTGAAGTAGTTTGACCAGACCACACACTAGAAGGTGAAGGGACGACGACGTCCCTTCACCTTCTAGAATGGTCCAGGACGGACCGAAACGTCGTCGTCCCTTCACCTTCTAGTGTGTGGTCTGGTCAAAGAAAGGGATCTAGGGGTGGTTCTAGGTAGAAAACTGTCACCTGAGGACCACATTGAGAACATTGTGCGAGGAGCCTATGCTACATTTTCAAACTTCAGAATTGCTTTTAAATACTTGAATGGAGAAATAATAAAGAAATTGTTCACGACTTTTGTTAGACGAAAGCTGGAATATGCAGCGGTTGTATGGTGTCCATAAAAAAAGACGCAATGCTGAGTCATTACCGAGCGAAAGTGTTAAGAAGCACATCAACAAACTGGAAAAGGTGTAATGACATGCCACTAAGTGGCTCCCAGAACTGAAGGACAAGAGCTACGAGGAGAGGTTAGAGGCATTAAATATGCAAAAACTAGAAGATAGAAGAAAAAGAGGCGATATTATCACTACGTACAAAATAGTAACAGGAATCTATAAAATTGATAGGGAAGAATTCCTGAGACCCTGAACTTCAAGAACAAGAGGTCACAGATCTAAACTAACGAAACAAAGCTGCCGGAGAAATATAAGAAAATTCACTTATGTAAACAGAGTGGTAGACGGTTGGAACAAGTTAGGTGAGAAGGTGGTGGAGGCCAAAACCGCCAGTAATTTCAAAGCGTTATATGACAAAGAGTGCTGGGAAGATGGGACACCACAAGTGTAGCTCTCATCCTGTAACTACACTTACCTAATTACACCTCATTGCTGGACTCTCCAGGCACACACCTGAACTATGAACCAGGCCTCAACAATGATGAGCTCAACATAGTCCGGTAATTACCTAAGTGTAGTTACAATATGAGAGCTACGCTCATGGTGTCCCGTCTTCCAAGCACTCTTTGTCATATAACGTTTTGAAATTACTGACGGTTTTGACTTCCACCACCTTATCCCCTAACTTGTTCCAACCGTCTACCACTCTGTTTACAAAAGTGAATTTTCATATATTTCTTCGGAAGCTTTGTTTAGTTAGTTTAAATCTATGACCTCTTGTTCTTGAAGTTTCAGGTCTCAGGAATTTTTCCCTATCTATTTTATCGAATCCTGTTACTATTTTGTATGTAGTTATCATATCGCCTCTTTTTCTTCTATCTTCTTGTTTTGGCATATTTAATGCCTCTAACTTTCCTCGTAACTCTTGTCCTTCAGTTCTGGGAGCCACTTAGTTGCATGTTTTGGCACCTTTCCCAGTTTGTCTATGTGCTTCTTAACACTTTGGCGTACCCCGTGCGCCACCCATCAACTGTGTGATTTGGGTCCCAGCGCTTCACGGGAGCGCGCGTTAATTCTGAAAAGTGTATACTCTCTTCAACTTTGTCACCTCAATTCTCATCCTACGAGATTAAATTTGGTATCATTGTGTTCGCAATAGAGTTCTCTACAGCACTAAATGCATATAAACTCCAAAAGCCCGGCTAATTATCCGCAGCAAACAGAGAAAGTGCGAACGAGTTACCCAGGAGCGCGCAAAAGCGATAAAATGTGTTCACTCTTCACTCTGGTCACCTCAATTTTTGTCCTAAGTCTTTCATTTTGGTATCAATGGGTTCACAATAGAATTCTCTAGAGGAATATTAGCATATAAAATAAAAAACCTGGTCACGCTCCACCCGCCGACGAGTTGAAGACGGGCCACGCGTTAACCGCGAGTGAGCGCCCAGACGCCTTCCAGCTACACTCCCAATTCCTGCCCACAAATGTTTAGTATTTAGTATTTTAGTATATTTAGTATTATAGATTAGTATTTTTTGTGTAGTAGTTGTACATCACATAAGCATTGTAGATAGCCATTTGCACAAAATAGGTCATTTTCTTTGTCCATTTGTGAGTTTTCCTTATGAAGTGATAATATTTGATCATTTGGTCAAAGTGATCAACACCTTTCATGTTTGTATTGTAGTCACAGATTGCATTCGGCTTGTTGACAGTTATCAAACAGTCCCCCCAAAATTGGATAAAAACCTGATTTTTGGCAATTATTTTAGTGGACGACACAGCATTGCATCATCCCGAGATTACCAACAGTAAACGGATGACGCAATGCTGCATCATGCCCGGACTAAAGTGTTAAGATATGGGCACCATACAACCGCTGCATATTCCAGCTTTGGTCTAACAAAGGTGGTGAACAATTTCTTTAGTATTTTGCCATCCATGTATTTAAAAGCAATTCTAAAGTTAGAAAGTGTAGCATAGGCTCCTTGCATGATGTTTTTTATGTGGTCCTCAGGTGATAGTTTTCTATCTAGAACCACCCCTAGATCTCTTTCTTTACCAGAATTTTTTAAAGATTTCTCATATTTTATAGGTTGTGTGGGGTCTATCTTCTATTTCACATTCTATAACATGGCATTTATTTACATTAAATTCTATTTGCCAAGTGGTGTTCCATACACTTACTTTGTACAGGTTTTCTTGAAGGGCATGACATTCATATAAGTTTCCTATCTTCACTATTATTTTAGCATCATCAGCAAACATGTTCATATAATTCTGTATTCCATCTGGTAGATCATTTATGTAGACAATGAACATCACCGGTGCAAGAACTGAACCCTGTGGTACGACACTCGTGACATTTCTCCAGTCCGATACATTGCCTCTGATTACTGCCCGCATTTTTCTGTCGGTTTGAAAATTTTTCATCCATGTTAAAAGCCTACCTGTCACTCCTCCAATATGTTCCAGTTTCCAGAACAACCTCTTGCGTGGAACTCTGTCATAAGCCTTTTTTAGGTAGTGTAGTAGGTAGTGTGGGTGTGTGCGCGCGCGCTGGGGAAGTCAAGGAGCACAGGTGTGATCTCATCGTATAATGTCACTATTTTCTCTTACAATACAGTACTTTACTTCTGTATACTAAGGCCAGTTTGACTTTCAGGTATGTACGTTATAAGCAGACTTCTCTTGAGAAAAACTACCGATATGAGGTTTTGACAGAACATGATTTAGGCGTAACCATTGATCTTATTAATCCAGAGGCGTACACACCTGTCCCAGGCGCACAACTGCATCCAACAGATGAAAGATTGCTTGAAGATGACATTCTCACTCCACAGGTTTGGCACATTACGATAATTCGTGTAGTTAGCTTGTTAAGTAAATAGTACAATGACACTGCATCATTGAAAATCAGGACTGCTATATAATGGATCCTTCTAAATAACGAATCAAATCCACCCGCCAGATTTCCACTCTGAAATTTGGATTTTTAACAATGTGTGGATGCTAGTTGGGATTGCTATGAAAATCCAGATCACTGTTTCCCTAAAATTTTACTTCTTTGTTTAATTGTTTCTAATCTTCCTTTTTATTTGTAGATGTTACTCAAAATAGCGCTTTCATATTTAATAAGGGCTTTACTATGGTATAAACTTACTAACAGATTTGTTTATGTATGGGCACTTAAATTTTGATGCTTGTCAAATCATGAGAACAGGCAGCTGTGGTTCATCTGGGAAAACTTGTAAATTAAAAGAAATCCTGTTGAAAATAAAATAACATTTAGAATGATCCGTGCTAACAAAAAAAATCTTAAACAAATTTCTTGGATGTTTATACTGTACAGTATTCCCATAGGAATGCATTATAGGTTTTAATAATAATTCTTCCAGGTAGGCCCCTTTGGTAGGGCTTATGAGCATACTGCACAATTGCCCAAGGGTACATGATTTTTATTTGTCTCTTTCTGGGGGGAGCCCCTTCGGCTCCCTATAGCTTACTTGGCTGATATGCTAATATCAGACTTTGGCATCAGTCATGTGTATAGAGTTTTATGGGCCTACCGGGGACCACGAGCCAGAACCTGGCCCCCTCAGAACAGGCAAGGGGAGCAATGGCCTATAGAAACCCCCGTGTGGTTGGAAGCATTCTATGTCTGCCATCGACCGGGTCAGGCACCCAGAAAGGTAAGAGTCCCAAAACTAACCCCTATTCTGGTGCAAATTGCTACCATAAACCGAACAAGTGGATAGAACTCCCATAAAAGAAACGAGCAAACGATCATGACGTCACACGTCGCCGCGCCGCTGTCTGCGCAGCTCCCCCCCTCCCCGGGAGGGGAAAGGGGGAGGGGGGAGTGTGGTGTCTGTCTTCTAGGTGGTGCGTGAGCTGGTAGTGATTCTCCAGTACTCGCGCTGCATGCGCCTAGGGTTTCCTTCACTAGGTTCCCTGTAAGTACTGCCCTTCGTGTTGGAGCCATAGTCTCTGATCTCCTGGCGGGCTTGCTGGCATTGGGAAGTTTTCTGTACGGCAGATGTTCCATCTCCTCCTTTGCCAGTTTGGGTTCCGGCTCTGCGGGCTTGGTGGTCGCACCCGAGATCTTCCAGTGGCTCCTCCTCTTCACAGGCTCGCTTGGTCCATGGTGGGGCTGATTTGGTTCTGCCTCGAGTCTCTCACCTTCTGTTGGTGTTTGGGTGGCTTCATTGAGGGTGTCTCACCTGTGTGCTTCTTCTTGGCGGCAGTGTGGTTTTTTTTTGGCGGTCCTTCCTTTTCCTTCTGTCTCTTCTTTGGTAGCTGCGTTTTGTTGGCGTGGTCTTGTCCTTCTCTTGTGGTGGTTCGGGGTCATCAGCTTGCCACATACTGTCGCCTCGTATTGTGCGGCGCTGGCAGAGCTGCTTCAGTTTGCTTTCGGTATTGATGTTACATCTGCGCCGTTTCGCAAGCTGTCTCGTACGTTTTCACCTCCGGCATGCTCATGCACCACCTGAGCCGTCCTGGTCTTTGGACAGAGTGCTCTCTTTTTCTTTCTTCTCCTTGGTTTGTTGTGGCCCCTTCAGTTCGGGATTGTTTCTCAAAGGTTCTTTTCCTGTTGGCATTAGCCTCTGGGGGTTGGGTCGGTGCGCTTAATGCTTTCCTCCGGGGCAGGGATTTCTGCTCCTTCGGTCGTGGTGATAAGTTTGTTCATTTGCAGTAAGTCTCCTTTTCCGGCACGGAATGAAGCTGCTGCTCTCCAGAGGGGTCCTTGGGTTGTTGATGCTTGGTTGGTTAGGCCGGTGGTTCATCATGTTTTATGTCCGGTTGCGGCCCTCTGCCGTTCTTTGCTCGCCGCGACCTCTGTGTCCGGGACGTGCTTTGGGTTGATCCGGTTTTCTTTCTTCCCTGTTTGCGGGTGCGGGTCTCCCAGGTTGTCCACAGAGTTCTTCAGGCTAGCCAGCCTGCGGCCCATCCCCATGCCCATGACGTTTGTACGTTCGCTGCTCATGCTGCCGTCTTTGGCACTGTGTCCTGGGCTGCCATTCGGGCACGGGGCTTTTGGTGGTCAAACAGGGTCCTGGCTGCTTGTTGCCTCATGCACGTTCCGAGGCCTCTTCGGACCTGTGTCATTTTGGGTCGGCGGTTGCAGCCAGTGGTCTCGACTTCGAGTTAAGGGGTGAGCTGCGACTGCCTCCCGGGTAAGTCCTTCTATTTTCCTCTGTGGGTAGTTAGCTCTGGGGAAGTCGAAGGGGCTTCCCCCTGAAAACCAGTGTTAAATGTAATGAAAAGCCATTTTCTGGGTGAGACCTGGAGGCTCCCCAGCATCCCTCCCTCCCTCCCTCCCTCCGGTCAATGTATTTTTGCATTTTTTTACATCCAGCCTCAGAACTGATGGTGGATAGCCGGTGCGGTGGATCTGGGGCTCCCCCTCCTGGGGGTGGGGGAGCTGCACAGGCAGCAGTGCGGCGACTTGTGACGTCATGATCGTTTGCTCGTTTTTTTTTAGGGGAGTTCTATCCATTTGTTCGGTTTGTGGTAGCAATTTTCACCAGAATTAGGGTTTGTTTTGGGACGCTTACCTTTCTGGGTGCCTGACCTGGTCGATGGGAGACATAGAATGCTTCTAACCACACGGGGGTTTCTATAGGCCATCGCTCCCCTTGCCTCTTCTGAGGGGGCCCAGATTCTGGCTCATGGTCCCTGGTAGGCCCATCGAACTCCATACACATGACTGATGCCAAAGTCTGACATTAGCATATTAGCCTAGTAAGCTCCGGGGAGTCTCCAGGTCTCACCCAGAAAATGGCGCTTCATTACATTCAACGCTGGTTTTTTGCCTAAAATATTATTTTCAAGTGAAGATGCAGTTATAGGACGAGTCTATAAAAGGTTTAATGATTGTTTTATTTTACAGGATGCAAAACGTTCCAGGCATCATCATGTCAATGTTTCGTGGTTACGTCGAACTGAATACATTTCAACTGAGCCCACACGCTTCCAGCCACAGACTAATGAGAAAATTGAGGCCACTGTTGGCTTTGCCACACGTAGGAAAAATGCTTCAGTGAGTATTTTAAAATTCAATACACGTGTATATATACAGTGCAGTATTGAATTTGGACAGACTGGAAAAGATTTTCTATTTATGTTGCAAAGACAAACAAACTTAACAGAACTTAACCTTCCTAGACCTAACACATGCTATCTGAGGCCTAATATAGTACATACGTATGTATACTATCTGGTCGGCCGGATAGTATAGGGAGCCGGTCGGCCGAGCGGACAGCACGCTGGACTTGTGATCCTGTGGTCCTGGGTTCGATCCCAGGCACCGGCGAGAAACAATGGGCAGAGTTTCTTTCACCCTATGCCCCTGTTACCTAGCAGTAAAATAGGTACCTGGGTGTTAGTCAGCTGTCATGGGCTGCTTCCTGGGGGTGGAGGCCTGGTCGAGGACCGGGCCGCGGGGACACTAAAAGCCCCGAAATCATCTCAAGATAACCTCAAGATACTCAAGATAACCTCAAGATATATGTACTATGCCTAGGAATATTTAAAATTGTTTTTTAGCTTCATTTTTTCAGACTCTATATAGTGAATTGTATAGAATTCTACTATCTAATTATTTGGTACATCAATGTTTGTATTATGGTGCACATAGTTACAAAAAGTACTATACTACAGTATATAAACAGGAGGACAGGTTGCCAGATTGTGTTTTGACCAAATGGCTAAATAGCATATACTGCCATTTTAGGGAATAAAGTACAGTACTGTATATATTCATTGGAATGGATTGGAATTTACCAGTGCAAGAGTGTGCAATGTCACAGTAATGTGAGTGAAAATAAATAACCCACCCCAGTTAAAGTGACAACATTTCGGTATGTCCTGGAGCCTAATCTATAGTGTTGAATCAAGCTATCTAGATGTGCACTGTGTGTAAGATGTTTATGGTTAAGCAATCTTTTCCTTTTCTGTTTTCCATCAGACATTATCACCTTGCATTTTTCTGTTAACCGTAATCGATTAAATTAATAGTCGTCAAGATAACTTTGTTTGTTTCTGTGAGTGCTATCTGCAGGTTTTAAAGGTGAAGGACAGCAATGCTGTGAAGCAGCTGATGCCTTCCTCTACTGATGCAAACAGAAATTGATTTTTTTTTTTAAGAGTTCAATATTTTACAGAACAAAAATAAAATATGCAAAGTATTAATATTTTGGGACCAAAATATAGTGTCAAAAAATATTGTCATGATTGAGAAAATCAGTAGAAGCCGTCGTGGCGGATTCAAACCTTCATACTGGGTACTCCCAAGCATACGCCCTAAACAACTCTGCCATGACATGCTCAAAAGCAGCACAATCTTGGATTTGACTGAATTCTCTAGGGGTCCTGGATTTCCTATATTAGGTCATGTATTAGTATTTCCTCAAAAATATGGAAGAAATGATTCTCGACACTAGAAAATCCATCCAATGGTTGGGTCAAGTTACGACTAATTAAATCAAGGGAGACGTTATATATATATATTGTATATATGTATATTAAAATATTTGTATATTAAAATGTAGTGATAATGCCAAACACTTTACTCTTAATTACTGTTGTCTGTACTGAATTACCTATGGTGGTGTGTAATGTGACAATATGGATTATATTCTGGATGGAATTTATATTTTGTGAAATTATATACCCGGTATGTTAATTTGTGCAGTTGTGTTATGATGAGGGGAGAAATGTATTATATATTATATAATGTGTAATACATTCATAATACACTAATACCACTAATACACAATACATTAATATATTATATAAGAATGTATTATGTAAGTTCCTCGTAGATTTTGTCCAATTTAAAATAATTCCATGTAAGAATTTTTCCAAGATTAAATGACTTCAAATTTGATTACAGTATCATTTATTTTGACTTCTGGTAGGGGCTCCCAGCAGCCACTAAGGATACCCATCAGATGCGTTTCATTATGTTCGGTGCTGGGTTTTTATTCCCAAGCTAAAAGATGAAATGTCTTGAAGTAAATTGGTATTAATTTGTTTAAAAATATAAACAATATTTCAGTAATTGTACATGATTAAATAATTAAAAAACTGTGCTACACGTATCACTTAAATGTTGATGATGATAAGTCTAATCCTTTAAAGCATTTTACATTTTCAAAGGCAATACTTTGTGTAGTTATAACTAATAGTTCCAACTCTATTCCAGGAGGAGAATGTTTATACTGATCGTGATAGCCAACTTGAGGCCATTGAAAAAACCTTCCAAGATGTTAAGATTACTCTTGAGAATCACTACAGCAAGCCTGGAGTGACTGCAGTTGAAGAACTACCAATATACCCAGACTTTGATCTTTGGAAGTATCCATGCGCTCAGGTCATCTTTGACTCGGATCCCGCACCAGTGGGAAGACCCATGCCGGCTCAGCTTGAAGAAATGTCTCAGGCTATGATTAGGTAAATATCACCGAACTGTAATTTAATTAACTGTTTGGCCGTCAACTTAGATCAGTTGGTACATCAGCGGTCTTGCAGGGTCAGTATTTGATCCTCTATGGCCTAATGGTTGGGCGCTGTTCCTTCATTCTGTCATATCTCGGCTTTCTCTCCTCACGTCCCTTCCTAGTGCTATATAGCCGTATTTGGTGAGGGTACCCATCTTTGCCTGATGTCTCTTCCACCCCCTCCTCTTCCTTATTCCTTCTCTTCCCCTTTTACCTCCTCTCTCGAAATCTTCTCCTTGTTCCCTTTCTCTCCCATTCATCCCCTTTTAATCCCCTCTCATCTCTTTTCCTCTATCCTATCCTTCCTCATCTCTCTTCTCCTAGCATTGAAAAATTGTAAAAAACCTACAAAAAACACATCCTCTATTTAAGACTTGATGAAAATTGCAAGGGGTTGCTATAGATTCAGATAACATTTTTTCTGGGGGGAGCCCCATCAGTTCCCTGGAGCTATCCAAGCTGAATGGATATGTATAACTTTCTGGCATCAGTCAAAGTGCTTGGAGTTCTTGCCTACTGGGGACCTCGAGCCAGAACCTGGCCCCCTCAGAGAGGTACGAGGAGCAATGACCTATAGAAACCCCCCCCCCCCCCAACCCTGTGGTTGGGAGCATTCTATGTCTGCCATCGACCGGGATAGGCACCCAGAAAGGTAGGCGCCCCAAAACAAACCCCTATTTTGGTGAAAATATTGCTACTGAAAACCGAACGAGTGGACAGAACTCCCCAAACAAAATTATCAAACTAGCATGACGTTATCACGTCGCTGCCGTCTGCGCAACCCCCACCCCTCCTTGGGAGGGGGAAGGTGGAGCCCCAGACCATCCGCGCCAGCGATCCAACTGGCAGTTCTTGGCTGATGGAATTACTGGGCGGTCGAGTGCCTCTGGCTCTGGTTTTTGTCTCAGTTCTGTGCCTTGTGGTGTGGACTGTCTACCGGTGGGGTGTGAGCCAGGAGTGAGATTCCACGGTACTCAGGCTGCATGTGCCTAGGGCTCTCTTCCCTAGGTCCCCTGTAAATGCTGCCCTTGGGGCTTGGGGCCACCTTCCACAAGTCACCTTGGGTTCTACCTTTGCTGTCTCCTTTATTGCTCGGTACTGGGCCGCCCTTGGAGTCGGCTGGGGTATTGTTACCCTTGTTTGTCTCTGGGTAGGTGGGGGTAGGTGGTAGTTTTCGTCACTGGTAGGGGCGCGGGGTGCTGCACAGCTAGTTTTCACCAATAACAGCGGCAGGCTCTGTTCTGCCTGAGTACGTTGTCCTCTTGCGAGGTTTTTCTTTTAGTTTTGTTTTTGCCTGGTGAGGGGGGAGGTCTGCCTTTATGGTCCCCCTTTACTGTTCTAGGTGTTTTTATTTAGATATTTTCTGTTGGGTGGTCCTCCCCACTTGGCCTCTGTGAGTGGACACTTCCCGGGAGTTCAGCTTTTTGAAGTTTGGTAGACTTGGGCGCCGGTTCGCAGTACCCTGCCTGGGCTTCCCTTAGCGTGTAACCAAAGCTAATGGCCCTGGAAAACCCCACGGGGGCTCTGTGGTCCTATGGATGTGTCCCCCGAGTCCCCCCCTCGCACATTGCGAGTTTGACGATCTGTCCCCTTGTCTCAGGTGACACTCACCAATTGTGCCTCTGCCATGCTGCCTGTTGGGTCATTGTTTCTTATGACCCGGAGGCGTGCGACTGGTGTTGTCTGTACGTGTTCTCGTTCACCCAGGCCACTGGTCATGATAAGGGGATGCAGGCGGCTGCGGCGTTGCGTGCAAGGGTAGGTTGCTGCAAGCTCTTGGTTGGTTGCGGCCCCGGATGCCCCGAGGCTGCCCCGTTTTGGTTGTTGGGGTCCGGACTTGGGGGTGGGGGTCACTTCAGTTCTGGCTCCTTCCGCTCCTCGTCCTTCCCCCCTCTGTTGTGCACACTTCCTCCCTTGCTTCCGGCTCCAAACCATAGGCGGGTTTCGAGGTTGGAGCAGAGTCTGGTTGGGTTGAGACTCGATCTTGGGGGGGTTTTCCTCTTCCGGGGTGGCGGCAGAGGCATTCGAGTCTGTTCCTCCAGCCATGCCGTGTGGGTCTGACCAGTGGGCTCCCTTCCTTAGTGTTTGTACGGCTGCCCCGGCTCTTCCTTGTGAAGCTGGGGCTTTGGGGGTGCGACTCGGCCCCAGGTCTTACCGTACTTAGAGTTCCCAGGGTTCGGGGAGGAGTTGCCTGGGTGGCCTCGGCCCCGTTTTGCCTTGCTTGGGTCTTTATACCCTCGGTGTGGGGCTGGCAGTGCCTCAGAGTGGGGTTGTTCCTTCCCCCTCTGCGTTTGTGTAGGTTTCAGGTCTACCCCTCCCTGGGTTCGGTTCCGTGTCCCTTCGGGTTCCGTCCGGTCCCGTCATTCCTGGGGGTGTATTTCGCCCCCGTTTTCCTCACCCTTTTCGCGCTTACGTCACGATACCGTTCCCTTCGTATCTGGGTACCTGTGTCTCCCTTGATCAGGGGTGTATTTTTGTCCATATGTACCTAAGGCATTTGTGCTTGCTTGTCGTGGTTCTCATTGGTTCGCGAACCTCTTCGTACCTTCCAATATTATTGGAAAGTTATTTGTTGCGTACGCCTTCCTGGTGTTTGTACGATATGTGTATACGTACGATACGTATACACATATACGATGTGTCTGTACGTTATGTATGTGTACGATATGTGTATGTTCGCCTGGTGTACGAGCCGCACCGCCCAGTGGACGGGTGGTGCGGTTCGTACCTCGTGCGCTGGGGCCGGGGTGTTCGTTTTGTTTCTGGGCGGTATACTCGTGTGTTCTGCTTTTTTCATCACGGTTTTCTATGGCTTCTTGCTCGTTTTCTCTCTCCAGTCATAGCTCTCTAGATGCTGGGGGTGTTCTGGATTTTATATATGGGGTTTTTCACTTCATTGTTTTTCTCTGCTTCCGGGTGTGGGGTGGCTCAGCGTGGCGCCACTTCCACCTCTGTACTGCACCTCGTCTTCTCCTGGGCGCGCACCTCTAGACATGTTTCACCTTCGATTTCAACCTTTTATTCAGGTAACAGTACATACAATGCCTACAGCCTCTAGTACGCAAGGCGTTTTGGGCGAACCACTAACGGTGCTCCTGGTATGTTACTCTGCTCGACTGTGTTGTGGCATGGTCGTGTCTCTGCTCTGCAGGTGAGGTTGTCCTGTCTGGCGACTCTGTCGGCCAGGTGCTGGTTCCCGACTTTCGGTGGGGTACTTGCCTAGTTGTGCTTGCAGGGGTTGAGCTCTGGCTCTTGGTCTCGCCCCTCTACTGTCGTTCGGTGGGTGTGCAGTTTCCAGAGCCTACTGGGCTCTATCTTCTCTACATTGCTCCTGTGTGTGGAGTCTGCTTCTTCCGCATCGCTTCCTAGTGCATTCCATTTCCTACCTCCTCTGACATTGCTCAGGTTCTCTTTAATGTCTGTGGGTCATTGGGTACTCAACTTCCTCCTGTGTCTCCTTGTGCATGTTCCACCTTTGGTCACTACACTATCCTTGTTTGCTCTGTCACTTCCCCGCTTGGCAGGGTTGCGTCGATGGCTCCTCATGGGGTGTTGGGTGTTGTGTTTTGTTTGGACACTTTGCGTGTGTCTTCAGTGCCTTTCCTTTGTCCGTGTATCTTATTCTTCGTTGTCCTGTGGGGCAATGCCCCGCATTTCGGTGCCTTTTGTTTCGTTTTTCGGCACCTGGGTCTTTTCCCTATGTGTGGACACTCCTTCATTCCCTCGGTCCTTGTTTGTGCCCTTCATTGCTTGGTCTCTGATCTCTGGACACTCATTCCTTGCCTATCTTCGGTGCCTGGCTGCACCCTGATATCCATGGTGCCCCTCGGTGTATGTGCGTCCTCCACTACACACTTGGTGGTGGGTCATGTACATTGTGTTGCCGGCTGCTACTTGGTCCGTATTCGGGGTTTTTCCTCCTCCTATGCTACACTTGACTGTGTATCTGGGTTGGTGCTTATTGGCTATACTGATGTTGGGTTCTCGGGTGGGCCTCTGTTCATGTTCAGTTCCCTGCTTTCGGTCTACCCCGGTGTTCTGTTTTGGTACTGAGTTTCTTCACTTTTTCTTTGTATCTTACTGCAGGCTTCTGTGTCATGCTGTCTGTGGGGATTTTTGCCTTTTGGTCCACTGCTCCTACCCTACTGGTTCCTTTTCTTGAGATGGGTAGCTGGGATTCTTGTCCTGGCTCCGTTTTTTTTTCCCCTTTTCTGAGACGTGTGTTTTTGTTTTCCTGCGGTTCACGTCCTGTGCATTCTCCTCCTTGATACCTCGGGGACGTGTGCATCATTCTTCCCTGCTGGAGTTGGTTGCGCTGCTCCTTTGGGTTACGGGGTCGCTGTTTTTTGCTTTGCGTCTCGCGCTTTCATTCGTGGTGCTCGTTTTTTCCTCATTGGCCTCTGCCTGGGCCCTGGCTCCTTGGTGTTTGGCCTTGTTGGTCCTTCAGGGGTCCTGGATGGGGTTCCTCCCGGACGGGGCGTTTTCTGCTTGCCCGGGTTGGTTCCTTTTCGGCTCGCTGGGATTGGGTTCCTTATTTCCCTGGCGGCTGTTCCTTTTGGTTTTGCCTGCCTTGGCGAGACCTGCTGCTTTACTCGGTTCCGGTCCTGTGGGTTTTACCGTGGTTCTGCCTCTTTTTGTGGATCGGTCCAGCTCTGTACAGGGCTGGTTCGTTCTTCCCCTTGAGTTTTCGCGTCTCGGTTTTTTGTCTCTAGTTTCTTATCACTTGTGTGGGCACTGGAGGCTTCGTTGTTGGTCTCCCACCTGCATGCTTCGTCTCGGGGGCGGTGTGTTTTTTTTTGGCAGTCCTTCCGGTTTTCCTATCACTGCGAAGGGTCCTTCGGTCTCTGATAGGATTGCCTCGTCTTCCCTTCGGGGTTGTTCCAGGACCATCGTTTGGGTCCATGTACTGTCGCCTCGTCGTGGGTGGTGCTGACGGAGCCGCTCCAGCTTGCGTTCAGTGTTGCTGTTCCTTCTGCTCCGTTCAGCTTGCTGTCTTGGGCGTTGTTTCGCCTCCGGCCTGCTCTTGTGTTTCCAGTGCCATCCTGGTTGTTGGCCCGGGTGGTCTATTTTCTTTCTTCTCCTAGTTTTGGTCCTTGGGTTGCTGCTTGGTTGGTCAGGCAGGGGGGTGCTTCCTTTGTTGTTCGGTTGTGGTTTTTTGCTGTTCTCTGCGCGTCTTGGACTCTGGGGTTGTGGACGCGTTTTGTTAACTGCGTTCCTTTTCTTCCCTCATTCCTGTTCTGGGGTTTGGGTCTTCTGGGTCGTTGTTTTGTTGTGGTCTGGGTTTTTTAGGTTAGGGCGCGTGGCGTCCGCGTCCCAGATCATTCCCTATTTTCCTTATCTGTGGTGAGGTAGCTCCTGGGAGCTGACGGGGCTCCCTCCAGAAAACCAGCGTTGAATGTAATGAAACACAATTTTCTGGGCGAGTCCCAGAGGCTTCCCGGCATCCCTCCCTCTCTCCGGTCGGCGGTGTTTTTCGCTTATTTTGACATATAGAGTAAGAACTGTCAGTTGGATTGCCGGCGCAGATAGTCTGGGACTCCCTCTCTTCCCCCTCCCGGGAAGGGGGGGGGGGTTTGCACAGACATGATGACATCATGCTAGTTTGATAATTTTGTTTGGGGAGTTCTGTCCACTTGTTCAGTTTTCGGTAGCAATATTTTCAACAGAATAGGGGTTTGTTTTGGGGCGCCTACCTTTCTGGGTGCCTATCCCGGTCGATGGCAGACATAGAATGCTTCCAACCACATGGGGGGTTTCTATAGGCCATCATTGCTCCTCGTGCCTCTCTGAGGGGGGCCAGGTTCTGGCTCGTGGTCCCCGGTAGGCAAGAACTCCAAGCACTTTGAGTGATGCCAGAAAGTTTTACATATCCATTCAGCCTGGATAGCTCCGGGAAGCCTCCGGGACTCGCCCAGAAAATGGCATTTCATTACATTCAATGCTGGTTTTTTAATGGGTGGCATTGTGACCTACCCCAACTTGCCTCTTTTTTTTCTTCTTTTTTTTCTTCTTTTTTTTTCCTGCATGGGCCCTAACCCTCTGGCTGGCCCACTAAGTGTTGCTTGTTTCTGTTTTACTTAGGCGGAGTATGAGTATTTATGACTTGTATGGTCACTTCAGTAAGATTTTGCCCCATGTGTTTAACAAGTTTTTCTGCTCTGTTGAATCTAAGTTGAAATCTTATTAGGTTTGTAACTGTGCACTGTGTTAGATAATGATCCAGTGGTCTGTAAGGGCATTTCTCCACAGTGCTGACATTTTCTCACATCTTCTGGAACCTGTAAGCCTATGTCCCATGCACACGAGTATCCAAGCCTGATGCGATGTAAGTGTACTTCTGTTGTTCTACTGTTCCCTTTCATCAAGGTGGTTCAACTCACACTTGACGCTCGCATACCCGCATGTGTTACCTTGTAAAAGTTGGACGAGACTGACCCCAAGCATCTGACTGCCTACTTTGGAAAAAGACAGACAGACATTATATTTTATAGATATAGAATGACTTAAAGCTTTCTCCTGATAAGTACATTGTCTTGCTGATCAATTTTATGCAGAAATTTTGTATCTGTTTCTCCTACTTGGTGAGCAAAGTGGTCAGTGATGTTACATTTTTTATTTATGTTCTGGAATATGCCTTCAAACTTTAATATCTTCTATTATGTTTTAGTCTGTTCTCTGTTGCTTTTTTGGTCTTTACTTTGTGTCAAATATACTTTCTGTTGAATAGATAATGACTTTCATTTTAGTCACACCCATTCTCATTATGTAATGTACTGTATGTTCATTAGTTAGAGTAGAGAATCTAGACTTTCCACACTACTGTTCATTATATATATGTTTAATACAATTAACTTGTGTCTTTCTAGGGGTGTGATGGATGAATCTGGGGAACAGTTTGTGGCATACTTCTTGCCCACGGACGATACACTTAAGAAGAGGAAGCGCGACGTTGATGAAGGAGTCGAGTACATGGATGACGATGAGTATGATTACGTAATGGCTCGTGAGTACAACTGGAATGTAAAGAATAAAGCCTCCAAAGGCTATGAAGAGAACTACTTTGTGGTTATACGTAATGATGGCGTTTTCTACAATGAGTTAGAGACGAGGTGAGTGTCTTACAAATTTGTTTAAATTCAAATTTTAGAAAGCAAACACTGCAAGTACTTGATAGATGTAAATACAGTATTAGAATGTGGAAATGGTATTGTAATTGACACACTGATGTCTTGACTTGTCTGAGTGTACCTGATCATAAACATTCCGGGCATCATAAGGTCCTGCTTTGTCAGGCTTAAAATGTTTGACGTTTTCTCAGTTTTTGAGTTATACAGTAACTATAAATCTGGTGTCGGAATGTTGGCAATTTAATGTTCTTGAGTATAGATGCACAACTAAATGGGTATTGATGATTTGATAATGAATGATGTTACTAAATACTGTATACAAATGTTTATGAAAATCTCAACATTCCTCATTTATGTTTCAACAAAAATAAAGAATATATAGAAATGTGCACATGTGATTGGTTTATATCGCTGTGACAAGAAATATATATAACTGTCATACATTTCGGGCAGATAATTTGCAAAGCACAGTGAAAATATTCACCAGGAGAGCTATTACTGTCTTGTGTGATGGGTGGTTGGTTGAGGTGATCTCTGGATGGCCCCCCTGATTCTTTTGTTGGTCTCCTGATAACCTATTTGTACACTGCATGGCAAAAAAAAAAAAAAAAATTGAGAAATTTGAGACGGATGATGCATTTTAGCATCATCGGAGTGTTAGTGCTAGCAGAGGTTAACTTTAACAGAGGTTAACAAAGGTTAACCTGGCACTTTTTACCCTTTAAAATGGTATAGTATTTTACATTAAAACTTATTTTTTTTCTTGAGAATATTGCAGTATGGTACTGGTATCATAAGATAGGTAATTACAAAATTTCCAAGGATGTACCTTCCACTTTCACTGTGTCAAATTTACCATATTATTCCTAGTGATATTAGGCCCATACCCCTAGTTTTGCATCTTTCTCTAATATTCTTATCATGTACTGAACACCCAAGGTGACATTAAATACACTGCACAATAAACGTGAATGTGTGAATAAATATTGTGCCCGATATGTTTATAGACGCAAGTTTGATTCCATTGTACTGCTTTGATGTTTATTCGTCAAATCCATTTATTTTTGAACAGAGTGCGTTTAAGCAAACGTCGCCTCAAGCAAGGTCAGCAGCCTAATAACTCTCGATTGGTTGTCCGTCACCGGCCCCTTATTGCACAGGAGCACAAAAGTCAACGCTTCCGAGAAAAAATGCTCGAGCCTCCGGGTGAAGAGGAAGAGGAGGAGGAGGAAGAGGAGGAAGAAGAGGAAGAGGAGGAGATGGAGAATGAAAAAGGTACTGTTCATCTATGTATTAGAAATCAACAGTAGGAATATTTTATGGTTTTGTTTATTGTTCTTTGCAAAAGGTGTCTGATCAATATTTCATTATATTTATGTGAAAACTACAACACTTAGTTATGATCTAAGAGCTAAAGTTTCTTTTGTTATTGGTAAATTTAGTCGAATGGCAACTATTGTTTATTTTATTGCTTCTTTTATCTGTAAAAATACCTTTATTTGTTCTACTTAGTCTTATTGTAAGTCTTTCCTCATGTTGCAAGTCATTTCCTCATACAAGTCTCTTTATTTACAAGAGTATGTGTGCGTTGAATAATTTGATAGATCACGTAATTAACATGTGATCATCTTTGCACCATCACGCAGACGATGAGTCACAATAACGTGGCTTGAAGATATGAGAACTAAACCACACACTAGAAGATGAGGAAACGACGATGAATCGGTCCATCCTTGACCAATATCAATTGATAATAAATCAAGTGATTATCAAGTCAAGACAATCAACTTGATAATGGTCCAGGACGGACCGAAACATCGTCGTCTCATCTTCTGGTGTGTGGGTTAGTTCTGATAACATAACACAGGATAATATTTCAATTGATGATTGGTTTATCAGGTATACCCCATTACAATCATAGAGAGTAGTGAAAAGGCTATCAACATAATATTCAACGGTGTTGGACTCTGGGCTAATTGTCACCATATAGGTGAGAGTATAGATTGCAAGAAAGGTGTCAGCCACCAATGTGGCACACACAATCCCTATGTACAAGAGTGCTACCTGATAGGTGGAAAAAAGCTAACATAGTTCCAATCTACAAAAGTGGCAGCAGGGAAGACCCCCCTCAATTATAGACCTGTATCATTGATAAGTGTAATAGTCAAAATATTCGAAAAATAATTAAAACTAAATGGGTGGAACACCTGGAGAGAAACAATATAATATCAGCTAGACAGTACGCTTTCTAACTTCAGAATTGCTTTTAAATTCACAGATGGCGAAATACTAAAGGAATTGTTCACAACTTTTGTTAGGCAAAAGCTAGTCAGGCACAGGGCGCCTGACAGCTGGGTGGACAGCACTTCGGATTCGTAGTCCTGAGGTTCCGGGTTCGATCCCCGGTGGAGGCGGAGATAAATGGGCAAAATGTTTCTTTCACCCTAATGCTCCTGTGATCAGCTAGCAGTAAATAGGTACCTGGGAGTTAGACAGCTGCTACAGGCTGCTTCCTGGTGATGTGTAACAAAAAGGAGGCCTGGTCAAGGATCGGGCCGCAGGGACGCTAAGCCTCGAAATCATCTTAAGATAACCTTAAGATAACCTGAGACTAATCATTAGCCAAACCCCTACACCAGCACACAACCTAGGCCAGCTACTCGATACATTTCTGATGCTATATGTCCCCAGCACTTAGAGCCTGAGCTGAGTTGCTGATTTCTAGGATATGATGGCCAACAAACCTGAGGGTATAATAGCCTTACTTGACTTGATTTTCCTAGTAATGGACAAAGGTTTACTGAGACCACTCGACACCAAAGTTGGATATTCCTGTGGCCGCCCTTAGAAGCCTTCTGGAGACATGCACAAAGATGTCCTCTTTCACCACCCCCTGGGGAGACATGTGCACTCCAGTTAACAGAGTTCAGGGTATATCTTTACATTAACTGAATACCAAGGCATGGTAGGATGCGAGGCCAGCAGAGCTACCATGTCTGATGGTTTGTAGTGAGGTGCTCTAATCCCCATCAAGTGAGTGGCTCACAGTAACCCTCCTTCACTATGGTATATATTAAATATAATTCCTCATTCACCAAATCCTTCACCATCAGTGGAATATTCCCCACAGTTCTACTTGACTTTCAAGCTTCACAAATCCACTTAGAACATGAAATTAATACTAACAATGAAGTCCAACAATACACAAAACCCACTGCCTAACCACTCCACCAACATAAGTGGATTCTAATTTACTACAGTTGCACTTCTACTCCACCAGGTGTTTGTATGGCACTGTATATTCTTGCACGCTCTTGTTTTCACGGGAAAACACATTGCAAACTCTTACACCTCTCACCTCATAACTCTGTGGATGACTACTGTGGTGACAGTCCTACCTGGTTTCCAGAGGCATTGCCTTGCTGCCACCACCACTGACAGCTAGCTTGCTCTCCCAGGTCTCGATAACAAATCCATTTCAAGTCTACAGACCTTATACTGTATACAAAAATCTGCACCCATGCTATAATGGTATATGAACATGAATCTCAAGCCATTTTACCCCTACCAAACCCACGAGGTAGCTTATTGGTTCAAGCCAGCCACACATAGCGACCCTTGTCTTGAAGGACTTGTCTGGACTCAAGTACCCATTAATTTTGACATGTCACAATATTAATGACATAGGAATTTCCTGTCCACACATCTACACCCAGAGTCCTCGCTGACTCCACTCTCTCATACCCTCAGTCATACCCTATACACTCATTCAAGATCCCTTGTTATACCTTGTATAGTGAGTTTCTCAAATAACTTAGGAATATTGAATCATAATAGTTTATATCATAAAATTTGCCAGCATAGGGGAGCTAAGGATGCCTTTCTCGAATGCCTGCAGCTAAAGCATATCTTGTTAATTCTTGTGTTTATTGATATCTGTCTAGTACTTGATAAATTTCTTCATTATTTTTTAGGCAGTGCCAAAGGATCTGATGATGAAGGCAGTGAGAGATCTCGATCTCGCTCAAGATCAGGAAGTAAGGAACCTGCCCGCAGCAGGTCAGGTTCTCGTTCACGCAGCCGATCGGGCTCTCGCTCAAGGAGTCGTTCTCGCAGTGGCTCACGGAGCAGGTCTCATAGTAGGTCCCGCAGCAAGACCCGTAGTAAATCCCGCAGTAAATCTCGAAGCAGGTCACGCAGTAGGTCCAGCAATAAGTCTCGGAGCAAGTCCCGCAATAAGTCTCGGAGCAAGTCCCGCAATAAGTCCCACAGCAAGTCTAAATCAAGGTATGTAATCACTTCATAAACACTGGGCGTCAGAAACCATAGTCAGTCGGGATAAATCTTATCTTTAGCTGGAATTACAATTTTGTATTTATGATATAGAGATGATATTTGAGTTCAGATAGATAAGCAATACCATCACCACCACCTCCCACTATAGTTACCTACCACTTCCATCCATTTAAATTGCCTACCACTACACTACAGTCCATTTCCAATTCTATTCCACCACTGAATTGCTACCATCACCTACCATGAGATGAGTGCCAGAGATATACACTATGAGGATCTGAGGTTTGATTCCTGATTGAGACAGAAATGGTTGAGCATGTTTCCTTTAATCTGATAACTCTGGTCACCAAGCAGTTAAGAGGTAGCATAGTTTACAGATGAAATCCATGGAATGTTCAGAAATGCCGGCAAAAACTTAGAAAGACAGGATGTGGTTGATTGACTTGAATAAGATGCCAATGACCCAGGATATGGTGTGATGAGTAAAGACGAGATTCTCCAGTCTATTACTGGTGAGGTCGACGTAGAGATGGAGGATGAAGAAGGCAGTGAAGAACCAACACCAATGACCACATAATACACTGTACTCATGACCTATGTTGACGGATTAATAAATTTTTCATCCAATTGTGCTCATCCAGAAGTTGGAAACGTGTATCAGTACCTGAGGTGAACAAAAGAGCTGATGATACAACTGGCCAGTGAACACAGAAGGCAAGCTACACTTGATTCTTATATGGTACGAAAATCAAGCAAAGCGCCTTCAACAAGTGAGGCGTTACAGGCAAGCCCAGCGCCTTCAACAAGTGAGGTGTCACAGGCAACCCAAGCGCCTTCAACAAGTGAGGTGTCACAGGCAAGCCCAGCGCCTTCAACAAGTGAGGCGTCACAGGCAAGCCCAGCGCCTTCAACAAGTGAGGCGTCACAGGCAAGCCCAGCGCCTTCAACAAGTGAGGCGTTACAGGCAAGCCAAATACCTTCAACCAGTGAGGCTTCCGCAGCTGGTAGTCAAATCTAACCTTGCCTAATGAACTGTACAGTAATTTTAAGTGTTAATTTTAGTGTTGTGTTAGTATAGGTTACATAAATTGTCAAGAATTTTTAACTTCAAGATGTGTGGCATCAATCAAGAAGACGAACAACAACAAGATAATTTGAGATTTCTAGTTGAATATTTAATAATTATATGTGGCAAGGCAATTCAAATTATGTTGTTTGCAGTATAAAAATAGTTGGAAATGGTTAGTTTTGGACTCGTAGGTGAAAAAGTACTATTATCCGGAACACGTGATTATCCGGCTATATTCCCATATAGTCCGGATAATCGAGTGGAGACAGTATTGTTATTGTTTCTTCTCTCTGTGATCTGTCTCGGCACTGCTCGTTATCTTTGCATGCTCCTAATCCGGGATGCCTGCTTGGGCTACTTGTAGCCCAATTGGGTTGCCGTTTGGGTTCGTTGTCTTCATTGAATAAGCCGGCTATGTATGTTACTGCTTACTACTTTTTGGCTCCTGTACCCATCAGCTGGATTGTTTCTTCTCCTGGGCAAATCACTCGGGTCACAGTCTGTTGGCTACTTTTCTTTTCTTCCTCTGTGGGTAGTTAGCTCCGAGAAGCCGACGGGGCTTCCCCCAGAAAACCAGCGTTAAATGTAATGAAATGACATTTTCTGGGTGAGACCTGGAGGCTTCCCGGCATCCCTCCCTCCCTCCCTCTGGTTGGCGTTTTTTTCATGTGTTTTGACATCCAGCCTCAAAACTGGGGTGTGGATAGCTGGCGCGGGGGGTCTGGGGCTCCCCCTTTCCCCTCCCTGGGAGGGGGGGAAGCTGCTCAGACAGCAGCGCGGCGACATGTGACATCATACAGTGTACTAGTTTGCTCGTTTTTGTTTGGGGGAGTTCTATCCACTAGTTCGACTTTTGGTAGCAATTTTAACCAGAATAGGGGTTTGTTTTGGGATGCTTAGCTTTCTGGGTGCCTAACTTGGTCGATGGCAGACATAGAATGCTTCCAACCACACGGGGGTTTCTATAGGCCATTGCTCCCCTTGCCTCTCTGAGGGGGCCAGGTTCTGGCTCGTTGTCCCTGGTAGGCCCATAGAACTCCATACACATGACTGATGCCAAAGTCTGACATTAGCATATCAGCCTGGATAAGCTCCGGGGAGCCTCCGGGTCTCACCCAGAAAATGGCGTTTCATTACATTCAACTGTGTTTTTTTTTTAAATATTTGTCTAAAATCAATTTCTGAAAATATTTTGATGAAAGTTTCATGATGCTGAGGGCAGTAAGTTGGAGATTTGTTTTAACATTTTTAAGTAATTTTTACATAATTCAAATATTTTTTGCTTCCCTGCCTCTTTTGCTGAGCAGTTTAAGGGTTAAAGTAGTTCCTCTCACACAAGGGCAGTGTCCCTCCGACCAAGTGGAGACAAGTAGCTACCTTGGTGGGACTTTTAACCCTTAAATGGCGCATAGCCATATACCATTTGACACCCACAGGTGCATACCAAAAAAAAAAAAAAAAAAAAATTATTTTTCTTCCTAACCTGTTAATTTATGTTCACTGATCACAGGAAAAATAATTAAAAAATTCTAAGTGGCATATATTGCTGGCTATAGTGCGGGGAATTCTGGCAAAAAATAGGCGCTGACTGAGCGTGCGTCCCAGGCGGTCTGTTGATCGCCAGCTGTCAGGCCGGAGTTGCCACGAAGAGATAATTACCTAATTATTTCAATGTCTCTGATTGATTTTTCGTAGTTTTTTTGCTGTAATATTATTCAATAGTGTGTAGTGTGATATATTTATATAATAAAATGAGTGAATCATCGCTGTACTCAAAAATATGGTGTGCATATTGTTGATTCAATTATGTTCATCAAACAGTGAACAAATACTTTGTCGGTTATTACACTATATACACAGATTATATATAAGTATCTGCATGTTTTGTTCACCATAACTGTACATCTAAGCTTGTATGGTGAGTAAAGGCACAAAGACGTAGGACCTCACACAGTCAGCTGATGGCTGCCGCCCTCAAGGCCAGACGCACTAATATTTCTCCTACAACAATACTGTTTGTGGTGCTATTATGCTATATACACACATTATATATAAATATCTACCTGTTTTATTCACCATACTTGTACAAGTAAACTGGTATGGTGCCCAAAGACCATCGTGGTCATCAGTAAACAACATGGTAAGTCCTGCAGACGATGCTCCTCCCTCACCAAAATGGCGGCTCCCAACCTACTCCTCTCGCTGTTTATACCCTCTATACACACGTTATATATAAGTATCTACATTTGTGTTCACCATAGCGAACCACTAAGCTGGTATGGTGAGTGCAGTCAATAAAAGGTGGCCACACACAGTCAGAAGATAACGCCACTACCCTCCCCTCCCACAGCGTTACTCCTCCCTCCATGGCGCACAGCGCTAAATATCACCACAATCCTGCTATTATCAGAACCCTGGTCAGTTTTATCACAGTCAGGGGTCTTCTGTAATAATATCATCGCTACATAATAGCATGAACAAGAATTTTATGGCATTTTTAGGCGATACTGTGGTCACAAGCTGAACAGCAGTGCTGTGAGTTCATGCTGTGTGCGTCAGGCTTGGTTGCTCACTCAATACTGAGGCCAATAACACCCGGGAGTTTGGCCCACGATTTAAAAAAAAAAATGGCGTCTGTTTACAAGAGCCCTGATGAAGGTGTGGTGAACCCCATGTATCCGCGGGCCGTTTAAATCTTGCATAGTACTCCAAAGCATCACATGATGCGATGAGCAATTTACTGCAAGTCGGTCAAAGCATCATATGATGCGATGCGCAATTGAAGGGTTAAACTTGGTACATATATTCCCTGAAATGTTTGTACATGATTCACTTAGGAAACGCACTCTTCAGTATTAATCTTTTAGCATTCTAGCATTATTGAAATGGGAATGGGTCTTAAGTATTATTGAAAATGTCCCATCCTTACACTGATAGGCAAGTACCCATCATCACACCTTGCCTCTCCCCCCCCCACCCCATCACAACACCACCCTTAACCCAGTCCCAGTCTCAGGTACCCCACTGTCAGGGGCGCCTGACAGCTGGGTGGACAGCGCTTCGGATTCGTAGTCCTGAGGTCCCGGGTTCGATCCCTGGTGGAGGCAGAGCCAAATGGGCAAAGTGTTTCTTTCACCTTGATGCCCCCTGTTATCTAGCAGTAAATAGGTACCTGGGAGCTAGACAGCTGCTACAGGCTGCTTCCTGGGGGGGGTGTAACAAAAAGGAGGCCTGGTCGAGGACCAGGCCGTGGGGACACTAAGTCCCGAAATCATCTCGAGTTAACCTCAAGATAACCATGATAACCCACTATCATCATTACTTATCACTACTCCCACTGTACCACTTATTAATATTGTCCTTTTCTCATTTTACCAGGTCTCGTTCCCGCTCTGCATCTGGTTCCCGGGCTTCGCGGTCACGCTCTCGTTCACCCATCAAATCAAGATCTGCCTCTCGTTCTCGTTCTCCAATTAAATCAAGATCTGGTTCTCGTTCTCGTTCTCCAATTAAATCAAGATCTGGCTCTCGTTCTCCATCAAGGAGCAGATCCCGAAGTGGCTCCCCAGCTAGATCAGAAAGGTTCGACTTGAGTTGAATGTTGTTACATTTTTCATTAACTTTGACTACTGCACTTTACTTTCCTGTATCAAAGTTGTTTATCTATTAACCAAGTACTGTTCACCTTTACACAGCATAAGTGAATATGTTACCATTCTATAATGAGCCTCCTTTCCACAAGCACTTATAACCTAAGTGGTACTATAGTTCAAGCATGTCAAATATGCGGGCCGCATGTTTGCAAGCACACCTGTGGCCCGCATTCTTCTCCACACCATTCACCTTTGATGTTTCCAAGGCAGAAGAAAACCTGCAGATAGAACTATTAGAAATGCAGTCGGATTCTACACTCGGAACCCTTATGACAACAGAAATGTGATCCATATGGCCCTGGGGGGGGGGGGGGGGAACCCTCAGTTTGACATGTCTGGTGTATAATCTACCTGCTAGTCAGTCTTTTTGCTGTTTGTGCCTTCTGTGCATAGAATAAGTCACAATAACTTGGGTGAAACTAATATCCCAATGCATACATATGATATTAAATGAAAGTGAGAGTGTTTTGGTTCATCCAGGCTCTTAGTAAGTTACCCACTCTTGTGTGTGTGTGGGGGGGGGGAGGGGTTGGGATTATAAGTGCTTGTGGTGGGGATTTTTTGTTTACCTTCCATGTTATTTTATGTTTAGATTCCCAGTTATTTGTATTTACTACTATTCTTTCCATATTCATGTGCCACCTGTCCAAATCCTTTTAATAGTCTTATTTACTTCATGAGAGATTTTCTTCTTAATACTTTATGTATTTTCTATGTCTTCAAGCCTTCTGTGTGTGTGTGTATTGAGTTCAAATTCACTTCTCTTCTTGTACTCTCATTGTAGTTACTGGAAATCCTCATTAGAAACGATTTGGAATTTTAGAAAACTTTAAATAACACAACATGCTTCTCCCTTGGTAGATTTCCTTAATATTTACAAGTTTCTAAGTGGTCCCCCTTCAATAGCTTTCTGAGCTAAACATGTATCCAGCAAAGCTCATTGAGTTGCACCAGGTTTCTGAGACTTCTCTGCAAGGTATGGGGGGAGTGGTCACAGATTAACCCAAAGCCAAGTAAATAAAAACCAGAAAAGAAAAGCACAACAAAACCCGCAACTGCTTGAAAATTAGATACCCAAAGATAAAGAAGCAAAATCTTGTTGTCAATGGGTAAACACCCTAGCCGTAACTCACCTGAGCATATACTGTAGTATGGGCAGATTATGTAACCTGAGGCTCCAGACACTCCCACTCCCTCACACATGTGGGCATAGAATCGAAGGCACAGAATATCTAATGGGGCCCCATCTTCAGTTTCACGCTAAATCTTCCCTGATAAGTTCTAAAAAGTACAGAAAGGAATTAAAAAAAAAAATATGCATCATGAACTGCCTGAAGGTAATATTAACCACCGTGCTGCGCTGAGTTTATTGTGAAATTCCGCCGGTGCGCATGAAATAAAGTGTTCCAAAAAAATTCTTTTTTCTTCATAAAGTGATAAATTCCCTTCCCTGAACATGTCTATGTAAAAATAAATACCAAATTTCACTCACTTTGGCTGTGGGGATGTGGACAAGGTGCGCTGTGACGTCATCAGGGCCTGGTCGCCCGTGCGTGAATCTCCCAGACACGGTCGCGTGGGCCATTCAAGCACCGGGTGTTGCCACAAATATATTTTCAATTATTTGTTTTATGTATTTACAATGCGGTTTTATTTGTTTTTTATCGTATATGATGCATATTTGTGTCCTTTACAATATGTATACAGTAGAACGTTCATAATGGTCCATGAAACTGTGATACATGTGTCAGTAATGTGTCCACAATAAATGTTTATTGTCGCAATATTACCTGTTAAAAATTCACTGAAATTACAATATGTACAGTTTCACACACTATTTATACAGTAACACACTGTATTACGCACTCAGTACTTCGGAAGTGAGTAACAATCAACGAAGCAGTCCATGGTACACAGCGTGACTTCGCTCTCAGTGCACCAGGTACAGATAAATTTTTGCTTCCTGTTTCTTCATTCTGTGTGCTTGCAAATAACGCACTCACGTACACCCTTGGCTTTAGCACTTGTAGGTTGTATGTAGCCAAGCTTGTAAATGATAAGGTAGTATTGAAAAGATTATAGGAAAAGATCAATTTGTAAGGTAGTCTTGAAAAGATCGCTTTGTATGGTCCCACACAGGAAGAGATTCAGCTTGCCTCAAAGAGTATCCGTCAGTCAGAAAGAGATTCAGCTAGCCTCAAAGAGTGTCAGTCAGTCAGGAAGAGATTCAGGTATTCTTGAAAATATCTATGGGAAACACCACTATGGAAGCTGCTAACACTGTTCATCTATGCTACTTGTATCAGATACATCATCACTGAATGCAGAAACGATTTATCTATGTATCATCTAAATAAATTGGAGATAGCATAGGATTGCAAGGGTGATGCTCAGAGCTACAACTGGATACGCTCGCTGTATCGTCCTCATAGGTGCTGTGTCACTTGCATCTGACCTTTGTGTTAGGTCCTTATTGCGCCTAGCTTCACCAATATTATGACCCTTATGTTCTTCAAACAATAAGGTTTGAATTTCACCGACAGAGCATTATCTTTCAACACCGCGTCGGACAGGTGTTTGGGAGCCAGAGGTGCATGTGCTCCCCTATAGTTGCTCCTTCAGTACTAACTCAGTCAGCAGCCCTAGGGCATTCTGGGAATTTTTTCCAAGATGGCTGCCTCTCACTGGAGGTCCTAAGAGTACATTTCGTACACAACCAACCTCGTACACATTTAGAATTGGCACCGAAAAATCAAAAAGAGTTTTCTTAGTTGGCGCAGTTTCCCGTCGACCGAGAATACTCGGTTGGCGCAGTGAAGTGGTTAAACAATAGAGAAGCTATATAAAAAATTTCCACCTTCAGTAAATCATCGTTCCAACAGTTCTGGTCAGGAGGCTCAAACCCATGAGTTATCAAGCTGTAATAGGATTTTGTTTGTTTATATGCATTTCATTCATTCTAGTTTGACTATAGTAACTTGTATATATGTGTGCAAGTATATATATCTTGGATATGTGAGCAATTAAATTGGTCCCTAATTGTAATACCACTCTGCTGTACTTACTGTAGGAGGCAAGTTAATGTTATATACTCTCTTCTTGATATATAGTGATGACCTGCTAATTTCTCTCAATAGATCCGCTAAGTCGGGAGCTTCCAGCAGATCGGCAAAATCGGCACGATCAAGTCGCAGGAGCAGAAGCGGCTCTCCAGCTGTCAATGGTTCCGTGGGCCAGTCTGGATCCCCTGCACATAGCAAGGCTTCAGGCGATGCTTCTGGATCTGATTCAGGATCTGACTCGGATTCTTCTGGCTCAGGTTCTGGCTCTGATTCAGATTAGCTTTTTGTGTACAGAATACTATTATGTATGAACAGAGTACAGTACAGTATATAAATATAATGTACTATACATGTTTATCAACAGTACTGTACTGGTACTGATATATACTGAATACAGTACAGTACTGTATTACAAGTAAGTCTGGGATGTTTTTTAAATTTTTGCTGTATATCTGCTGTATGGATATGATTATCCAGTAATAATTATTTGACGACACTACGGATGGCAAATTGAAAGTGACCGGTGAGCCCAAGTGACCAGTGAGCCCACATTCTGTGTCATGTATTATTTTTTATTTTTTTATCATTTGCAAGGTTATGTATTCATACAGTATTATGCTAATTTATGAATCAAGGGTTTCATAAAGTTTTAGAGAACAGATGTACTGTAACCCAGTCACAAGTTGAGCCTGGCCTCAGGACTCCCAGAACCCTCTCCAGGTATGCTCATGTGAAAGGAAGTGATGACATTTTGGTCCATCATGAACTCATAGCAAGTTACATCTGAGAAATACAGGGAGAGTCTTGCCATTACAAGACAAAAGAAGTGGTAAGGTTTAAGTTGAAAAAATAAAGCATGAAATCCAAGCCAAATTATAAAGGAGAGACTTAACCAATAAGAAATGAACAGTAAACAAATCTTTCTTCAACCTGTATTTCTTGGTTTTGATTTGATATGGATCGAGGATAGATTGAAATATTGTTGCTTTCCCATTATTTCATGTGTGGGTTGGGTTATTTGTTTTTAATCAAGTTACTGCCTGCATCTACTCAATAAAACATCTAAATTATTAGAACCGCTTAAAATTTTTGTATCAGTATTCCCTAGAGAGTAAGTGAGAGAAAAATACACAATAAAGAGATACTTAATAATTTACACTTGGAAAATGTTAGAGGGACTGGTTCCAAATCTGCACGCAGAAATAACTCTGCATGAGACCAAACAGTATGGCAGAAAGTGCAAAAAACCAGTGTTGAATGTAATGAAACGCCATTTTCTGGGTGAGTCCTGGAGGCTCCCCGGAGCTATTCAGGCTGAATGGGTTACCTTGAGGTGCTTCCGGGGCTTAGCGTCCCCGCGGCCCGGTCGTCGACCAGGCCTCCTGGTTGCTGGACTGATCAACCAGGCTGTTAGACGCGGCTGCTCGCAGCCTGACGTATGAGTCACAGCCTGGTTGATCAGGTATCCTATAATATGTATATGTATGTATAACTATGTATGTGTATATATGTATGGTATGTATAACTTTCAGGCATCAGTCAATGTGCGTGGAGTTCTTGCCTACTGGGACCACGAGCCAGAACCTGGCCTTCCCTCAGAGATGCACGAGGAGCAATGGCCCTATAGAAACCTCCCCCTGTGGTTGGGAGCATTCTATGTTTGCCATCGACCGGGTCTGACACCCAGAAACGTAGGCGTCCCAAAACAAACCCCTATTCCGGTGAAACTATTGTTACCAAAAGCTAAACGAGTGGACAGAACTCCCCAAATGAAAATTAGACAACTATTATATATCTTAACATGCTAAGGAAACCCCAGGCAGGGTACTGCGAACCCGGCGTCCAAGTCTACCAAACGAACTTCTAAAAGCTGAACCCCCAGGATATGTCCACTCATGGGGCCTAGCGGGGAACACCACCAACACACACAATAAAACACACACCGACCCCCAACAACAGAGAGGGGGAAAACAAGGCAGATCTCCCCACCAGGCAGAAACAGACAAAAACAAAAGAAAACCCTGCAAGAGGACAACGTACCCAGGCGGAACAGAGCCGGCCGCTATAATAGGTGATAACTAGCTGTGCAGTTCCCCGCGCAACCCGTTCTCGCACTTTCATATAGTCAATATTGACTTATTAAATACGTGCATATATGACATACTAATTTATTGTGAATATTTTAGTTTACCTTGAAAAGCTTCATAGAAAACACCGACCTTACCTAATCTTCTTAGTATGTTAAGATAAGCATCTTATTGCTTCGTAATTACAATTATTACTTAACCTATACCTATAATAGGTATAGGTTAAATTACAATTATTACTTAACCTATACCTATAATAGGTAAAGTAATAATTGTAATTACGAAGCAATAAGATGCTTATCTTAACATACTAAGAAGATTAGGTAAGGTCGGTGTTTTCTATGAAGCTTTTCAAGGTAAACTAAAATATTCACAATAAATTAGAATGTCACATATGCACTTATTTAATAAGTCAATATTGACTTAAAGAAAGTGCGAGAATGGGTTGCCCCGCGCCCCTACCAGTGACGAAAACTACCCCCTACCCAGAGACAAACAAGGGCTACAAAACCCCAGCTGACCCCAAGGCGGCCAAGTACCAAGCAGTAAAAGACACAGCGCAGGTAGATCCCAAGGTGACTTGGGGCCTCCTTCTACAAGTCCCAAGGGCAGTACTTACAGGGCACCTAGGAAAGGAAACCCTAGGCACATGCACCCCAAGTACCGTGGAATATTTCTCCTGGCTCACACACCACCTGTAGAGACAGCCCACACCACAAGGCACAGAGCTGAGACAAAACAGTAGCCAGAGGCACACAACCTCTCCAGAATCACATCAGCCAAGAACTGATAGTTTGATTGCTGGAGCGGGGGTCTGGGGCATTCCCTTCACCCTCCCGGGGAGGGGGGGGAATGCGCAGACAGCAGCACGGCAACGTGATGACGTCATGCTAGTGTGCTAATTTTTGTTTGGGGAGTTCTGTCCACTCGTTCGGCTTTCGGTAGCAATAGTTACCCCAGAATAGGGGTTTGTTTTGGGACGCCTACCTTCTTGGAGTGTCAGACCCAGTTGATGGCAGACATAGAATGCTCCCAACCACATATGGGGGTTTCTATAGGTCATTGCTCCCTTGCGCCTCTCTGAGGGACGCCAGCTTCTGGTTCGTGGTCCCCGGTAGGCAAGAACTCCATGCACATTGATTGATGCCAGAAAGTTATACATATCCATTCAGCCCGGATAGCTCCAGGAAGCCGACGGGGGTTCCCCCTAGAATAGCCCCTTTGAAGAGCAGAGGTGCAATACACTAAAAGACAATTGTATCAATATGAAGGGCCCAAGACTGTTCAGCACTCTCTCATGACCAACTTCTCATGGTGTTCGAGAGAAGTTGATAGATACCTGCAAAGGATACCAGGTCAACCGGACTCTGATTCACACGGAAGAGTGTGAGAGCAGGTACGTTTACACAAGCTGGTGTGTTGGTGCTGCCTGCAGTGTGGTGCATGGCATGGAACTAGATAAGATACGATATTTATTCAGTTAAAGTTACATATATAGAATATGAGTTAGTCATAATGTCGAATTAATAGATAGAGCTAGTTCATACAATGCCTCAAGCCACTAATACGCACAACATTTCGGGCATTGTGTGGGGGAAAAAACGTTGACTAAAACTTAATACTAATTGAAATCAAAAGCATAAATTTAATTGTTAATGGGAAAAAAGAAAAAGACAATGATAATAATTACATGATGGATAGAACAGCAGAAAATGCAACAGAACAGCAGAAGGAATTTTAACTAAATAAACACAAGATTGCAATTTTCTTTAAGTTTATACGTGACAGATATCAGCAGTTAAACAAATTGGTCAATAATCAATAATGTTAGAAAATAGCAAGACATGGGTTGATATTTATTTAGGAGATAAGGTAGGTTACATGGAGTTTATTAGGTAGTACTTAGTTTTTCCCTTAAACTGATTGGGAGAGGTACAGCCTTTGATGTGATTGGAAGGTCATTCCACATTCTGGGTCCCTTGATTTGCAGATCATATCTAGTTTGGTTAAGGCGCACTCTTGGAATATCAAATAGGTATTTGTTTCTGGTGTGATGCCCATGGGTTCTGTTACAACCTTCTAGGAAGCATTTAAGGCCAGGATTGGCATTACAGTTCAGAATTTTATATACAGTATAGTGTACCCCTTGAGAGGATGTGCAGTGACTTATTTCATGTTAATCACGGTTTACAGGAGTAGTAATACAGTTAATTTTTGGGGCATATTAAAAGTGGACATTGGTTAAAACTGAAGGATTTTTGTATAAGAAGTTGCATCTTTTAGTTCATAAAGGAGTTTGAAATGTAATTTTTCTACTAAACTTTTCTAATGTTAATAAAACATGACTGCTAATGCCAGTAAAAGATGAAAGGGTCATAGAGGGGTAAAAAGATCTTCAATGATACCCAACTTTGCTCACTGTAGCCCCTTGCATGTTAGCATAAGGGGTAACTAACGTCCAGAGTTACCCCATTAGCTAGGTGGTGGGGCCCTAAAAACCCAGATTTCATACTGTAGGGTGAAAAGCAGGCACCAAAACCATGTCAGTATTTCAGCCTTTACTTAGACTAAGATTATTCCATAAATAAATGCGTTTCCATTTATTTCTTCTTTGCAAGACACTTTTATCCAGTCATGTTTTAAATTTCTAGTCCTGTGTTTACATGCACAAAGAGTTTGGTGCATGTAATGCACATTTGGTTTTTTCTAGGGGGGGGGGACCCCTTGTGGCTCCCTGAAGCTCCTGTGCTGATATAGTTCCAAACTACTAGGTGCCATCAGTCGTGGAGTTCTTTTAGGCCTACCGGGGACCATGAGCCAGAACCTGGCTCCTTCTAATGAGGCAGGGAGAGCAGTGGCACTATGATAAAATTGTCAGTGAATTTTAATCATGTCCCCCACCTCCGGGGAAGCACCCACAAAGTCGCCAAAACAAAACAGACCACTGCTGGTTATAAAAATATTATTATGACCTCAAAATCACAAAAAAAAAAACACTCCCAAAATGTAAACAAATGATTGAAAAGTCATGAAACTAGCACTAGCTCGTTCACCCCCACCTCCTCCTCCTCGTTTGGGGGGGAGGAGGGAGGCCGAAAGGGTCCTGGCAGCCAGCTACAGTACTGTATCTTGTTATTGTTTCTCCTCCTTGTTGGCCTTGTGTGGCCTTGGGTCGTATGTTGTGGCCCGTGTTATCTTATTTGTTGTGATACTTTTGGTGCTCCCTCCTTCCTGGTAGGATCTGTTTTTTTGTGTGGGTAGGTAGCTTCAGGGAGCCACAAGGGGCTCCTTATTCAGGGTTGAATACCCTGCAAACCAGTGTTGAATGTAATGAGATGTTAATTTCTGGGCAAGCTCCAGTGGGTCCCATGCTTACTTTCCCATGGAGTTGGGGAACAGTTTTTCCCATCATAGAACTGAGGGTGGAGTAGTCAGCTGACCCGGTCTGCCTCCCTCCTCTTCCCATACAAGGGGGGTGGGTGAATGAGCTAGCATTATTTTCATTAATTTTTTATTGTTTATTTACATTTTGGGAGAGTTATTTTAGTTATTTTGAGGTCTTAATATTTGTTATAACCAACAGTGTTCTGTTGTGTTTTGCTGACTTTGTAGGTGCTTCCCGAGTGGTGGCATACATGATTAAAATTCATTGACAGTTTTATCATAGTGCTATTGCTCTCTCTGCCTCGTTAGAGGGAGCCAGGTTCTGGCTTATGATCCTTGGTAGGCCTAAAGAACTCCACAACTGATGGCATCTAGTAGTTTGGCATTATATCAGCACTGTAGCTTCAGGGATCATACATCAATGGTTTTTCAGTTGCATATTGTCCTGGGGACCATTCAGGCTTGTTCGCATCAATGGTTTTATGTACGTTATTATTTCTCAATTTTCTCATTCGTAGAATTTTCCCTTTTGTAAATATTTTTTTTTCTTTAACAGATCTTTAACATAAGTTATTTATCTATCATTTAAAACTCTTTAGAAGCTTAATGAAATTCTATTCTTTTTATATAATCTCCAACACTTGGGTCACTTTAATATGTTATCTTGATTGGTCTCTTGAATATTGTTCTTTAAAATATGTTAATCACCTATGCAGGCGATGAGTTACAATAACGTGGCTGAAGTATGTTGACCAGACCACACACTAGAAATTGAAGGGACGACGACGTTTCGGTCCGTCCTGGACCATTCTCAAGTCGATTGTCGAAACGTCGTCGTCCCTTCAATTTCTAGTGTGTGGTCTGGTCAACATGTTAATCACCTAGTTTGTGTACAATCATGCCTTGAAGGGTTCCTCAAGGTACTCTATATAAATTGGACAAAAATATAGTGGAACCTCGAGTGACGAGCGGCTCCAGTTACGAGCATTTCGAGTAACGAGCAAGCCACTCGCAGAAAATATGTCTCGACTGACGAGCTTTCCTTCTATTAACGAGTGTTCCTGCTGGTTCTCAGACACTTCCAACGACAGTTTTGTTGTTGTTTCACAAGACGAGTTTTCCACATGACGAGCTTGCTGCCAGAACGGATTAAACTCGTTAATCGACAAAGTTCAACCTACAATGGTCTACATTTACAGTCTCCGTGGTGTAGTGGTAAGACACTCGCCTGGCGTTCCGCGAGCGCTATGTCATGGGTTCGTATCCTGGCCGGGGAGGATTTACTGGGCGCAAATCCTTAACTGTAGCCTCTGTTTAACGCAACAGTAAAATGTGTATTTGGATGAAAAAACGATTCTTCGCGGCAGGGGATCGTATTCCAGGGACCATAGGATTAAGGACTTGCCCGAAACGCTACGCGTACTAGTTGTACTGTACTGGCTGTACAAGAATGTAACAACTCTTGTATATATCTCAAAAAAAAAAAAAAAAAAAAAAAAAAAAAAAAAAAAAAAAAAAAAAAAAAAAAAAATGGTGCCAGACGTACGACTGATTAATATCATGCAAGCTCCTGGTTAGTTTTAAGAGATGTTGTGAACAAATTTAGTAAATTAGCCAGAAAGTTACATCATATATTGAGACTTGCATCTCAGTGGCTAATACCAAGCTGTTGAGTTTTAAGTCTCGTTCCAACTATATACTCTGACCTTGATAAAAGTACTCGGGAGAGTGCAAAAGACTTGGTGTAAATCTTTACATAAAATACACAAATACGTAAGTGTGGGTTTTTTTCCAATGTTAATATGGTTAAAAGTGATTAATTAATACATCGTAAGAAAGTGCCAGGCTGTGAGAGAATGGTCTCTCTCAAGATTTTTCCACAGCCGACTTGAACGGCTTATTGCAGTGCACAAGGCCCATCTCTTTTTACCCCTGGATAGAAAACTGTCATGTTGGGTGTCCTTAGAATGCCCACATACCCAGGAATACATGGATCATGCGGAGGCTGCCATATGCCAAAGGAGAAGTTAGATAAGAAGAATTAAGTATTTATGCAGTAGCAACGAGTCAGGAAGTACACAGGTTGGAAAAGGGGACGCCAGCGAGGCGGGAAGAGATAAGCATGACCTTTGGGGTCGACCTCATCCATCGTGATGGGGAACCGTGACATGGTCATGACGTCACTCCTCTACCCATCATGTAAGGGACAATATCATTGGATACTGTACTTATGCTGCAACGTCATTGGTTAGTTTGTAGGCCTGGTGGTTGTGCCCAAGAAAGCTCTTGCACTGGCATTCTTGTGAGGATGCCGGTGTACGTGGTTGGCATGTCGTTCTATCAGCCAATAGACAGAACACACCGTTCGTTCCTTATCGTCAAGTTATTCTCTGCATCTCTTTCAATATACCAGCGCTTGCGACTGACTATATTGTTTAGAAGCCTTTGAGAGTGACAAAAGTCTGTGAATCACCAGAACGAAACAGACTGGTATCAGGTAACATCTGGTGGCAAAGTGAGATCAAGATCATCTGTGAGTGACTCGGTGACCTAAGCAAAGTGCCACCGCATAAGTATGCTACTGTGTGTGATTTTATACACAGGCACCTGCATGGTGTAATATTGCTTAGCCACCGCCACTCAACGTCCTGGGCGCAATTGTAGCCGCCACCCATCCCACACTCACTGTACTACATGATGTCACTGCCTGCCCACCCCTTAACTCGCACGCCAGTGCGATTTTGGGGCATCTGTGTCTTTTACCTGCAGGTGTCAATATAAGATAGCAGATGTGGTCAGTGTAAAAACACAGCATGCCTACTGGGAGTACCCTGCTGTGGTAGAAATGTCCGTCATTCTATGGTACTCTCACTTGCACAAGCGAGACCAGCTATCTGGCCACCTACAAGGATGCTTGTATGAATGATTGTGAGTGAATGGTGAGGGGCTAGCCTACCTGTAAGTACAAGATCTTGTTTTTTTATTAAAGTGTTTGTGTTGATCCAAGTCATCAACCAGAGTTCTCGCCTTCCCAGCACCCAAAACAGTATACAGTAGATGGAAACAAAGACACCCAACAGTGTATACGTGTATATCTGTGTGGTATCATAACATTACACTTATCAGTGAATGTGAGCTTCACATATACCATGCATGTTGACACTGGCTTTCTGTCTCTCCAGGACCGCCATGATCGCTACTGTCTTCACTATCTTGCGTGGTCCAACATCCTTCCTCTCGCCTCTGTCGTGCTTTAACTTTTACCCCTCCTGCGATTCCTGTTCCTCTTCACCACCTCCCTCTTTCTGTCCGGTTATCTCGTTTACAGGATTCTCTTTCCGTTCGTATTTCTAATGTTTCTCCTCGTGTTGTTCCTTCTTTGCCCCCGTGGAGAGTCCCCCTTCCGCAGTTTTGTACATCCTTGACTCGCATCACTAAAGCTTTTACCCCTCCCATGGTTCTAAAATGCCTTTTCCTTGAGCACTTTTCTTCTCACTCCCACTCCGTTTCTGTCTTCACCGATGGGTCTAAGTCTGTGGACGGTGTTGACTACTCAGTTGTTTTTCCTGATCGCACTTATGTGTCGCTTACCTCCTGAGACTAGCATCTTCACAGCGCATCTTTATGCTATTCTCTAAGCTCTTCGTCTCCTGCTTTCTCGTTGTCAGTCTTCCTTTGTAGTTGTTGTTGACTCTTGTAGTGCCCTCATGGCTCTCGGGTCCTTTAATCCGGTTCATCCAGTAGTTGTCGAGATCCAGCATTGGCTGTTTCTTGTTCACAGTAAATTTAAGTTGGTTGAGTTTTGTTGGGTTCCCAGCCATATTGGTGTGTCTTTAAATGAGCGTGCGGATGCTGCCGCCATGGAAGCTGTCCGCTCTTGTCCCATCTCTCGTAAAGGTATTCCATATTCCAACTTTTATCCGGTTATCCATTCCTCCATCCTTACCTGTTGGCAGGCTTCTTGGTCGTCTGTTACCAGTAACAAACTACATACTCTTAAATGTTGTGTTTCCTCGTGGTTGTCCTCCTACCACCATAACCGGCGATGGGAAACGGCTCTGGCGAGGTTGCGTATTGGCCATACTCGCTTAACCCATGGTCACTTGATGGAGCACTGCCCTGCTCCTTATTGTCCTAATTGCATTGTCCCTCTTACGGTCGTGCATGTCCTTCTTGAATGTCCTGACTTCCAGGACGAGCGTGTCTTTTGCTTTCCGACCGTGGTCACCTGTCCCTCAATAGAATTCTTGGTGACTGATACTTTTGATATTGTTCGCTTTATGCGTTTTTGTTCTTGTATTGGCATCCTTGGTGATATTTAGCGCCCTCTGATTATTCCGCACATTTGATGGTGCTACATAGCCTTCCCGGTTTGGTGCCTTCTTTTGATAATTACTTACTTCACATACACCGCACATTGTTATTGTGCACTGTACGATAATTATTGTGCAGGAGTACTGCCTGTCCCATTGTTGATTTATTGTGCATGATCATTGCCAGAGTATCCTGTTTGGAACTCCTGTGACCCTTTGCACACCAGCACTGTTTGGTATGCCGTGTTAGTGATTGGCTGTCAATCATGTAAAGTTAGGTTTGTCCACGAGTAGTTCAGAATCTATTAGCTATAGTCTCTCGCCAATGAGATAATAGCCTTGTCGATGCCAATCTAGAGTAAATCGAGCACCCATTATATTAGTGGTCAAGAGTAAATAAACTAAAATTAAGCATTATGCAGTGTTTCCATTGAACCACTTCTGAATACTGTCATTACTCGTACTTGAGCCTTCAGCCCCAGGTGTCTTCAATACAGAGTTGCCTATTAATCACTAAACTATAAATGTGATGAGGACCCTAAGAGTCCCTTAAATTGCTTCAATTGCATTGAGGAGATTCCCACGATGAATGTGATCAGGACCCTGTGAAGCAAGTCTGAGTGGAAACTATCCAGGACTTACTCGACCATGCTCCCAGGCCCTGTACACTTGGTCTCGTATTTGCTGGATTTCAATGGCTATGTGAAGCGTTTGCCAAATGCTCATTGGTGACGTTGCACGCAATTGCAGTCAGGATAAAGTAAAAACCCTACACATGCCTGCAAGACTATATAAGCATCAACTGTATTACAGGATACACACAAGTTCCAAAACATCATTCAGGATGCCAATACAAGCGCAAACAGGCCCCAAGATTGTCAAAGGCATCACATTCATTATGGTTAAAAGAAAAAGCTGGATACCAGTTTTTTTTATTTTGTTACACAAAAGACATCATTATAGGAGAGTATTTTCTTTATACAAAATATCTTCCAAATTAATACCATTCAAAACAATGTCATGCATGCAACACCTATACACAACAGAATTTACAAATAATACTCCTGGTGCTATTGGCCTGTCGGTAGATATCAACACAATGCGTGCAGAGCTTCCACTAACACACCCTACCAAGAAGGGTGCATGGCAAGCAGCAGCAGTGACCGACGCCTCATAACCAAATGTAAAGCAGTAGGTGAGCTTGTTTTTGTGTTAGCCAATTTAAAAAATATATTGATTTGGTTGTCTTCTTTTATTATGAACTTTTTTTTATTTTTTTTTTAATAAACAATTCTCTCCTCTGATTTTTGTCTTGTATAGTTACCAACCTTCACCTACTTAAGCCAAATCTTCCTGCTGGCATGGAGAAGCAGAAGGTATTTTATAACTGCTTTCCCAGCAAGAATGTTTATCTCAGTCTTTCAGGAACCATACGAGCTGGTGGAGCCAACTTGGCAAACATCGGAAGACGATGAAAGTTTGGCTTCTAGAAAAGTTTGCCAGGTGTGCTAAAGTGTGTGTTTGCTTGTGCAATTCTAAAAATGCTCTGCTGCTTTAATAATTAAATTCAGGTCACTATCTAATCACAGAATTTGTTATATGAAATTAACACCCTGGATTTATATAAAATATAATTGTGCACAGATCTCTACAAAATTTTTATGAAACTAGAGGCCAACTGTTTGAAACTTAAATTGTTATAATAGAATGAACAAATACATTGCACCAATGTGGATAGTCATTGTCGTGGTCAGATATGCTAGCGACCCTCATTTTCATCCTCGGCTTAACATTTGTTCTTTGTGTTATTACAGGAAGGAAAAGATATCCACAATATGACACCTGAGAATGTTACAACTTCTGATAATTTCTGTGAGCACTTTCACAATACTAATAAATATTAACAGGAAATATTCAAGGCTTATGATTTCTCAAAAAATTTAACTACCTTCACTGAAAAAATATTTTAGCTGTACAATGAAACTGAACCCACATCCCTGAAATCCTCGGGATACAGATGTGATCACTAGCACAGCTAACCACGGTGACTTCTCTACGAGGCATTGAGCCTTTAACAAGTGGGAATTCAATAATTAAAATTTCTCAAAATTCAACCCAAAAATATTAGCAAAGTATTTTAAAACAAAATATCTAAATTTCAACACACAGCCAGGAAGTAGTACAAAACAATATACCTTAGTGCCTGTCAAATATAACATAAGGCTTACAGCATATAAAGTATATATATACAAAAAAAAAAAAAAACAGCACTTCATTGAAATGTTAACAATAATACAAGTAATTACACTGAAAACAGTATATATTGGCTATCACTTAGATCTTGATTCTTAACCTAGAGTAGTGAGATCAGACAGACCCTTCTTTTGACGGCATCTTGCATGCGACAACACCAGACCTGTTCATACACTACCCGTGAACATCACAACACTGGAGCAATGGTGAAAACTACGGTGTAGCTATGCTTGTGGCCAAATTGAGCAGCAACATTAAGTGTGTCTGTTTATATGAACAGGAGGCAAGTCAAATGTTGTAAATGGCTTACACGCTGGCTATGAGCAACATAAAACGTGCTTGCTCTTATCCAGCTTTGGTGCCGTCATCCAAAAGTTAACCTGGGACGAGAGTAATAATTCTCCGCTAACTGAGGCTGGGTGTCAGTTTGAGGGATAAGGTTCCTTATAGCTTATGGACATAAAAATTAACACCACAATACTCCTCGTATCCCAGGTCACAATCACACTAAAATCACAATGATAAAAATATAGTTATCTTTACATTGTGTGATTGTCAAGACTTAAACAAATATTAACCACATTATAAAATGTGTTTTATGTTTACAAAAACATACTTCAATTGATTATATCAAACATTTAAAGCATACCATATAGCTATGACAAATTCAGACGAGGCATTAAACACATTCAACAGATAAAAGCAATTTCTTTCCATTTACATAGTGGGAAGTTTGACACTACCTAAACACAATTTAATTAGTAGTAAGCCTCGGCTATAATCTGCCATGATATAATATATAACAATTAATCCTTGCTACTGCAGCAACAGTGACAGGATTGACGCCCTCTACACTGAGATCACGGGAACTACACTAGTAAGGGTATTCTCACTGTGCCATAGACCGCACCCCCTCTTAACCCTTACACTGCTTCAGTTGCTATCTGTGATTTCCTCCTGTGCTCAAATCTCCTTATGAGATTGATCCTTACGGGCTTTTAACACTATTTGTCCATATGCACCTGGATGTAGGACTTTTAAATAGCTTAGCAGTCTAAGGGTTAATATACTGTCATGCAAATGCCAGATTTGTTGTCTCATACTTTAAAACAAAGTGAATAAATGGGACGTCTGATTTCTGGTAATCACTAAATGAAGGACGGGGCATCGAATTCCGGTGCCATAGAAAATTGCACAAACATTTGTGCAGTAGCTGGTGAGAATACCTTTGCTACTTTCCAATTAAATATAACTAACTTGTTTCTGAAACAGATACATAGCTGATTGGTGAAATGCCTCTCTTAATGGAATTTCTGCCAATGAGAATGAAGTAATTAAAAAGACAGCTATTATATTGATAAAAAAATTGGCTTCACTTTTCTGGTCTTCCTGACGGGTTTGAGGACAGATGAAAGACACGACTGCGTCTGCTGAGATCACCTCAGAATTGGCAGGATAATAATGTGATACGAGCTCTTTAAGTCAAGCTTAACATTACTTAACAGACTACTACTTTGTGAGCAAATTTAAACTTCTTAACCTATCACTTAAAAAATTTCTTTCCAATAAAAAACATAATATGATTCTCTATATATCTGCTACAATATGTAACAGCGATAAATTTCCGGAAGAGACCTGGTTTATAACAGTTGTAATTTACAATCAATATAGATGCAGGAAATAGGGAAGATTCAGGGTAAGAGTAGAAAAATAGTTATCAATATATATTTAGGTTATGAACAAAAACTAAGTTTGTTCTATACACATTATTTGTGCTTTTGAAAGACTTACAACACACGAGCACAAGGCAGCAGGTAAGGAGTTCTCTCGCTTAAGCTACCCAAACGCCCTACTCCTCCTGCCTCCACTTTGAGCTTACTTGGTACTAAACCACAACTATGCAAGGACAAAATGTTTGTACAGTTCATTGCTAAAATTAGTTAAAATATGCCATAATACCAAAATGGCTGCCCACTTAAACCTGAAGATGCCAGAAACTTCAATATCTATATCACACTATACTTTTTTTTTTGCCAGATTTCCATGTGGCATGCAAATAATATTCTTTGAATATTCTTGCTTTTGATCATTTGTTACACATGTAAACATAGTTACAGTGAAATCTTTAGAATAAAATCTACGCCTTGATATGGTACACCTGTTCCGTAACTATTAAATTTAAAGATGATTCAGTGTATGCATATAATACTCTACCAATAAGTACATAATATAAAGAATATCAGACAATTTTTGATACAGTATGAAATTTTTTTACAAATAATTTACAATTTCATTATACTGTACTGCATATAATAGCTTAATTAAATAAAACTGTCACACAGATATAAATTTGACACTAGAGACAAAGTTCAAGTGATCAATGCAATAAAATACCTCAGAGTCGACCAGCTAGAAGCTTAAAGCCCTTACACGAATATCCTTAGAAGTGGGGAAATTTTGTTCAGTATTTATGCTAAAGATTGGAAGTACTCGAGAACTTCCTTTTAAATATCCAAGCTCGTCTGACCTTTGTTACTATGGTAAATACTGACCTTATTAAAAATCTATTACTTTTTACTAAAAGCATAATGGATATATGGACAAATGGTAGTAAAAATATTTCTGAATTTTAATGCAGAAAAACATTCAGATTACTGAATTGGATAATTAACTGCATACAGATTACACTGGGTAAATTGAAATTCTCTTGCTATAAGAGTTTAATTAGTGCATGATATTTCAGGCAACCACTGTTATAGACTAAGCTTTACAGTGTAACAGCCCTGAATTGAAAAATTAAAGCTCTAAACAGATAATGATTATGGGGAGCAATGTGCTAAGCTTTGTCACATTACAAACCCTCCAAATTTGATTCTTTAACTGCTGCAGTTTGGTTGTGTGTGTAAATGCAAAGGTGCATTCAAGGATAAGACTTTTTGCATGAGAGTGCAAACATACAATCATTACTTTTTTTGCATGTTTGAGTTTTTAGTGTTGGGCTTAAGACCTATCAACCACCACATTAAGGCCACCACAATAGTTTACAGACCAATCACCAAGAATGTTAGTCCTGAACAAAGTTTTCTTTACTCGTGAACAGAGTATATGCAACAAAAAGTGGGATACACCTCTAGGTGCATAGCCTCTGGGGGGTTTTCATGTGCATTCATGGCTGCATTTGCATACTGTAATTAAGTGGCCAATTGTGATTATCACTAAACTGCAGAAACCATGCGAAATGTGAGGTAAAATCTGACTACCACAAAGTTTAAATCCACGGGTTTATTACCGAGGACGTTGAGACAAGCATTTAAGCATCTTAACTACGAGATGATTAGAATACATGTGTGAAAATATGATTGGTCCTATGTAGGTGTTCAAAACATTTCTCTTAACGTTTGCAACTTATTGCTCTGCTGCTTCACAGGTATCAGTGTATATGTGTCTCCAGTGGAGTTAAATAAGACAGCAATACTGAAAATTATTGAATGAATTGTCTGTACAAGCATTTTATCTTCAACAGAATTGGTTTTTGCAGGAGGATACTTTTCAAGGGAAATCAAAAGCCATATCAACAGCCTACCAAATTACACGCATAATTTGGAGAGTGACGGCACGTTATGTAATGAAGATAAAGCATACCAGCTATCACAAGTAAAGGATAATCTTAACTTTTAAATTCATAGTTAGAACTTCAAGACAAATTACTCTAAGATTGAAACCTAGGCAAATTCAACTTACTTTTCAAGTAATGCAGAATAGCCAATCAGTATGTGAACAAAGTCAAAGGCAATGTGTGTGTACCATACACATCCAGCTTAAGTTTGATGCAAGTCCCAATCAATATTTGCCTTGGTACTGTACCTGTCTTAAAAGATCCCGACTTTTCTAATATCACATTCAAGTAAGGCATATATCCTAATATAACTGATTCTTTGTGTGTTTGAGAGCTGTCATTCAATATATTGAAAGATGCAAAACTGCATCAGAAAAGGAATGAAGAGCTTCCTAGGATGGTAGGTAAGTGATAAAAATATAAGCTACAATTTAAACTGAGCAGTTACCGGGACTTACAAGGAAGCACGGTCAAATATCATGATTAACTGAGAAAGCAATTCATTCTAGGATAAAGGTTTGTGTCGCTTGGGACGGAATCCCCAAGACAATCGGTTAATCTGAACACAATGTTTTAATTACCACAAAACTAATACTGTGAGGAGATATCTTTCAGACATTGCTTCGTTACCAAGTAATTACCTAACCATTGGCTGAGCAATCCCACGGGCAAATCTGGGCAAACAATGTTGATGTAACGATGAATCAATGCTGATTAAACGTTACCCAAGCATCCCCCAGGCAAATCTGGGCAAATAAATTTGATGTAACATTGAAAGAAATGTTGATAACGCAGATTAAACATTTACCCGAGCATCTCCTGGGAAAATATTGACAAATGACGATGCAACAATTAATCTATGATGAAAATGTTGATCCACCAGTGATTAAATGTAACCTGAGCACATTTTGCCCGCTGGGAAATCACATTCAAGTAACAAATGTTCAAAACAATCTTGTACAAAATTATAAAATACTGTATTTGAAATGGTCAATACTTGATGTTGGGAAATTACAGCATAATAAAATGAAATAAATACAATAGGTATAGACTGCTATTAACCCCTGGAAAGTGTAATACAGAGATCAGTTACCACTGTATCAGGAGAATACTTAAAAACCTTATTAACTAAATATAAATATGGTGATAATACTTGTTCCTTGATATTTCAGTTGCAGCATCACTTTTAAATACAATAAAACTAGCATATCTGAAGTTGAACAACTCCAAAATACTTTTTTGCACATTGCTTAAGAAAATATGCAATCTGGCCAAGGCAACACCATATACAAGCCAGGAACCACCTGACCTACAAGAAGCCAGGCTCATGAACATGTCTGGGACTGCCCAACAAGTGCTTCTTCCAATTTCTAAACGCTGAAGCACTAACTTATTAGTCGGACACACAAATTTTTTTCTGGAACGGTACGTCTTCAGTCTTTCTGTAAAAGATGGAAAATGTATAGCCGGACAATTGATAAACAATGAGCAGTTGCTTGAAGCAATTAACTCTGTATGTACGACCCCCGTGACACATTGAGCTGGGTACATCCAAGCATGCCATGACACATTGAACCAGGTATGCCCATGCATGCCTTGATGCACTCAACTGGGTACACAAGCTTGCCACAATTCAAGCCATGCCCAGGATAAAATACAAATTTGGTAAATATCTTTGCTCCTAGTATATCTTGTAACCCCTAGAAAACAAATTATATTGTCAAAGTGAAATTTCTTCTTTTTACAAAGCCTAACACAATTTAATTTTTAACTGGTTGAGTGAGACCGTTTTCTCTTCCAGCAATCGGGATCAATCCGTTTGCGTTCCTCGGCTTGAGCTCGAGCTTCGGCATTAAATGTTTCTCTGTCTTCTTCTGGTAGAGATTTCCACATGGCACCCAGGAGAACTGAAATAGCCCTGGAAATAAGATAATGAGTTAACATTTCACATAAAACAATGAATTCTGAACGTGTTTATCTGAGAAAATATTGAAGCCGTATGACAGAATTGAACGCACATCCCTAAATATCTAAACTCCATTAGTAGTTTGTGTGACCTGAGGAGTTCAGTTATAAAGGTTCACTCCCATTATACAATTTTTAAATATTTTCTAGTTTCACAAAGCATTGCAAGTCACACACATTTTAAGAACTTACATCAATGACAATAACATCAGATAACACAAACCATGACAAAAACATAATTGAGCAAAATAGTTTTTTGATTGCAGCCAAGTGAGAAAGTTAGCTTTTGGTCCTCGATCTCAGGCATATGTTACAATACTGTACACACATATAGTATTCTTAACCTTACACTAGTACCTTGGGTAGCCATCCACACTTCCCTAATACCCCAGGACACGATTCATCAAGCATTTACACAGCCACTTACAAAACTACCTAGCATGGAAGACTAATCATAAACACATCTGATGCCCCCCAAAAATTAAACCACATTGAGGACATACAACTTAAATACAGTAATGGATCAGAAAAGCTTTCCACAGATGTCGTCACTACCACCAGGTGGATGGGAAGGGGGGGGGGGGGGGGGGAGAACAACTATGCCTTATCACAAAAAAAAAAAAAAGGAACAATGACCTCATGTGGAAGAGGGACAAACAGTAGTGCCATGCTGCAAGCCACAAGTCTCTCATGGAACAGTTGGCAACCACAACAACAATCAAGTTGTCCTACCCAACATGGGGAGTGCTCAATACTAACATCCAAGATAAGAATCCACACAAACCATAAAAAAAACAGCGCTGAATGTAATGAAAACACCATTTTCAAAGTGATCCCCGGGGCTCCCTGAAGTTATCCGAAATGATATGTGCTATATTAGTTTGGGGTCATCAATCACAGGAGTTCTTATGCCTACCGGGAACCACAAGCCAGAACCTGGTCCCCTCAGAGAGGCACAGAGAGCAATGGCCTGTGAGCACTTAACATTTAATGTCATAATTGCTATCGACCGAGGGAAAGACCCAGAAGAGTAGGTGAATAAAAACAAACCACTGTCTGGTTAACCTGTGCAACCTACATCCCAAAAGATCAAAATAACTCCCCTTCAAAGAAACCACACAAGCAACCCTTCATGCGACTAGCTCTTCTGCTTGTTAGCACCGAGGGGAAAGGGGGAGCCGGCAGCCCACCACTCCAGTTTTTGAACGATGAAAAGCCGCCGACCCGAGGAAAGGAGGGTGTCAGGGAGCCTCCAGGGCTCACCCAGCAAATGGCATTTCATTACATTCAATGCAAATATTCTGTGGGAAGCTAATTACCCAAAGATAAGTAAAAGTAGGGACTTACCCAAGAAGCAGCAGTACCGCAGGTCTCAAGATGATGAAGAGACAGATGGCTGCAACAGGCACCCCAAAGCCACACACACGGCCGGGAGGGAACCGGAATGTTCACTAGGTACCTGGCGGCCCTAGGACCCTGTTCAACCTCCAAAACCACTGTGCCCAAATGTCCACCCAAAACATGTTGCTAAAAACCGCTGCAAGAGCAACATACTTCTGAACTGCATGGGCACGAGGGTCTAACGTGCCAAGAAGTATAACATCCAAGAAGTATAACATCCAAGAAGGTCATTAATGACCACGAAGAAGGTCTAACGACCAAGAAGGCTCAGGCAGTGCATGCTGGAGGTGAAAAAATGCACATGAAAGATTGCAGAACAGAGCAGAAGCAACATCCACCCCGAACGCAAGCTGGAGTGGCTCTATCAATGCCGTGCGATAAGAAGAGAGTATTAGGCATGAGATGCCGATCCAGAAAAAGCCAAGAGAGAGGACAAAACAACCTGGTCTGAAATCAACGAAAACTTTCAAAGAGAAAGAAAGTGACGGAAAGACTGCCATGAAAAAACGTACTGTCGCTAGGAAGAAGACCGCAGGTGGAACACCATCAAAGAAGCCACTTGATTACCATATTAATGGCGATACACACGCATTAAAACAGACACAGTGCAGAGCAGTAAGGAGAACCAGCGAGGTACCTCACTGGCCTGATCTACTGGTAAAAGCAGAGCAGCAGAAAAACTCCTGGGTTCGGACACCGAGCAAGCAGTACCTGAATCCAATGCTGGGCCGGCCACCATGGAGGTGGAGAAAACCCTCCCTCAATAGGATTCCAAGCAAGCTAGGACCTAGGCAACAGCTGGACTGGGGGAAAGAGGTACAGGAACCCCCACCTCGATCAGTCCTGCTGAAAAACATCTACCGCAACGACCTTGCCATCAGGGAGCAGCGCCATATACAGTGGAAGATGCAGTGAACACGCCGGTACGAAGAGCAAAGGAAGGAGGCAGCATCGGCTGTCCATTCCATTGAAAGAGGAATGAAGTGTGACAGGACATATACCAGAACGTTGGACACTCTTGAGTGTGAACAGTGGAGAGCTAAACCCTGAGAACTCAGCAGAAGAGTCACCCGAAACAACCAGCCCCAGAGAGTCACGGACCAAAGCGACACTACCATCCCCTGCACGGCTGAGACAATGAACTACGGGGAGCAGTTTGAGTGGAGCCGAATCACCGAACCCCAAGGAAGCAGAATCCAGTGCAGCACTTTCTGCACCGGTGCAAACACCTGCACTGTGGTGTGAGCCTGGCGTAAGGACAACCCCCAATGATCCTGGCCGGACTGGTGAGCACTGGTCACAAAGCCCTAACCAAGAGACAAGACAGACGTGAACATATCGAGCGAGGGAAGAGAGACACCATGGCATCGAACTCCAAAAACCCGAAGAGGAAGCTAGCTATGCAGCAACTGAAGCATGGACACTTGGGAACGAACACAGCTATCGCAAGACGGCAACAACCCAACCGAAACTAGCCTAGGCCTAATATAGCATATTAAGGTACTAAATTAGATTTATGGCATATACAAGACCTATGACTGAGTATTAATGATTAAGACAGGTTAGGTTGTATAGTTACTTTTCCAGATTTTTGCATGACATTTAGAGTATTCCAGGCATACAAAGATCTAAATTTTTGGACACAACAGTCCATTTTTGTACGTTACAACAAGAGTTGCAATAAGTACTATCATTTTCGGATGATAGGATTTATTTCTATATTTTCCACTGTAAAATATATCCAACTTAAATCTGTACAATTTACCTATTATCCTTGCCAGGGTACTGTTGAATAAGCTTCAGCCTATGGTGCTTAGCGAACAGCATGAAACCATTCATCGGTCTTCGAGCACGGTTCCCACCACCTTCTACTCCTCCGACGGCTCCTCCACCCCCACGCCCATCTCTATTTTTCTTCGATGGTGACGCAGGAGGGGAAAGGAAGACGGTGCGTTGGGTATGAGGTGGGAAAGTAGCACTGGGTGGTGCAGAGTACGCGCCTGGACCTCCGTCCACTGGATCATCGTTGAAGTCAAACCTGATGATAAAATGAGTTTTACCCATCATTAAATATCATATGAATGGAGAAAATATCAAATGCTCATACTGTATACACATGGGAGAAATATAAACATAACTGAGCAACAGGGTGACTATGCAAAGTGTTACTAAATAAAAAAAAAATCAAATGAATATCCTCCATGAAAGATTCAATATCCAAGCAATTTACAAAATACTGTACAGTACAATACTGTAGCTATACATTGCATCTTTTAATTTTGGTAAACTTCATAATTACTGTTCCAGGATCTAGAACCTCTTAACACTTTCGCGCTATCTGGACGCGCCGGCGAGTTCGGTTTCGTCTAACGTAAACGCATAGTGGACATAAAGTTATGTCTACTTTTAAAATATTTGTATAAAATTCAATTTTTATCCGATTTACTTTGGGTTTGTTTCAAACTGCGCGCTATGAGGCTCTCTTTCTCACCACTAGGCTGCATGGTACAATAAGTTCATGAAAGGTGTGGATAACTTCGATCAAATGGTATTTTGTCCCAAACGGGTTGCAGGTGGGTGACTTTAGCCGTTTATACTGGTAATTCTTCCCCCATATCATGTATTATATGCATATGTCTGTTTAGGGAATTTTATTCCGATCAATATACAACCAAAAATAACTGTGTGCAACAAGTATAATCTTGACAAACATAACAAAAGTAAAAATATTTCGTGTGTGTTTGACGCTCACTGATATGTTCCAGCGTTGTTTTATATTTGTCGCTATTCTAACTTACGCTTTGTTGATATTTTTTACCTATGGGCACATAGAACATTCTATTGCGAACACATTGACATAAAAATAAATGACGTACATAGAAAATTAATGTCATGAGAGTGAAATAAGTATAAACTTTCAAAGCGCCGTGCGTCGTCCCGTCACCGATACCGGGTAACAATTTCACCACTTCCCACTCTCTTGCGGGCGGGCTGCATCATTATTCTACGCTTATATTCATATCACCGTGTTGGGAATTTCATTGCGAGTCCATTGATACCAAAATTAACGCTGTAGAACAAGTGTGGAGGTGATTACAATCCCAAGAGTAAAAACATTTTGTTGCTGATGGGCGCTCACGGCGAGTCATCTACGTAGTTATTTATTTGGTGCTGGTATCCCTATGTGTTTCGTGACTTATTTTACTAATGTTCTTCTAGAGAATTTTATTGCGAACACGTTGGTACCAAAATGAAATACGTAGCATGAGAACTAAGGTCAGAAGAGTAAAAAGAGTATACACATTTTTGTTTTTACGCTTAAGCGATAAAAACGCAGCGCGCACATTCGGTTGGCTGAGTGACCTTTGCGGAGAGCGCGAAAGTGTTAATTAGAACTATAAAGCAAGGCCAGGATTCATTAAGCATTTACGTACAACTTAAGAAACCTGTACATCTTTCTGCGGTCATGGCAGCTTTGTTTACATTTAACACTTTACAAGCTTCAACATTTCAAAATCAAAGATTATTATTGTTATAAACAACTTGGTAGTGGTTCAGAACTCAAACTGTCATCCAAACAAACTCATACAAGCGTCTGCCTCTAATATCAAGTGAACCACAGCTAAGGTGGTTATGCAGAAGATTGGACAGGGAATGAAGCTGTTCAAACCAAACAGATCGAGGATGTACAGTAGGTCTGCTGAGTCCGGCAGCAACCAGGACATCCACCAAAGGGACAAGGTCATCTTGACCATGCCAGAGTCCAGCGAAACCACAATGACCTGACAGTTCCAGGTAGAAACCCTGATATAAAAGCCCCAACACCAGGACAGATGGAGAGACTGACAAATTCCACTGCAAGCCGAGAGAGACGACTCAAAAAATTAATTAATCATGAGACCTGGACTAGGCAAAGATGAGCCAGATGCCCCACCATGACAGCATCAGAGGGGCAAACCACAGTAAACAAGTAGGGGCACAGAGTAAACAGAGGGGCAAACCACAGTAAACAAGTAGGGGCACAGAGTAAACAGAGGGGCAAACCACAGTAAACAAGTAGGGGCACAGAGTAAACAGAGGGGCAAACCACAGTAAACAAGTAGGGGCACAGAGTAAACAGAGGGGCAAATCACAGTAAACCACAAGTTGAATCACCCTTTTCTGACACAGTTGTGATGTCAAGCAGAAGAGGAACTCGCTGCAGGAAATACAATGGCCCATGAAACAGACTTCCCGAGGTCCTACCAAGACCAACAGCAGGCGAGGCCCTGGCCCTACCAGATCCCCATCCAAGAAGCAGGGACAAAACCCTGGAAACACAACAACTAATCAGTAGGATGACAAGAAAAGGCCACAGCCAACAAAACCTGGGAGACAGTATCCTCAGGAAAGAGGAGCAGAAAGAAAGGGAAAGAGGACAAAAGGGTAATGGACCAAGCCGAACCTAAAGACAGAGCCAAAACGGCCTGTCGACACACACAAGGCAAGTCGAGTAAAATGGTGCCACCACCTCCAGAAGTAAAGAAGTGAGCAGCTTGAGCAAGGCCACCAAGGCTGGAACCACAGGCCCCAAGGTTTCCACACCCAGGGCGAAACAAAGCAAAGAGAGCGCCTTAACAAGAACCAAACATGTAAGACCTCAGCTAAGTGTGTACATACCTGGTGGTCCTCTACAATAAGATTCCCAGAAAACACAGGGTGGACATGGAACTGCCACAAGCTCATATCCTTGAGGAGCGCCGGGGCAAATAGATGACCCAGAGCAGAGCATAAGAAGTGCCGCCCCAGGAACACCTGAAAGACGGAACTTGTCTCTACCCAATCAAGCATGCAGATGTCACAAAACCTCTGCCAAGCTCTCAAGGAAGAGAGAAAATTGTCAGCCAACCAGGAGGAACCTGGAACCTCACACCACAGCCAATAAGCAGATACAGACCTATATTCAAAAGAGGCCTTGTCCATCAATGAAATGTGGTCAGAATTCTGCAGGAGGTACCAAAACGGTCTGCATGAGCCATCAAATGTAAAATACAGAAGATGGAACTCCAGAAATACAATGACTTTCAATGGTCCATTCGAGGCATCGAATGGACCCCGGAACTGAACCTGAGGGGGAGCAGTTAAGTGATCATACTCATATATAGAGGGAAGCCGACAAGAAAAATTCTCTCCCCTGATAAAAGGTCTTCCACAGTGGAAAACAGAGCCTACAAAGGATGAAAAGATACCCATGGACACTCCTAGGCCAAACACATGAGAAAGAAAAGCATCTTTACAAGAAGAGGGGTTTGGAATAGGCAGGAGGTTGTGAAGGTGAAACCCCTGAACCCCCAGCGGGATCAGACGGCTCAACTGCCTCTGCCGTCGAAGTGGACAAGGACACCTCCAAAGAAAGCAGAGCTACACCCTGAGCTAAACCTTGACCTGACTGAGAAGCCTCACTTCTGAGCCAGAACCACAGAGGAAAGAGGAGGAAGAGGGGGAAAGGAAGACCAGACGCAAGGGAAACCACACCTTCAAAGGAAGGAAGAGGAGGCATGGACTTAGACCAGGTGGAGGCCACCAACACCTCCAATTCTAAATCCCTCAAACTCTGGGGTATCCAAACACTCACAATGCACCAAACACCTAAGCCAAGCAAACCTAGCTCATAAATGTATTACTGTATCCAAGCATGGAGATCTCATCTTCAGAAGGACATTGCTGCTCTGGAGAAATTGCAACACTTGGCAACAAAAATAATTCCAGAGCTAAGTCAACTCTCATATCAGGAACAGTTAAGGGCCACATGGCCAACAACACTGCAAACCAGGCATGACAGGTCAGATATCATTGAAACTTAAAATACTGCACAATTTGGAGGATGTTGATCTGGACAATTTCTTCAGGTCAGATGTAACACATACAAGGAGCAATGATTTCAAGCTCAACAAGCCACAAGGTAGGACTGAGAACAGATGCTTTTTCTTCCACAGGGTTATAAACCCATGGAACTCCCTACCTGCCGAAGCCATGTCAAAACTGTTAAATTCCAACTGGAAAAGATCATCAAGGCAAATGGGGGGGGGGTGCACTTCAACAAGCTGCCGGCTTCCTGTCTTCATCGAGGCCACTAGTGTTATTGGTCCTCGGGTAAATTCAGGTAAATTGGCACCCACTTGATAAGTTTCTAAACATAAACTGAATTAATCAATGCAAGTGAATTGATCAACCAGTGAAAGCAAACCTCACAGGACTCGGGGTTGTCAGTGGTACCAACCCAGCAGTCGGCATGATGGGGGGAGAAAGAATGACCATCTTCTGCTAACAATGGCAATGATTCCCCCTTGAAGCTTGCATATAGTGAGCATGGGCTTGACAAGGCGACCCATAATAAATAACGCTAGAGACCCGCTGGGGGGATTACCAGGGCCTGAAGGAAACTGGCCAAACAGGACAACCAGTCATTGGGGCCTCTCGCCGAAAGATCAGATCCTAAATACAGCCAATACCCTAGAGGACTGCAATGTGCCATATAAACAAGTGCAAGAGTTCCAGCCCACTCCAACAACCAACAGAAGGACCCCACTCAAGGTCTCAAATAGAGGCGTCAACAACTCGTAAACAGCCCAAGGCGAGGCTCTCCACCCTGGTGGCCTGGCCTCTCACAGCAAACTCCCGAACACACCAGGGAAGTAACTCAGTACAAGAGCTGCATTAGTGAACATCTATGGAAGAAAACTCTGAGGATATGCAGCTTGAAGTGCACCAGAAGCCAAGCCCACGTAGTGAGCCGAAGAGAAAATATGCACATTAAATTAATGCTAAAATCAAAGAACAACAAACAAGCAAATGTTCCCCCCCCTGCAGGAAGAATGAAGTTTAAGGATGGCTGGCACTTAACTTGAGGCAGAGGAAGTTGCCACACCTGATGGACCAGAGTACTACAGGTAGTATTAACCATCACATCAGAAATAGAACTGACTAGAGGAGCTGGCTGTGGGCTGGGCCGCCTGGTGGCAGCTATCGATACCAGCATGTTCGAGTCACTTTTGAGTGGATTTCTTATTTTGTTTGAATCTTTGTAGAATTATTTGGCAGTGTCAAGGCTTCATTTTCTGTGAACCTTTCAGTTGTTCACAGAAAGCTTTCTGACTTTCTGGATGTTTTCCTGGTGGGGGGACAAAATATCACTTGCTCTCTGCACCCCTGTGAGGTTCTGGCTCCGGTCCCTGGTAGGCCAAACACAACTTTTGCAACCGACTGCTCCATTCGATGGAGCAATCTCCCTGAGATAATTGCAGGGAACCACCAGGGGGTTCCCCCTCCCCAGAAAAAAGGAGTTGAGGAACGATGTAGGCATAAAACTAACAAACCACGATACATAATACAATGTAAAAATGCAAGGATATGTGCAACATGGATTTACAAAATGTTCCCAGGGTAATAACAGCTAACAATCATGTCTGAACAAACCTCTTCATAGCATCTGCAAGATCCGGTGTAACAACAGGAATGGGAGTCTGCGTGGTTTCTGGATGATACGGTGGGAGGCAGACGTCTCCTTCCTGGAGCTGTTGGCAGGGAAGGCTGTACCTCTCTGTTGCTCGCTCGGGAAACACACTGCACCAACCTATAATTAAAAACACAGTGTTGAATGTAATGAAATGCCATTTTCTGGGTGAGTCCCGGAGGCTCCCCAGCGCTATCCAGGCTGATATGTATCTCTTTAGAATTTGGCATCAGTTGATGTGGGAGGAGTTCTAGGACTACCAGGGACCATGAGCCAAAAGCTGCCCCCCTCCTCCCTCAGAGAGGCACGAGGAGTAATGGACTATAGAAATGCACATGTGATTTGGAGCATTCTATATCTGCCGTTGACCAGGACAGGCACCCAGAAAGGTAAGGGCCCCAAAACAAACCCCTATTCTGGTTAAAAACTACAAAAATAGAGAAACAAGTGGACAGAACTCCCCAAATGAAAACAAGTAAACAAGCACGACATCATACAGGCTGCGCCTCATGTCTGTGCAGCTCCCCTCTCCCCGGGAGGGGGAAAAGGGAGCCCCAGACCCCTACGCCAGCGATCCACACCTCAGTTCTGAGGCTGGATATCAAAATACTGTACGCGAAAACTGTTGACCGAAGGGGAGGGAGGGTTGCCAAGGAGCCTCCGGGACTCACCCAGAAAATGGTGTTTCATAACATTTAATGCTAGTTTTCTGTGGGAAGCCCCTTCGGCTTCCAGGAACTGGAAGTCATCGGCCTGGTGACTGCCAGGAAATGACTAAAAATGAAAGGGGACTTACCCAGGAGGCAGTCAGTGCTCACATCTCAACTCAAATTCAGGACAATAGGCTGCAACCTTCGACCCAAAGCGAGACAGGCCCGACTAGGCCCAGGAACATTAACAAGGTAGCATGCAGCCAGGACTCTGTTCGACCACCAAAAACCCAGTGCCCGAATGTCAGCCCAGGACATGTTACTAAAGATGGCAGCAAGCGCAGCAAACTTACGAACGTCGTGGGCACGGGGAAAGACCGCAGGCCGGTTAGACATAATAACCCTGCGGACGACCTGGGAGACCCCACCCAAGAACAGGGAAGAAGGGATACCTGATCAACCCAAAGCGCGTCCTCGGTCACAGAAGCCGTGGCACGCAAATAATGGCAGAGAGCCGCAACCAGACAACACATGATGTACCCCGGACTGACCAACCAACCATCAACATCCCAACAACCCCCTCCGGAAAGCAGCAGTCTCATTCTTCGCCAGAAAAGAAGGAGACGGCTGCAAACGAACAAACTTATCACCACGACCAAAAGAGCAGAAACCCCTGCACCAGAGAAGAGCATGAAGCTCTGCAACCTGACCACCAGAGGCCAATGCCAACAAGAAAAAGAGCCTTAGAAAAACAATCCTGAACCAAAGGGGGCCCACAACAAACCAAGGAGAAGAGAGATAGGAGAGCACTCTGTTAAAAGACCAGGACGGCTCAGGCGGCACATGAGCAGGCCTGAGGTGAAACAATGCACGAGACAGATTGCAAAACGCTGCAGAAGTAACATCTATACCAAAAGCAAGCTGCTGCGGCTTCGCCAACGCCGCACGATAGAAGGCGACAGTATTCGGCATAAGACGACGGTCCTGAAACACCCACGAGAGGTATGACAAAAGAACTTTAACCGAAAGCAAAGTATAACAATGAAGAGTCAAAAAGAAATGGAAGGACTACCAGGAAACTTCATACTGCCACCGAGACAAAGCCAGCAGGTGGGACACTTATCAAAGAAGCCACCTGATCACCATATAGAAGGTGATAGAATGGTGATGGTCGCTTCGGGGACGGGCCAATCGACTGTGGATCGGGGAAGGGCCCCACATATACTGTAAGACGCCTCGACCATGCCGAAGCAAAGAGGCCCACCTCCAGGCGTCCGGACGTCTAGCTGAGCCAACTGAATGAGTCGGCATCAACCATCCATTCTGTGGACAGGAGAATGAACCGGGACAGGCATGAACTGCCAGGAGAGCCAAACCCCAAGAAGTCGGCAAACGAGTCACCCGAAGCGACCAGCCCCAAAGAGCCAAGGAACTCCCTCAGTTCAGACTATGAACCACCGGGGAGTAATCCAAATTGAGCAGGATCGTTGATCCACGGGAGACCCGAACCCTCCAAAGAGCAAACCACACCGCCGCGAATTCCCACACCGTGCTGTGGGCTCGACGGAAGGATGGACCCCACAGCCCCTGGCCGGCCTGGTGAGCACTGGTCACAGACCCCCAGCTGAGAGACGACGCATCTGTGAACACATCGAGCAAAGGCTCGGGTAGGCGCCAAGGTACTGAACCCCGAAAAATCCGAAGAGGAAGCCTGCGACACAGCAGCCAACGTAAGGCCCCCGGAGGCTGAACCCAGCGACTGCAAGAAGGCACCAGAACAACCAACAAAGCCACAACGACCCGGCGGGTAGACCATCATCACAAAGTTCACGCTCCCGCACAGACCCTCCACCAACTGCCGGGTGACTTGGGAGCCCCCTAGAAACAAGCACATGCAGGATCGCAGCCTAAGGAGAGACTCCGGAGGGAGAGACAAGGAAGCAGTCCGAGAGTCCCACACAAGACCCAGCCAGGTCCGAACCTGGGAGGGAACCAGATCGGACTTCCACTAGTTCACCAGGAACCTGAACTGGGAAAGCTGGGAAAGCACCAAACTCCTGACGAGCAGACACGTGGACTGACTGGGAGCCCAAACCAGCCAGTCGTCAAGGTAAGCCAACACCCGAACACCTAACAGATGCAGACAGACCACAACGACCTGGGTAAGGTGTGTGAACACGCGAGGTGCCAGGTTCAACCCGAACGGGAGACAACGAAAGCGGTAACCCTGACGCCCCACGACAAAACTGAGCCAGTCCCTGAACCCCGGATGAATCAAGACGTACCAATAAGTAAAATAAGACACCATCCAAGCGCCCGGCTCCAACAGAAGCTGGACCTGGGACAGAGTGGTCATCCGAAAGGAGGGGCAAGAAACCCAGGGGTTCAGACAGGACAAGTCCAGAATGAACTGCAGGAACTGCAGTTGTCCCCTGAACTTGTCCTTCACTCAACAGAAGTCCTGTTTCGGAACTGGAAACAGGCGGGAAACGCACCTGAGAGACGTGGTTGTTTCGACCACGCCCAAGTGCACCCACTCCAAGACAACCTGACAGAGAGCAGGATAAGAGGCTTGCCCCGCCATCCCCAAATCCCCTGAAGGAGGATGTCACCCAACACCACCACAGGCCGCGAGAAACGACCCGAAAAGCCCACGAATCGTGAGACCGGGCATGAGCGAACAGAGCAAGCCGCCCCGTCAATGGGGCGAACCCCGAAAGGGCCGATGCCCTTATGAGAACCCGACCTGCACACACAAGGAGCACCGCGCCGACCAGATGCAGACAATTCTGAAGGTGGAACGGGCTCCGAAACTGGCACCTGTGGCCTACCCCAACAAGCGGAACTGCGAGCCCTCGCACGACACCTCCGGGAAGAACCCACCCGGGACCCCCGGAGAACCAACAAGTCGGACATCGGACAGCAGCTGGAAGAAGCAGCCTGCATATACTGCTCCACCGCAGAGGCTGCAAACAGCAAAGGACAAAAGGGCGAAGACAACCCAAGAGCTTGGGCCTAAGCAGATTTCAAGGAGCAAGCCAGCACCATCTTTCGATATGCGAGACACGCAGAAAAAAACCGCAACAACTTGTCCCGCAGGATCGGCGTAAACAACTTCAAAAGTGCAGACGACGCATGAGCAGCAGAGACCAAGGCGCCAGACCCAGGAATGGCCCCAAGCTCCTCAACATCCTCCGCAAGCCAATCCAAAGACAGCTCCAGGAGGGAAAAAAACCGGACCGAAGCCAGCAAGCCACACGTGCGCAAGTCCTCAGCCACAAGTGCAGCCGACAGGGAAGGAACCTGCACGTGAAGCTGAATCGCGCCAACATCTCGCAGAAGGGCAGGAGCGAAAAAGACACTCATTAAGGTGCTCAAAGTTGCCCCCCCCCCCACCCCCAGGTAAACCTAGACCACAGTCAATGTCTCGTGCCACTCAAACATGCGGGTACGACAGAAGGGGTTCCAATCATCCAACGAAAACTACCGGCAGTCCGCAAGCCAGAATGACTCCGGAACCTCATAACGAACCCAGTATGGAGACGAAGATCCAAACCTGAAGATCCCCCTCCCGGGGAGTGGGTAGCTGTGCAGACATGCAGCGCAGCTCGTGTCAAGTCATGCTTGTTTTCATTTCGGGAGTTCTGTCCACTCGTTTGTCTATTTTCATAATTTTTAACCAAAATGGGGGGTTTGTTTTGGGGCCCTTACCTTTCTGGGTGTCTGCCCCGGTCGATGGCAGATATGCCATCGACCGGGACAGGCCAAACGCTCCAAATCACATGTGCATTTCTATAGGCCATTGCTTCTCGTGCCTCTCTGAGGGAGTCAGGTTCTGGCTCATGGTCCCCGGTAGGCCTAGAACTCCCACACTGACTGATGCCAAATTCTAAAGAGATACATATCAGCCTGGATAGCTCTGGGGAGCCGAAGGGGCTTCCCCCAGAAAATATATTATATATATATATATATATATATATATATATATATATATATATATATATATATATATATATATATATATATATATATATATATATTAGTATATTTTGGTAGCAGTCTTTCTTATAAGCATATGTTGTTAAATATATATACATGCCAACTTCATAGGGATCTAGCATGGAACAAATCATCATCACTTTCATTTACTTTCAAATATGTAGGTTGAATTATTTGTTTCAGTCACATTATTGTGACTTGTTCTCTACTTATGTATGTAAAGTATTATTATTATTATTATACCTTTGACTGATAATTATCATCATATTAATATCCAATGGCCATTTTGTTTGCATTTTCCTTTTGAAACAACTGACAAGTGATATGAATACAGTATATTATAAACCAGCAAAGATTTTAGATGCAGGTAATCAACTAACCTTTGCCATGTACGTAGAATGGATGATCGGGAGGTGTAACCACCATGATATCTTCCTGTTGTACCATAACTGGTCGAAAGTAAAGCTGGCAATAACTTGGTCCAGACATGTGTGAAGACGAGCTCTCGCGTAGAATTCGCATCAGATGTAAGCCGTGAGGTGCATACCGCTGTTGATGAGTGCGTTCCAACTGGCCCAGCTCTTCACTTAGTCTTGCTCCTGTTACCTGACCACCAACACCCAATACAAAATGAACACGAACTCCAGACATGAAGACAGACCAAACATTAGTAGGCCATTGATGTCCTGATGTTGGCTGAGGAGAGATCGACGAAGGGCACGGTGAAGAACCTGTTCCCAGTCGGTCTGTATGTCCATGGCCACCAAGACCTTGTGGTCCCATAGGGCCACCCTGAAGATGAGGAGACGGCAAGTGTGGCGACACATGATGTGGAGAGGGCATGTGTGGTGATGGCACATGGGAATAAGACACATGATATTCTGCTATCATTCCTTCATTCTCTAACTCTTCTCTAGAGGAGTTTAGGGATGATGTGGATGGATGTGATGGGGCTGGAGACAATAAAGAGGAAGGTAAGCCCCCTATAGCCGCTGTAGATAAATTTAAGGGGCCCTGTGATCCACCAGACATATCTCCAGTACCATAAGATGAGCCATTAGAATTTCCCTCACTGAAGGGAAACCTGCTAGTAATTACTGGAATTGCTGAATGAGGATGCGGAGTATGAGGTGTATGCGGTGTGGGCAATCCAGGAATCCTTAGAGATGAAGACGAGGATGAAGACGACGAAGAGGGTATCCCTGTGGACTGTTCTCGCACCTCAGCTGTAGATCTGATTACACCTGGTGTTGCTGTTGCTGGTAGTTGGAGACCCTGGGCCTCTAATTGAAAGGACCAACTGTGGGCTCTGTAAAGATACATATGATTAGAAGCAAAATAAACCACCAAAATGCAGTATTAAACAACAAAAATATTATTTAAAAGCCTTGCAAATTAATTCAGATTTACACCTGTTTAGTACAGCCATTATTTTAGCACTCTGTATAAGTTGTTATGAATAAAAATTTCTAATTCTAAAACATGGCTTGGAAATCAAACTATACTTAATTCTCATTGTCGGGGACAGGAAACCTGTATAGTATTGTTTACTGTACAGGTTTATCGAGGTCCCCTTTGGTCAACTACCGACCAAAAGGTGCAACCCACAACAGCTGCTCAACTGTTGGCTACCCATTTACTGCAAAATGAACAGAAGCGTCATGTGAGAGTAAAAGTGCCAAAAGATGATTTGGGATCTGGTTGGGTCTTGCCTGCGGATCAAACTCAAGATTCTCTATTGTGAGTTGAAGATGTAGACCACTGTACTGCATGTGTTTTTCACAAAGGCATTTAATGATAGGGAATCCTTTCCCCACCTGATGGTGGGGAGGGATCAAGGGGGGCTAATTTTGTCATCAGGAATGGGTACAAATTGTATGGGTAAATGGGAGGTGGTCCTGTAGTACAGTGATCGGTGCAGTCAGATACACAGATGTTGAGTCACAATAACATGGCTGAAGATATGATGACCAAACCACACATCAGAAGATGAAGAAACGGCGATGTTTCAGTCTATCCTGGACCATTATCAAGTTGTATGTGATGATATACAGTACTTTACATACAACTTGATAGTGGTTCAGGACGGACCAAAACGTCGTCATTTCTTCATTCGATGTGTGGCTTTGGTCATCAGCCAGATATATTTGGTAAATACATGTACTGTACTGTCCTGTACAGTACCATAACCCAGGGTAGCAGAATAGGGTTAACAAGACCAGTCTGTGCTACAGAAAGTATATAAAAAAAATTCTGTACATTTACACATGACATGCATTTGTAGTATTTATAGTATATACCACCAAAATCATTGCTTATATAGTGTGTATAAATGTACATAAACATATATGTTAGTATTTGCTATAAGCAAAACAAGGACAATTTGGTGATAAAATTGGGATTGGGTCCAACCAATATTATTTGGATTTCCGAGGGAGCTGCACACTGCACTTCCAACTGTTTGTATAATTCAAATAATTCACTGTGTCGAGGGACAGGCAGCCAGAGTGTATTTGTACAAGTTAGGCTTATATCGAGGGGGACCCCCAAGGTCAAATTACTGACCCTACCCAGGATGCAACCCCACAACAAGCTGGCTAACTCCTGGGCACCTACCTGCTGCTAGGTGAACAGTGCACTAGGTGATAATAAAAGTGCCCAACCATTTCTGTCCCGTCTGGGATTCGAACCTGGAATTCCTGATTGAGAGTCGAGAACGAACCCGACTGTACTACCGGGACCCCGTAGTACAATAGTATTTATCACATATATATTTATCACATGATAAATACAGCAGCATTTATCACATATATGCATAACTGAATGCAAACTATGCCTATTCATCAAGTATATACACAACTGAATACAAAACTAAGCACTGTATACAGTACAAATACAAATATATACATATTTGGCAAATATACACAACTGAATACAAACTGTGCCTATTTATGATGTATATCCAAGGGAACTGAATACAGTCTAAAAGAATGGGGGAAAATCAGTGCAAGTGAAAGGAGGAATTAACAATCAGGACCAGACTGAGGTAGCGTAGCCCTATTTGCCAAGTGTTAACAGAGACTAAGACTGCATAGTAATTAATTGGGTCTAATTTGTTAATATTAATTGTTGTTAATTAGATTAAATCATTACTTAAATATTAGTTATAATAAAACTAATGAATGGAAAAAAATTCCGAGATTTTGAGAGGACCCGTCATATTGATAGGCCTAAAGCTGTAGTCAGTTTAGCTTATGCCTAAATCCAGTCCTGTTAATGGTGTTTCAACCTTAAATAACAAATAATCAAAGTAAATACATATAACAGACAAATGGGGATGAATCCTACCTCTTTCTAAGGGGCAAGTTCTTCTGAGTAAGAGGTGACTTTGGGCTGGTGGTGGTGATGGCTGCAAACTCGGGAATCATCGCTTCGGGCTCCAAATTCCGCTTGCTTAGGTCCAGCGGGGGAGGCACTGGACGCATCTATGAAAGTCAAAAATAACTTGAAATGAGAGCCAGGAAATTTATGGAGAGTAACTGATGTAGTCAACAACCTGTTGAATAAAGAATCATTCCGAGTAAATAATATTTAAACGTCATACCTATCAATGTTTTCTGTAAGCATATTTTGTACCCTCAGTACATTCATCAACTTTAACATTTAAAACTCGTAAAGAAATTATTCGTAGAAGTAAAATGAGATCACGAGAATGTGATATACAGTATATATGAGAAAATATTGAAGCCATACGATTGGGTTGAACCTGCATTTCTGGCCTTCTAAGGCACATACACTACTGACTGGACCACGAAGTTAAAAGTATTTCGACCGAAAGTACAGTACAGCACTTGCCCGAAATGCTGTGCGTATTAGTGGCTTTAGGTATTGTATGTACAGCTCTATCTATAAATCCAACATTATGTTCATAACTCATCTTCTATGTATGTACTTTTACCTGAATAAACATTTTGAATTTTTTAATTTGAATTTTTTACAACTTGTGTGGTGTTCAGAAGGCACTGCACGGTACCACAATCCAAGTTTTACGAGTACTAGTACAGTGGTGTGTGAGCCCGAGGAACTTAGGGATGCGAGTTTGGATCCCATCGTACACCTGCAATATTTTTTGTTTATGAAAGCGATACTAAGACCATTGTCCCTTTGATCTATAATATCAAGATGCATCAACAAAGCACCAGAACCAAATGGTTGAAGCATCGAACCTGAAAACTCTTTCCTGGTTTATAACTTTCAGTATCAGATTTAAATAGGCAGGTCATGATATTATCTAATTTCTCATGACATTGTCTAATTTCTGGAAATGAAGCCTATAATGCTGTGTGTTCCTCATCAATGGGCCCAAAGTGTAAAATAAATATCTGACACTGTTAGGAAATAAGGAGGCTAGAGAAGACTGACTGTGTAGCGGAAGAAGGCCACAACCCTCAGAGCCAGCTTAGGTGGGGTATAGGGGAATGCAAACTGATTCCAGGGGAGGCAACCCTGGCCTTGATCAGAACAAAATCAAATGCTAGAACACACACAAAATATAAATAAAGCAATGGCTTCACGAGAAAATCATGTTCCAAGGAAACCAGCACTACTTAAGTAACAATCAAGCAGCAGGCAAGAGGGTCAAACGTTACGGATGTTTGGCAGTATCACAATGCAGAAGTGAGGTGGCATGCCAGGCGAGAGCTTAAGACAACGCTGTCTGGTGGTGGTCAGGTGCACCTCGGTCAGGATATTCCTCCCCCCCCCTCCTCCATGGCAATGATTGCTTGCCTTATTTACCTAGGGGTGCCTAATTTCTTTCAGGCAGTCACTTGATTTCTTGGGTCAAACACTTCAAGATGGTTTTTCGTTAGTTTTGTGACTGATCTTTGACCCTATGCTTCCATGGCTTCATAGAATGAGCCAGACTCTGGTCCTGGCTTCCTGTAGGCTAGTATGGGCCCTGGAGACCTAGTGTGTTGGACGAAGGTGTGATGCAACCAGAGTAAGGCTCAAGTCACTAGTCTCTCCCAGAATTATGTACAAAAAATTTCCCCCACATCTTTGGGGAGGTGCAGATATAGGCTATGCAATGAGGCATAACTAATTCCCTCGCCCCCAAAAAAAAATCTTAAAAATAAGAATTGTGTGTTAATGGAATCCCAACTTACTGCCAAGAATCTGATAGATCTGAGGATTAGCAAAGATTTGTGCTGTGTTCATTTGTGCAACTCACTCACCAATTTGCCTAACTTCAAAATTCACTTGTGAATTGGGAAACTGGGTACAAAAATGCATATCTGCATAACTTCAAATCTATGTAATGCAGTTTTGTGCAAACCAAGGGGACCTGTAATGTTCAGGGGCTGGGAGCTTCAAAATATTCGTCCAAATATGAAAACCGTATAGTATAAAATGTTAAATCTCACATTATTTGGCATCAGCGCCTTGAAAATTTTGTCCCAATATGTTAAGAAATGGATTTTATACGAATTTAAAAAAAAAAAAAAAAAAAAAAATCCACAACCAGTACTGATGATAACAATAACACCTAGTTAGTGAACTCATGGATAATGCAGGGAGAAAGAGATGCAAGCACCTGTCCGATGCAAAAAGAAGAAAAGTAGTAGTAAGGAGGGTCCACAAAGTGGATATGCAGCTGGTGCCTTCTAGGATATGCAGTCCCCATGGCGTAGTATGACACGCGCCTGGCGTTTTGAGAACGCTTTATCCTGGGTTCATATCCTGGCCAGGATACGAACATGTCATGTCATAAATTCAAACTCCTATATTCCTTATCAAGAAATTAAACTTAACTTTTCTGCATGAACAGGATTTTCATCTTTGAGACAACATACAAACTTCAGTTTCAGAGCGACTCTCACCATTTTTACATATGTGCAACGTTCTTAGTTCTAAGGTTTCATTGCTTGTTTATTCATAAACCCATAACTTTGAGAGTTAAAAATGTTTGCCTTTTAATTTTGGCATATTTTGAAGGCCACATTGACCCTTTTTTTTTTTTTTTTACAGTAAACTATACTCAAACAATATTTAAAACAATGAAAATGAATGTTATATGTCATTTTGAACCCCTTAATGCATTATATATATGTATTGTACATATTTATTAATCTGTTGTCAGAGACTGGATGCCTATACTCAAGCCTGTTTGTCACTTTTCACCCATAAGTAATCGGGGACCTGATTGTTAAATAATTGAGGGGTCATATTTCTGGGAAACTATTAAGAATAAAGCTTACCAAAAGCTACTGGAAGGGAAAGCTCTCAATCTGCTAACAGGAGTCAGCAGTCGTCTGCTCCTGTACCCACCTGTGTGTAAAACTAGTAGGGTAAGGCTTACCCTGAGCTATGGGAAGGGAAAGCGCTCGGCCAGCTAATAGGAGTCGCAAGTTGTCTACCCCTGTATCCACCTGAGCGTAATACAAAATGACCCATTCACTGGGACTGTCATGGAATTTTAACAGCACCCAAGAAAAGAATTTGTCTTCTGAGGATATTGACATACACTACTTAATTTATTTCATGCATACATATGCAAGTGCTCAGGTATATGGCTACATCCTGTAGCTTATACTATACAATATATATATATATATAAATACAGTACAGTATAGCCAAGTTGTGACAAATACATGTTTTAATAAAATGCCATACCTTCCGTTTAATGCTGAGGTCACGGGGCTCCTCAGGAGATGGGGAGTGTGATGACTGATGGGAATCCATGATGCCCATTAGATCAGGAGACATGCGCTCTTCCTCTGCCATGCTGACGTTCATCATCTTGCACGCGTGCTTTAAATACAATGATATATTAATATAAATCTGTATATAAATGAATATGTAATGTTTTAATTATTAGGGGCCTGAAACTGAGAAGATAAATTATATTTTCTTTAACCCAACTGATTTGACAAAGTGGGAACAACACAATACTGTAAGAGCTCACTAATCTGGATCACAGTAACCCAGACCTTTGGTTAATCCGACCACAATTGAGTCTGGGTTCTTGATTATAGTACTGGAACTAATATAATTTGGACAGAAATCCAGACTACTGGGTTTCGGGTCTTACACTTGTGTTAGCGAGTGACATGTGGCTACATGTGTTCATAATACAAATTACATTAAAACAATGCATTGTTTTCCATCTGGTGGGCTATGTATTGTGTCGTGAGGAAACCTGCTGGCACCCTGTGAACCTGCCCATCATTGTCTTCACCCCTCGTGTGAGTCTACATAATGCCATTCCATTACTGAAGGATTTCCTTTTCTAACTTTTTCTTGAATACTGTACACTTTAATAGTTTTTTGTTAAGCCCATGTCTGGTAGCAGCAGCAATCACTATGGAGGTGTTAGCAAATTACGCCATATATTAAAAATAAGCTACAAGTGGCCGAGCTTACTGAAAATGGCTGTTGTGCAGTGTTACAAAGGATTCTAGGATAGCCACAAGTATCTGCGATATAAGGAGGTATAATTTGAAGGGGAAGGGCAGATATCAGGAGAAATCTCTAAGTCATTGCGACTATATAGCACTTGGAAGGGAATGGAGAGGGTTGGGGGGGTGAAGGAAAGGTATGGTGCCCAACCACTTGGATGGTCGGGGATTGAACGCCAACCTGCATGAAGCGAGATCATCACCCCTACCATCCAGCCAAAGTGGCTGGTGTGATATAAGGAAACGTAAAGAACAATTTATGTAATACTTGACTATTAGTGAGAGTGAGGGAATAGGGACTAGTAGAAACTGTAACAGAAAAACTGTGAAGCATGCACAGTTATGAGGCTGTGTATAAATGGTTCCCACAGCACTGCACAGTGGATATATGACAATCTGTTGTGAGGAATAAAGGGCAAAGAGCCGATTATAAGAGAGACAAATGAAAATAAGGAGGCAAGCTAGAATCGATCCTAGCTTGCCTCCTTGGTTGTTAAGATAAGTGTTAAAGACCTTCAACCAGCAAAGCCTCAGCAGCCAAGAACTTGTACAGTAATTTTAGGGTTAGATAGGCTGTGTCTAAGCTAGGCTATCTTCTTGAGGTTATCTTGAGATGATTTCGGAGCTCAGCATACCCGCGGCCCAGTCCTTGACCAGGCCTCCTTTTTGTTACACACCCCCAGGAAGCAGCTGGAGGTGTTCGATCTCCTCCGGGGATCGAACCCGGAACCTTAAGACTACAAATCCCAAGCGCTATCCACTCAGCTGTCAGGCCCCAAGGCTAGGTTAGGGGAATTAGACAATCAAAATCCTTCATCAATCAAGCAGACATTGACACCAAAAAGCTAAGTTGAAATTTGTTATCATTCACATTTATTACATGAAGAACCTCCCTTAACCATGTAAATTTATGTTTATTGAATGTGGAAATACAAATTATGTTGTGTAACAAAAACAGGCAAATTTGTAATTTGTATTTTTTACATTCTTTGTAAGAAAGTTGGCTAATTTGGACATACTGTATGTGTGATTCGGATTGGGGTTGTCCCCCATATGATTCAGATTAGTGGGCGTAGACAGTGTTTACAGTATTGCACAGTATAATTCCCGTTGTCGGGGCCAGAAGGCCTGTTAAGCTTATCGAGGTCCTCCCTAGGCCAATTTTTCCAAGATGGAACTCATAACAGTCGCCTAACTCCCAGATACTTATTTACTGCTAGGGGGGAACAGAGACATCAGGTGAAAGGAAACATGTCCAATCATTTCAGTCTTGCTCAGGGACAGAAATGCCCCCCGGATCCTCAATTGTGAGTTGAGGATGTAGACCACTGTCCTACAGGACCCCCAATGAAATCTTTAAAATCTAGTTTGACATAAGAGTATTAAATAGCATAAATATGATACTTTTTGTTATCAATCCTATTCTACATTGCTATACCTTTAATTTTGAGTCAATCAAGAATACAAAATTATCTTTTAAACACAAAAAACAATGTCTAGAATAAAAAAAAAAAAAAACATTATGCCTGGAACTAAACAAAAATAATGCCTGAAAATGTAATCAGAAGACGTAAACCTAGTACAGTATTTTAGCTTAGCAGTTAATATGTACAAATATAAAGTAATCCTAGAGAATGCTTCGGCCATTAACCACATTACTTGGATGCAAAAGATAAATATGGTTTTATACTGTTGGGACGGAAGGAAAACAGAAGCATTGCAAGCAAGTCACCCACACTTAACTTGAAGTGGTAGGCGACTTGAAATGTTGTGGTATACACACACTGTGGTATATCTGTGGTATACCACAGGTATATGTGGAAATGCTGTGGTACACACACTAGTATACCTGTGGAATACACACACTGTGGTACACCTGTGGTATACCACAACATTTCCACATATACCTGTGGTGTACTTTATTTACATACAAATTTCATACATTTAAAAGCCATTTAGAAAGTCAGATTAACATTATGCTACAATTTGTTAAAATATAAGCCAAATAAAAGTAAATTAAAAATACAACACAGCACTGTACCCATAATGCATTTTCACATTCAACATGCAAGGCACAAAATGACTAACGCACTCCGTTCTCTTAATTTGCAGTCTTCGTAGAAAATACATGTTTTTTTTTTTTGCCTAACCTGAACATAACAAACCCACGCAACCCATCTAACCTATAGAGGTCAATACACAGAAAATGTCAATATTTGCAGGATTTTTTTTTCACTAACTTGGAAGGTTACATTTTAAACAGATTGGTCAGATCCATAAAAATGCAACATGCAGGCGAGAGGACAGGTTGAATTACTGGTAACACACACACACACACACACACACACACACACACACACACACACACACACACACACACTTTTTTTTTTTTTAGAGAAGGTGGTGGAGGCCAAGACCGTCAGTAGTTTCAAAGCGTTATATGACAAAGAGTGCTGGGAAGACGGGACACCACGAGCGTAGCTCTCATCCTGTAACTACACTTAGGTAATTACACTTAGGTAATTACACACACACACACACACATGCCTATCCATATTCAGAACAAATAATAATGCCCAGCTTTAATATCTAAACAACGGGAAACAAAAACTAAACACTGGGGAATGACACTTCACCTAAAATTAAAAACACTGTAGCAGGTACCGAACACATTCATTGTTAACTGCTCTACCTGATACAACTGTAAGGGCTGGCGTATTGTACGAAATACACCATAATTATATTTTATTTGGCTTCGGAATAAGTACAGTAAATCTTAAAGTACCTTGGGGGTACCTTGGGGTAAAGTGACGGTTAACTGTGCCTGCTTAACTCTCCTTTTCCAGGTGACACCACAGAAGCTACGATATAATGCCAGAATTTTTTGCATATCAGCAGTGTCATACAATATACAATTTATGTACAGTACTTACTAATAACCACTGTAACATGTTCTAATCTTTATTGCATCAATTTAAATGATTTTATCATCATCATCATCATCATCATCATCATATACTGTAATTAGGGAAGTGACATTTTAAGATGAGAACTACGAGCAAGATGATTCATTTTCCCTATAACCTTTGTCAGATGACATGTTGGAACCCTAGACTGATGCCACTCCACTCCATGGAAGTGGGAGATGGGGTAGTGAAATGAATGCAGCATCCTCACCCAAACCTGTGCAATATGCACACTGCAATTGTAAAGCTGCAGCAGGACCACAGCTTGGGGAAAAAATATGTTGAGAGAGAAATGTCACCCATCAAGCAAACATTGTTCAAATATTGTAAGGGGCATGACAGTCGATACCAAAATAAATATTAACTGACAAAGAAAAAACACATCAATTTCAAATTATTCCGAACATCTACATATTCAATGAACACTGTACATACTGCATGCAGTTTATTTCACTATTCACAAAGGAATTATCACTACATATTAGTAGGTGGCCTGTGGTGCTTACATTTACAGACTTAAGTTAAACTCATCACTAATCATACTAACCTAAAATATCCTAGCTATAAACTAACTAAACATTCCTCAATAGCATTGTTGAGTTTGCAATAAGCTAATCTTTCCTAATGTAGAATGGAATTTATCCAGAAAATCAAAATGTAACTGGACGAGTCAGGTTGGTAAAGGTGAACATGTTATTATGACACTATGAGACTGCACATCATTTGAGTAAACTATCCATCCAGTGGGATGTGTGCACTATGTGGTGGCATGCACACACTATATGGTGGCCTGCGCCCACTATGTAGTGGCATGCACGCACTATGTGGTGGCCTGCACGCACTATGTGGTGGCATGCACGCACTATGTGGTGGCCTACACGCACTATGTGGTGGCCTGCGCGCACTATGTGGTGGCCTGCGCGCACTATGTGGTGGCATGCGCGCATTATGTGGTGGCCTGCACGCACTATGTGGTGGCATGCGCGCACTATGTGGTGGCCTGCACGCACTATGTGGTGGCATGCGCGCACTATGTGGTGGCATGCGCGCACTATGTGGTGGCCTGCACGCACTATGTGGTGGCATGCGCGCACTATGTGGTGGCCTGCACGCACTATGTGGTGGCCTGCACGCACTATGTGGTGGCCTGCGCGCACTATGTGGTGGCATGCGCGCACTATGTGGTGGCCTGCGCGCACTATGTGGTGGCCTGCGCGCACTATGTGGTGGCCTGCGCGCACTATGTGGTGGCCTGCGCGCACTATGTGGTGGCATGCACACACTATGTGGTGGCCTGCGCCCACTATGTGGTGGCATGCACACACTATGTGGTGGCCTGCGCGCACTATGTGGTGGCATGCACGCACTATGTGGTGGCATGCACGCACTATGTGGTGGCATGCACGCACTATGTGGTGGCATGCACGCACTATGTGGTGGCCTGCGCCCACTATGTGGTGGCATGCACGCACTATGTGGTGGCCTGCGCGCACTATGTGGTGGCCTGCGCGCACTATGTGGTGGCCTGCGCGCACTATGTGGTGGCCTGCGCGCACTATGTGGTGGCATGCGCCCACTATGTGGTGGCATGCACGCACTATGTGGTGGCCTGCGCGCACTATGTGGTGGCCTGCGCGCACTATGTGGTGGCCTGCGCGCACTATGTGGTGGCCTGCGCGCACTATGTGGTGGCCTGCGCGCACTATGTGGTGGCCTGCGCGCACTATGTGGTGGCCTGCGCCCACTATGTGGTGGCCTGCGCCCACTATGTGGTGGCATGCGCCCACTATGTGGTGGCCTGCGCCCACTATGTGGTGGCATGCACGCACTATGTGGCGGCCTGCGCCCACTATGTGGTGGCCTGCGCCCACTATGTGGTGGCCTGCGCCCACTATGTGGTGGCCTGCGCGCACTCTGTGGTGGCCTGCGCCCACTATGTGGTGGGATGCACGCACTATGTGGTGGGATGCGCGCACTATGTGGTGGCATGCGCGCACTATGTGGTGGCATGCGCGCACTATGTGGTGGCATGCGCGCACTATGTGGTGGCATGCGCGCACTATGTGGTGGCATGCGCGCACTATGTGGTGGCATGCGCGCACTATGTGGTGGCATGCGCGCACTATGTGGTGGCATGCGCGCACTATGTGGTGGCATGCGCGCACTATGTGGTGGCATGCGCGCACTATGTGGTGGCATGCGCGCACTATGTGGTGGCATGCGCGCACTATGTGGTGGCATGCGCGCACTATGTGGTGGCATGCGCGCACTATGTGGTGGCATGCGCGCACTATGTGGTGGCATGCGCGCACTATGTGGTGGCATGCGCGCACTATGTGGTGGCATGCGCGCACTATGTAAAGGCATGCATTCAACCATAAAATGTCATGCACACTATTTTCAAAAGCCATCCAGCACTAAGTAATAGCACGCATGCAGTATGTACATATATGCCATGCACGCAACTATGAAACGACATGCACACACTATGTAATGCTGTAGTGCACTGTCAAACAAGAGGCCAGCATATGGCTTACAGTTCTAAAACCCTCCACACTTCAATCTCCAACCCCCCCCCCCCCCCAACTCACAAAAAATTATTTTACCTATCAAATCCCAATAAGTTGTTGACAGCAATAAACAGATGCTGGGACCCATATATGAACTACCACTAAAACCACCAGAAAATGCTAAATATTGGCCAGTGTGAAAATTGGCAATTCAATTACATACAAGATACTGCTAAAGATTTAGTGGTAATATTTGCATTGACAAAAACTAATTTACTAATAATATAACTGTAGATAATACTGTAGTAATTTGTTATTACTGTACCTATAATGTGTTCCTGTACCATCAAAGCATATACAGTAGAAGCTTTAAGATATATCTAATTTTCTGATTGTCTAAACCATATTATATATATATATATATATATATATATATATATATATATATATATATATATATATATATATATATATATATATATATATATATATATATATACAGTATATATATTTGCTAGGTTAGGATGTATTTGTTCAGTGTTAGGTGTTAGGCTTGGTTGGGTTAGGTTGGGGAAGGTTAGGTAAGGTAGAATTTATAATCCATTCATGAATCAACAGGTGTACAATGTGATTTGCATCCCATGTGTTTGTATTCCATGTGTTTGCATCCCATGTGTTTGCACCCCATGTGTTTGCACCCCATGTGTTTGCACCCCATGTGTTTGCACCCCATGTGTTTGCATCCCATGTGTTTGCATCCCATGTGTTTGCATCCCATGTGTTTGCACCCCATGTGTTTGCACCCCAAGTGTTTGCATCCCAAGAGTTTGCATCCCAAGAGTTTGCATCCCAAGAGTTTGCATCCCAAGTGTTTGCATCCCAAGTGTTTGCATCCCAAGTGTTTGCATCCCAAGTGTTTGCATCCCAAGTGTTTGCATCCCATGTGTTTGCAGCCCATGTGTTTGCATCCCATATGTTTGCATCCCATGTGTTTGCAGCCCATGTGTTTGCAGCCCATGTGTTTGCAGCCCATGTGTTTGCAGCCCATGTGTTTGCATCCTAATTATTATTATTATTATCATCATTATTTCTGAGGATTAAATGTAATTTGGAGTTATGGATACTGTACTTCTGTAGAAAATTGATACCGTTTATTAAACAAAGCCATACACAAATTTTAATAGTCAAACAAGTATGTAAAATTGAAAATTAAATTATGCGGATCAAAAATTTAAATTAGACCAAAACTGTGTTACCAGTATTGTACATTTCCCAACTTTCTCAAAATAATAATAGCAAGACTAATTATGGCAACAATAATAACTAGAGATTATCTAGTAAAATGCAACAATTCAGAAGAAAAACAATTAAAAACACTGGTAAATCCACTTTATAATAAGTTTCACAGCCTATAATTATGAAAGCGTTTCCTGCCTGAAACATTGTGTGTGTGTTTTAGTGCCTTTGCATGAATGTAAAAATAACAGTCCGATGTAATCTCACCAACCTATTGTTCCTTCTTGCAAATAAAAATTATTATTATCATAAAGAAGTACATAGTACTGTCTTGAATTACAATTCCATTACAGTATTTCTCAACTCCATAGCAATAATATACGCAAGAATTACATCCATACCGAGTAACAAACATTCACTTCAGTTTGGAACAGCCAGCCCATATATCGATGATAATATATCCCATTTGAAATTGGATCCCAATTACAAAATATAATACAAATTTCAATACTGTCCTAATGTATTTTTATGAAACAAGTATTCTGGTAATTTAAGCTACCCGATGACAAGGAAGTCTGAATTCCATTAATTCATTGTAAATGTCAAGAGCAAAATGCCAAGGAGAGTTTTGACAGTTGTGTATCAGGTTTGTGGAGAAGTGACAGACGATGCAGCGGGAAGAGTTACGGGTGTGTTAACAGCCGGGAAGGAAGGAGAGTGATCTTATGATTACTGCAAAAAATATAGTGTGATCTTATGATTATGTTAAATGGCATGCATGTAGTGAAGAGTGATCTTACAGTTCTGTTAATGTGGGAGGAGTATAGAGAGAAGAGTGATCTTACAGGTGTGTAAGGGAAAGGAAAGTCTTCCTTTCATGTAAAATCTCTTTATGTATGTACCTTTGCCTAAATAAAAATTATTATTATTATTAAAGTGATCTCACTGGTGAGTTATCAGTGTGGAGGGAAGGAGTGTGATCTTACAGGTGTATAAGGGAAAGGAAAGTGATCTCACTGGTGAGTTATCAGTGTGGAGGGAAGGAGTGTGATCTTACAGGTGTGTAGGGGAAAGGAAAGTGATCTCACTGGTAAGTTATCAGTGTGGAGGGAAGGAGAGTGATCTTACAGGTGTGAGAAAGTGATCTCACTGGTGAGTTATCAGTGGAAGAAAGATGAGCGATCTTACAGGTGTGTAAGGGAAAGGAAAGTGATCTCACTGGCGAGTTATCAGTGTGGAAGAAAGGAGAGTGATCTTACAGGTGTGTTAGAGAAAGGAAAATGATCTTGCCGTTATGAGTTATTGGTATGGAGGGCACACATAGACTCGCTGTTATCTTAACACTAAGACTGAACCTACTCTCATATTAACATTGTTAAAGGTATGAGGATGGACTCACTATTTTAACACAACAGTGAGTCTATCACCACACTATTTACACAATTGTGAGTCCATCCTCACATTACTAACACTAGTGTGTGGATGGACTTACTGTTGTGTTAATGGTGTGAGGATGGACTTACTGTTGTGTCAACGGTGTGTGGATGGACTTGCTGTTGTGTTAATGGTGTGTGGATGGACTTACTGTTGTGTTAATGGTGTGAGGATGGACTTACTGTTGTGTTAATGGTGTGTGGATGGACTTACTGTTGTGGTAACGGTGTGAGGATCGACTTACTGTTGTGTTAATGGTGTTAGGATGGACTTACTGTTGTGTTAATGGTGTGAGGATGGACTTACTGTTGTGTTAATAGTGTGAGGATAGACTTACTGTTGTGTTAATAGTGTGAGGATAGACTTACTGTTGTGTTAACGGTGTGTGGATGGACTTACTGTTGTGTTAACGGTGTGTGGATGGACTTACTGTTGTGTTAATGGTGTGAGGATGGACTTACTGTTGTGTCAACGGTGTGTGGATGGACTTACTGTTGTGTTAATGGTGTTAGGATGGACTTACTGTTGTGTTAATGGTGTGAGGATGGACTTACTGTTGTGTTAATAGTGTGAGGATAGACTTACTGTTGTGTTAACGGTGTGTGGATGGACTTACTGTTGTGTTAACGGTGTGTGGATGGACTTACTGTTGTGTTAACGGTGCTAACGGCAAGAGACTGGACCTAGTGTTGTGTTGACAGCACAAGAGACAGAGAACTTAGAGTTGCGTTAACAGCGTGAGGACGGACTTACTGTGACAATACCGGTGAGTGTGTGGCGAGAGAGAGCAGCAGCAGGTCGTGGAGTGTGTAGCGGCGGCTGCCCCGACGACGACGACGACGACGACGACGACGACAAGGACTCGCAGACCACAATCAACAAGTGCACATCTTTGCCCCCCCGTCTTTCAAGAAGAAGAATAAGAAGTAGAAAAAAATAGTCCAGTGCGGGCCACCACTTCACTACTGGCTGCTCATGGCGGCTCCTGCGCCCATTTCTAGTGGCAAGCCGACGTCGCTAGGGCTCCGTGAAAGTGTCAGCGAGGTGCGGGCGCCATGGCACGGAGTTTGACGCGGAGGGGAAAGGCACTTACCAAGAGAGACCCTTCGCTACTGCCCTCGCCAAAACAAAACACCGCTAATCAACAAGGTTCCAATACTCTTCCGCGGGAAATAACCCCTCGGGCGCGCGACATTTCAGGCTTATGGGCGACCATGGCCTCATGGAACTCGTAATTTCAAGTCGCTTCGAGGTGGAATTATCGAGCCAGGGACGGAGGAGGGTTAGATCCGCTCGGCACGAGGTGCGAGTAAGTTTTAAGAGACTTGGCGGCCCGAGCGCACTTTTTACTCCATGTTCCGTGACCATGACCTCAGAGTTGGCCGACGTTGCCACATCAATCCTTACGGATACTCATATATTAAACCAATAAATTACACACTATTTTTAACCCTTTTCTAACCCATAATAATAAATATAATTATCATTTTAATTGATAAAGGGTAGAGTTGTGATTAGAAGAGGATTAACGAATATATGCAAATAAGTTACTTGGCAGGACAAGGACGTTAGAGGCTACAGCAGGTGGATTGAAGGCAGGTAAGCATGGGCGTCATCTGCTCCCACCACCCAAACTCCTCACATATTTACACTTTCCAACCCACTCCGCTATCCAAGCAACGTATCCATAAGAAAATAATATCCTAAACTCCATTCAAACGGCAAATAAAGCATGAGAGTGGATATCAAAAGCCAGATTATCCTGGATTAAAGAGATGCATAATACGACATGGCCACTTCTCCAAAGAAGGTCCTACCCCTAGCTTTGGTCAGAGTTGCTCATCCAACCTGCGCCCCGTCCATTTCTGTCTGTTGACTTGGCTTTCCGTCCTTAAACATATTTTATACTTCTCCAAAGGGCTCGGAAGGCAAGATAATTTATGTCACCTTTGGCATTTTGGCGTAGCAAAGGGTACATATTAGGTAGAGTCAGTGCTGATATTTATTATTTGTTCACTGTTACACAAAATAATGCAATAACGTGCAATTTAGTGATCAATTTACAAAAGAAAGACACATTCTCTTGTTCAATATGTGATTAAAGGATATTCGCATTCAGGCTACATGAATGAATCCAAAGTTCAATACATCAAATTTAAATTCTAATTTCCCCAATCGGTGTAACTCACATTAATATAATATTCGCTATGAACAGATACCGCTCTATCGTAATCTTACAGTGTACCCGCAATACTACTACCCATATTATATATGACTTCTGCATAAATAATTATTATTATGCAGTTACTGACACACAAAGGCCAGAGAGCACGAGTATAAAGAGCTATGACATGTTTAGATCTAATAATTATATGTACGGGCAACATAAAACATCCACTAGACAGTGTGACATTGTAATTGCTAGAATTAGGCTGTTATGCTGGGATATCGATATCTATAACAGGTGGCTGCAGGTAATGAATCCCCCAATGGTGAACATTCCAATTGTAAACAATGTGAACAAGAGCTGGGACATACTCTCCAACACTATATCTGTGACTGCCCTGTTAGAAGTGACTTCAGACCAAATAGTATAAGGTGCTTTACACTCTGTAATTACTTCATACATTCAGGAATATTGGAAGATATTCTTGTGCTGTACCCAGAGTGTACAAGTGGAGGCTAATTTTTTGAGATATATACAAGAGTTGTTACATTCTTGTACAGCCACTAGTACGCGTAGCGTTTCGGGCAAGTCCTTAATCCTATGGTCCCTGGAATACGATCCCCTGCCGCGAAGAATCGTTTTTTCATCTAAGTACACATTTTACTGTTGCGTTAAACAGAGGCTACAGTTAAGGAATTGCGCCCAGTAAATCCTCCCCGGCCAGGATACGAACCCATGACAAAGAGCTCGCGGAACGCCAGGCGAGTGTCTTACCACTACACCACGGAGACTGCTAGTAAATCAATCAACCTAACATTTCCTGTGCTCCCGTGATTGCATGTATGACTAACCTCCTGTGAGATAGAGTAAACTTATAGCTAGTTTCTGCTCCAGACTCTCTAGTCCTTCACAAGGGCAGCAGCACATTTAAAAAAAATGACAAACTAAGCGTTGCCTAAGGGTTCAAAGCTGTGAGGACAGTCGGGTTCGTTCCCGACTCACAATTGGGAATCCCGGGCTCGAACCCCGGGTGGGACAGAAAATGGTAAGCCTAACGAATATGTACAAAGGGTCCTTGACCCGAGATCATATATATATATATATATATATATATATATATATATATATATATATATATATATATATATATATATATATGTCGTACCTAGTAGTTTAGTTTATTATGTACCCCATACCCATATCCTGTGAGTGGCAGTGGACCCCATACCCATCCTGTGGGTAGTAGTGGACCCCATACCCATCCTGTGGGTAGTAGTGGACCCCATACTCATCCTGTGGGTGGTAGTGGACCCCATACTCATCCTGTGGGTGGTAGTGGACCCCATACTCATCCTGTGGGTGGTAGTGGACCCCATACACATCCTGTGGGTGGTAGTGGACCCCATACCCATCCTGTGGGTGGTAGTGGACCCCATACTCATCCTGTGGGTGGTAGTGGACCCCATACTCATCCTGTGGGTGGTAGTGGACCCCATACTCATCCTGTGGGTGGTAGTGGACCCCATACTCATCCTGTGGGTGGTAGTGGACCCCATACCCATCGTGTGAGTGACAGTGAGATCTCAGGAACTAAGATTGTACAGGAACACCTCAGAGAGTTGGCGAGACCTCTCGACCGGCGTGTACCAACTGCCCTCTGTGAAGACCAACTTCAGATTAAAATCCTGCAGGGGGACTTGATATAAACCTAACCTTGCAGGAGGACTTGATATAAACCTAACCTTGCAGGGGGACTTGATATAAACCTAACCTTGCAGGAGGACTTGATATAAACCTAACCTTGCAGGGGGACTTGATATAAACCTAACCTTGCAGGGGGACTTGATATAAACCTAACCTTGCAGGAGGACTTGATATAAACCTTGCCTTGCAGGGGGACTTGATATAAACCTAACCTTGCAGGGGGACTTGATATAAACCTAACCTTGCAGGGGGACTTGATATAAACCTAACCTTGCAGGGGGACTTGATATAAACCTAACCTTGCAAGGAGACTTCATATAAACCTAACCTTGCAAGGAGACTTCATATAAACCTAACCTTGCAAGGAGACTTCATATAAACCTAACCTTGCAAGGAGACTTCATATAAACCTAACCTTGCAGGGGGACTTGATATAAACCTAACCTTGCAAGGAGACTTCATATAAACCTGACCTTGCAAGGAGACTTCATATACACCTAACCTTGCAAGGAGACTTCATATACACCTAACGTTGCAAGGAGACTTCATATAAACCTAACCTTGCAAGGAGACTTCATATAAACCTAACCTTGCAAGGAGACTTCATATAAACACACATTCGTGCAACTCCTCACGTTTACAATCACTGCTTCACTCTGACGATAAAATAACTCATTTGGAGGGTCGTAGTAGCTAGTAAATTTGCATGTGAACACTGAGAGAGAGGATGAGTTCCATGGGGGATTGATCGCCGGCCCTGCAAGCAGGGAACCCGATGTTCTTCTGGCATGAGTTTCGGATCTCAGGATCCGAATTGCTTGACCATTTTTCTCCGGAGCAAGTAACTTGTTTTACAACGGAAACAGTTGAAAAACTTTATATATATATATATATCTATACAGGCAAGATCAGTCCTAAATGACGCTCCTCGCACGAGTGGGCCGAGCACAGCGCTGCCCTGCACCACCTGACCTGCTCGGCCGACCTGCGCCGTTATCCAGCTGGCTGACCTGCTCGGCCGACCTGCGCCGTTATCCAGCTGATGACTTGCTCGGCCGACCTGCGCCGTTATCCAGCCGGCTGACCTGCTCGGCCGACCTGCGCCGTTATCCAGCCGGCTGACCTGCTCGGCCGACCTGCGCCGTTATCCAGCTGATGACCTGCTCGGCCGACCTGCGCCGTTATCCAGCTGATGACCTGCTCGGCCGACCTGCGCCGTTATCCAGCTGATGACCTGCTCGGCCGACCTGCGCCGTTATCCAGCTGATGACCTGCTCGGCCGACCTGCGCCGTTATCCAGCTGGCTGACCTGCTCGGCCGACCTGTGCCGTTATCCAGCTGATGACCTGCTCGGCCGACCTGCGCCGTTATCCAGCTGGCTGACCTGCTCGGCCGACCTGCGCCGTTATCCAGCTGGCTGACCTGCTCGGCCGACCTGCGCCGTTATCCAGCCGGCTGACCTGCTCGGCCGACCTGCGCCGTTATCCAGCTGATGACCTGCTCGGCCGACCTGCGCCGTTATCCAGCCGGCTGACCTGCTCGGCCGACCTGCGCCGTTATCGAGCTGGCTGACCTGCTCGGCCGACCTGCGCCGTTATCTAGGGATTCAGCAGCAGGTTATATAGGATATAAGCGAGCGCGCGTGTGCGCACACACATACACGCTGCTAATCACCTTTCAGACGTCCTGAGAATAATAACAAAAGCTTGACGTATAGACCAATACAGAACAAAGTGGAGCCCCAGATGTGTTTATCATTGGTCTCCTGAAGGCACGGGTCGACCACCTTACATGCTCTGTAAACTACCGCCCCATGGGAATGGCCTCGTTACTGTACGCCAGTATAAACCGGTTCAGGGGTCCCGGTACGACAGTTTGGGTTCGTTCGCGACACACAATCCAGAATACCGGGTTCGAATCCCTGGCGGGATAGACATGGCCTGAAGCCTGCCTGGTGGGGGGAGGGGGGACCTCGATTTAAGACAAATGTGTATGACTATATATACACTCTGGCTTCCTGTCCCCCCGACACAATGAATTATTATTATTGTAAGTGATTAGTTAATACAAAATTTTAGATTTATTAAACATTTGTAGATGGGATATCCTGCGGTGCCCGGGTCTCTCCGGCGCCCTGGTTTGCCCACACACCCTCCCTATCTTCCCTTACACACACCTTCCCTGCCCCCACACACACACACACACACACACCTTCCCTGCCCACACACACACACACACACACACACACACACCTTCCCTGCCCACACACACACACACACCTTCCCTGCCCACACACACACACCTTCCCTGCCCACACACACACACACCTTCCCTGCCCACACACACACCTTCCCTGCCCACACACACACACACCTTCCCTGCCCACACACACACACACACCTTCCCTGCCCACACAC